CGGTTGGCTTGCTGATTACAACATCACCAAGGCGAATGTCAGCACTTTGGCTCGGGACTCCGCCTCCAATACCCACCATCAATCCGAACCGGATACTCCGAAAGGTAGAGACCATATGTGACGCCACAGCTGTAGCGGATATCGTCCCATAGACACCGCCAGGCAGACAGGCCACCACCACATTGTGGCCGCTGACACTGCCAAGTGTGTAGACATTGTGGTCGCTTTGTGGCTGGGGGAGCGGAGGGTGAACCTGGTCCAGCATGACCTTCGCGGCCGCCATTTCCAGCGACAAGGCGCAGATCCACGCGACCGTATAGTCGTCGTGTGTGAACATCATTTTATGTCATGCATAATAATAAGGTGAAACTTAGCGAGAAGAGATCAGGTACTCTTTGGTTAGAGAAGAAAGAGCACTTATTACGGTAGGTATTAGAACTGCAGGATAAAATTCTTTAAGGGCATGTCTAAATTCAAGGTCTGGAGTTGGAGGGGTAATCTGATACGTGTTCTTGTGAGGCTGTCGCGGTTCAAAAAGCCAATCATGGCTGGCCCCGAGAATATATAAATCAGTAAAAAGCAAACAGAGAAAGGCGTTAACAGCACTCAAGCAATAACCCCAGTTTCTCAAGATGATCTCCGAAAGTCCCATCAACAAGCCGAGACAGTTAAGTTGCTAGTCATAGTAATAAAAAAAAATAAAAAACTAGAAGCCTGAGGTGTTGTATAATTATCTTAGGGATTTCGAGAGATCTGGCATGCCCTCTTCGGAGTCGGAATAGACACCCACGACGCCTTGACTCTCAGAGGTTTATCATGATTAGTCAGAAATTTTAGGCATCAACAGATCAGGACGTTAGCCAACCAAGCCCGAACCCGTCAACCACAGAGGCAATATCGATTGTTTGCTGGGAGGAAACTATATTTCTTCAACAGTACTTCCAGCATGACGAAAATGACCCTCTGCGCTCTGTGTTCTTGCACCCACAACGTCAATGCACCATTCTAAAAATGCATCAAATCCTTGCTCTGGGTCCTCTTCATATACCTTCCAGTTGCGCTTAATAAAGGCTTTTAACTCTGCAAACATCTCTTCGATGGGGTTGAGGTCTGGTGAGTATGGGGGCAGGTACATCAACTTCACTCCAGCATCGCTACACATCTGTTCCAAGCGCTCAGTATGATGGAACGACGCATTGTCCATTATCAGCACAGATTTGGGCTCCGGCCACCTCCCACAGTGATGAAGCAGCTGCTCCACAAAATCTTCAAATATTGATGCATCAGTGGATCCCTGGAAGACACGCGCAAGAATAACACCGTCTTGTGCATATGCAGGCAGTATTTGATATCGTTGTCGCGATGAAACCGAGAGATCTGCACTGGTGTCACTCCAACGGGGGACCAAGCTGTGCGCCTAAATCCAATCCGCTTGTCACATCCCGACTCATCGACATAAACAAGGCGATACGAACGAAAATCGGACAGGCTGTGGAGATAGTAGTCCCGCAAATCTGCATTACGCTCTTGAGCGATCCGACGAGCTGCTTTCTTAGACCATCCCACTGATATAAGTGCCCTCCTAATACTGGCGGTGGTCACTAAAGTATCGAATTCATCCCACAAGAAAACTGCCATTTCATCTAGGTACAGATCCGGCTTTGCGAGGAGATGCTCACGAAGGGCGTCCAGCATAGGTGGGGTCACTGTTCGTGGTCGGCCGGCCTTGTTTGGAGGTGCCTTGACACTGCCGAAAAGTCGCAGGTTAGAGCGAATATATCGAATGCTGCGCTCACTGCAGCCAGCTACATCAGCCATTTGAGCAGTAGTTAATGACCTGCTTAAGATCATGTCGCGAATGAGCTCATGCTGAGATGCCGCCAGATTCGGGGCCATTTGGAACACATGAACAGCTTATTTGCAAGCCAGATTGTGGAACATGAAGTGAGCAGCTCTGCAGGAGATCATTTTGCTGTGAATTGGTTGCCTGTAATGCGATGTAACCGTAAACAATCGAAAGTTCCAGAATTAAACATTGCTGGTAACATTACAAACACATGTGGGACTGCCAAGGAACTAAAGTCTTAGAAGTGGGGCTACAAAACAATTGATGAGTGTTTGAGGCGGAAAGCGATTTCGAATGTCACTGTATTAATAAGTATTACTATTACAGTCTATATATAAAATACGGTTTGCTGTACAGCATTTTTCTGATTTCAGAAATCCGGAGTATTCTGCCCTGTAATGTTCAGCCCAAGCTTTGACAGTCCTCAGCACTGCGGATTTTCCTATCTTTATTAAAATAATCTCCCGCAAGAAGAATCGTTTCAAGCCTTCGTAAGATTAAAAAGAAATTGTCTATCCTGGTCTGTTAAACCCTTCATCTTCAATTCGGTTTCCTGAATAATTAGGGTCTTAAAGTTGTCAAGCAACCCTTTGTAGCATTCCTCTAGAATCTCTAGCCCGTCCCATTCATCAAGGAGATCCCAACTAAGCCAGAGGACATCTCACCGAAGACTGAGGTAGAACGAACCCTTCGCGGTTGTCGAGTGCTTAATAAATGCGTATTCTTTCAATGTATGCTCACGAGATTCTCAACAAATCCTAAGAGCCAGAGGAGGGGACACATCTCCAACAGCAGTTTGCCTTCGCTGTTCAAATCTCTCATAGAAAAGTCAGTTCGCAGAAGCGCAGCCTATGAGCTTGCAGGACGTAAATAATATAAGTCTGGGCATAATGCGTCACCAGAATAGCTGAAGTCTGTCGCCGCTTCGATTACTCGTGCTTCGGGCCATGTGTATTCCCAAATCATTAAGCGTATCTCTACCGGGAGTACTGGAAAGAACCAAATATGCTGTTGGCCCTTTACTAACTTATCCAGTGGTACATCACCCTGGAGGGATGTCGCACCGCTGTGTGAGTTAAATCTAAAGCCTTCTATAAGGTTTTCCAGCCATGGAGACAGATGGTAATCCCGCCCATATTGTTTATTTGGTACCGGTGATTCCCGGTTGTTTCCAGATACTGTTGCTATGTCTATATCAGCCGTGCAAGTTGATCATATAGTTAGCTCCTGTTCCCACAAATAATTGCTTCGTCCACATACAAAGATCCTGCATCGTACTATCGTACAAGCTGTTTGGTTGATAATTATAGAACAATTGGTGGGTGGATGATTGTAGTTTGTCTATATTGCTTGCAGTGCTGCAGAGTTATTATAGATAACGCTATCTTTTATAAGCGCTTAGCATGACATCCTTCAGCCTGGAAAAATGTGTCGGGCCTAGGTTTGTTCTTTAGTGCTGTGGGCGGCCAAGACGCTAAATGCGAACCCTTTTGGTGCCGCATTATTAATATCGTGATAGGGGTATCCTGAATATCGCCTTAGGCGAGGGGTCGGGGTATGAATCATCATCATCATTATTAATATCGATTGACGTTTTTCACCATGAATCTAGACTCGGCAGTGGAGTCGCTCATTCCCTGTTTAGATTGATCGTTTTAGATGTGCCATGCTAAAAGAATTACTAGCTCTACTAGTAAATGCACTGAGCTTTTCGATATGTCCCATTTGCTTGACGGTTAATTCCCCATTGTACTTTGTTGCAGTAGGAGAAAAGGGTTCAGAAATATCAAGAGATAAAGAACGAGGGTTATCAATTCAACGAACCCATTATGTACTGATAGTTATAGAATGCCGAATATCTCCCAGTTCTCACCAGCTGAGGCCTACTGTGTCCATTAAATTATGCAAAATACAATGGTGGTATACTACCAATTTATTTGGGAGAGACAGAGAATAGCGCATGGCACATTGATTCTATATTGGTAATGTTCACAGCAGAGGTACGAGGCCAAAACAACTATTTGATCCTACAGCTAGAAGTAATACATGATATATCAAAGGTAAATATTACCTAGTAGCTTTAATAAAGGCTCTGTGCGCTGTTGACGGTATGTTTGAATTTTTTCAATAACAGATAAAACCTTTATATTATCCAGCCGTAGGCCAGTTCAAGTGTAAACGCTACTCAAACACTAGCTTTTTATCAACCATAGGCTCTGCCTTTGAGACATCTTCCAAAGTAGCAGGGTACAGAAGCTCCTGGTTCGACCGTTCCTTTTTCGGCGCTGGATACTCCGTAGTATCGTCCTCATGGACCCATTTTCTTTTCCTTGATACACAGTTGCGACGTGGCTCCTCAATAGAATGAACATTATAAAAGTGGCGTCGAAGGTCCATGGTGGTGCTGTAGACTCTATTCTCACAACAAGGATGAGGGCACTGAATAGGGCCTTTCTTGTCGATCTCCGCCAAATGTTTGTTATCGATATGGTTTATCAAGGTAGCTTTCTCTCTCCATTGTTGGAATCGTTGCTCGGGTTCCTGGCTCTTGTCGCCTAGGCAAAAGGGGCAAAACCCAGGAGCTACCAGTGTATAGCGAAACCTTAACAGACCGCAACGCGGTTGAAGTTGGTCTAGATGGAAGCGACAATGCTCCCTCCAAGCTTCCTCAGTCTTGAACCACTTGGCACATAAATAACACCACTCAAGGAAAGTTTTGTTGGCTCGTCGATGTGCTCTTTTGCCATTTTTGTAACGCTGCTGGTACGGTGCAGCATTCAGCGATTTTCTTCTGCATTGCAGAATATGCTTAGAACGATTTTGTATATCAACACTATAAGTATTAGCCTACTGGATGTAGCTATTAATTCATGTGACAAACCTGGTAATTTCGATTGAACACACTGGGCATCGTCCATCCCTTGGTGATTCACCTGGGTAGTATGCAACCCTCTCCTTTGAGGTACAGATTCTTAACATATCGAGCATGCACTGTCGTCCAAGTTCACTGTTGATTGATATTTCAGTAAATAGGTTATCCCGTAAACGTTGTCTCTCTGGCATGTACTTGGAGTAGATGGAAAATCGGCAGGTTGAATCACGCTCTGTGAAATCCCTTCCAGCAATATAGTCATCATAAGAGGATTGCCACCAGTTATTGATGAATTCCTGTTTTTGTGCGGCGCTTCTTAGCGGCTTTGGTGTACAGCTTTTCCCTTTGAGATACAAGTTCGCTATGCTCTTTTGGCCTTCCGTCTATTGCTTTGGTCAAATTATCGATTCTTTGATATAAATCAATCATCTCTTTGTCATTTTCGATTTCGGCAAGAGCAGCTGCGTCGAGCTTCTGAGGCGCATTAGGATCGCGGTGGTGGGCCATGCTTTCTTCTATCTCCAGGCATTCGTAGTCGGGATCAATGTTCCAGTAGGTGGCTTGAATATCGGCGTTTGAATTTTGATTGGTATTTAAGGTATGTATCTGGATTCTGATGATCCAACGCCTGGCTTCGGGTTGCCTCAGATGCTTTTGCTGTAAGAGCGTTAATATTGCTAGAATACTGTAGTATTCAGGTAACATACAGTCAATTACACTTGCGACCCTGCCTCTAATCCCATGAATCCTGAGCGGATCTCGGAAGCATTCACGTTGCGCTAGGGATGTGAGGTCATGGTGTAAGGATGAAAATGTCAAGCCACGGACAGGGTCCGGTCCATCAGAAGTCACCATACGAAGTACTGGCAAATTCTTTGCATTATCTTCCCATTCAAGGGTCCATGATTCTCGCCCCTTTGGAGGAACTTTTGATAGTAACTCATCCACGGTGTGGATTCCTTAAAAAGCCCGATCTGCTAAACCCGCAACCATGACATAGAAGACAAAGTTCCTTCCAAGCACCTTTTGCTCTGTAATCCAAGTCTTCGGGCTATTATCTTTAGCTAATTATTGCGAGTCTTGGGGACAAAAACCTACATAACCTTCTCATCGCTATAGCGAAGTCCTTTAACAAACTCTGGATCTATAGTAACCCATCGTTTGATTTTGTTGTCCTTGTATTGGATATTGAAGCGAAGATGCTATAATAAAAGTAAGCATATACCTTCTTTTTTATACTCTAGGCTTTTTAGCTCACCTTGTAGTAGAGACATTCGTTGGTATTTTTCTATAGGAGCTGGACTCGACGATAGCACCAGCTCTGGCTCCAGAGGCCGAAAACAATGAGAGGGCAAAAGCATCTTGAAATCTTGAGCGCTCATGGATGTAGTCATGGTCATCATCTTGGAATAACCGCCTTAAAAGAAGATCAATGTCTTTTGCTGTAACATGGAACTTCTCTCTATGTTTTGTCTGAAGCCCATATCTTGGTGTCAATTCATTTCGAATATGCTTAAAAAGTCAGCGAGTGCCATTGGTAGACAGGAATCAATAACAAACATTATAAACATCTTTTCTTGACTGCAATTGGGAGCACTCTAGAAGTCTTTTTCTCCCATTCAGCAATAAAGCAAGAAAGGTTATAACGGACACTATGTTGAGAAGGCAAGTCTCCTTTGCGTAGACAAATATAACTCTCACAGAAGAGTTTTAGGACTTGAGCAGGAGGGTCCGGCTCTTGCTTTGCAAAGTACCTATCTTCAGGTTCATCTGTGGTCATCATCCATCTAATATAGGATTAATAATTGCTTGTAAGCCTAATCAAGTCACCGATTACCCACAATTTCCAATTCTCAACAGCATGGTTGTAACGTTCATCAGTAGCTGGGGCCCTCTTTTTTATGGGAAACCTCGTTTTCCTTATTTTTTTCTTCTCATACTGGTACTCTATAGTGAACCCCCGTTCTTCACCGAGTTTTCGGAGCTCCTCAACTTTTCTTTGTCTTTGCTCCTCGAGCGAGATAGACTTGTAATCACGTGACATGATTTTGTATAGAATAATATGGTCGATTGCCGAATAAAATCTTCCTGAGTTCTTTGGAAGGGAAAGAAAACAATGGTCAAGAAAGCAGGGTGCCCTCTATTTATTTTACAGTAGCAATTCCCCTCAACCCCTAAATCATTGTGCTCACCCACCTGCTCACCCAGCTCACCCAGCTCACCCGCGCTCCACAGATGGCTCACCCAGCTCACCTGCACTCATCTTCTGAGTTAGCGGCGCTCACCCATAAAGCGGCAACTAGTGCAGGGCTTAAGTATCAATTGACCGCGTTCATTATGCGGTTTAAGTACGGCTGAGCGGACGGGAAGCCCTGTTCTCCACACCCTGTGGTCGTATGTGCTAGAGTGTGTCCAGTATTCAATATTAGAAACGCTAGATGAAGTAGTTCATAAAGTGCAGGAGTAACAGTAGTTGGTCGACAGGCGGTGAGCAGAAAGGGCCAGAAGCATAGAAGCGTCTACCACCTCGGGATTCGTTTTCTTTTCCTAATGGCATATATCAGAGTATGATAGATATAGATAATCCTCCGGGTAAAAAAAAAGGTGAAAATGAAAAAGATACTGTTACCGAATACCGAAATACTACAGTACCTATGAACCTACTCTAGGCGTGAGAACTACGGGCGAGAGAACTAAAAACCAAAACCGCATGTGTCATTTCTCGAAGGATCCGCAGCCTTCACTTAATTGTGTACAGGACACAGGTCGGCTGATGATTAGATCGTGTAACTTTTGCTGGCTCTGGCAATAACTATGAGAGAGAATTTACGTAATTTGACGGATGCTGAGAAATTCTGAGTTTTCGTTAGTTAGCTATTAACAGCAATCTGAAGTAGGCACGAAGATAACACGCGGGCTCATCAAGCGTTACTTTTGTCTTTAAAACCGACCAAAAATTTGAAAACCTAAACCATGACAAACCCACCTCCTGACATGACGTAGAAGCAGGCTCATGAACGTCATATCTGTCTGGTTGCGCCCATTCTATGAGAGAATCACCAAGATACTTGGAATTCCTGACAAGATCGATAAAATCGAGGAGAAAATTCGATTGATCATCAGTTTTAGCATTGATGAAATGTCACCGATTGAATATGCCAAAAATGTCAACGTACCGACGTTTATCGCCCAGGTTCCTGATGAGGCTCTGACGAAGCCGAGAGATGTGCAGCAAATCTTCGACAATATCCCTGTTGCGGACAAGAAGTTCTTTTGGATAGAGGGCACTACGCGCCGGTGGGATGGTTATACCTACTTCCTAAGGCATCCGAAGCAGATGATTGAGTGGCTCGACAAGCAAATGAAGTAGCAATGTTATATTATTTTTCCAAATGTCTTTTTCATCAGTATCAAACAGAATACTATATCTCAAAAAAAGCTATGTCTGCATATAAAGAAAGAAATTCAATATCAATTAAAAGGTGCAAACCATTAAAGACTTCCATCTTACGCTAAGCAAGTGTACAGAGTACAGATAGTAGAATTATCCAACGTTCCTCCTATAGTATTCTATCTACCAGTCCGTTCGGGCGAATGCCATTCACAGACCCTGGGACAAAGTCACTATTATTGATTTCCAATCGATAAGCAGCTATCAACAATATTCTCAACGTATCTATGCCTGACTATCGATTCTTTCAATGGATCCTTATATATGGCAATAGCTCACCCAATTATTACAGTGTGTTTGCCAACTGTTTACCAGGTCACTTGCACATAAGGTCGAGAAAGGTGTACTTGGTCTTCGGCAAGCGCATTTCTTAGTCGACAAGTGCCCCCTTTCCCTGACGGGACTTCAGTTCAATCTCAAGTTATGTTGTATTAATCCTTTTGTGTTTGTACACATTAGGTACGCTCATTTTCACTCACACTGTGTACCTTCAGTTTGCACATCCTTTACTTTGACACCTGGTTAAGCACATATCTACTTCTACAGCCAACTTCTTTCAGAGGATCGTATGATCCGCTAAAATGCGGCATGCTAAATGACATGCCGCCTGACAGCCGACCATCGAACTGCGTGCAGAAGAATAGCATACAACACCTTACTGGCAAGCAGCGCGGTATCCTTTCCGTCGCCAAAAATTGTCTCTTAGGATTTTATGCGTGCAAAGTGTCAGAGGATAACATACTCAGCACTCACATTTCGTAGCTCTACGACTACCATGCCTAAAACAGAAAGGGACAAAGTATCAAGGGCCTACTTTGCATGTCAAGAAAAGAAAACAAGGGTTTGGGCCCGAGACTATTCCTGGAGACTAGTTAGTTATTGATGCAGGGATAGAATACAGGGAGCATCCCATGCGACATGTGCCCGGAACGTCAAATACACTTATTATATAATAAACAAACAGACCGACAAATGCCGAAACATTGCACTGAAGCGCAGGCTAGAGTTCCTCAAACAAGACCGGGTTTTACTGAGAAGAATTTCGAAGCCTTACAGGATGAGAAACAGCATCCTATTAACCTGGCAAGGAGCGAAGCATTCTTTGAGGAATTTTGTATACGTACGAACCAAAGCCTGGACCGACGGAAACCTCCGAGATCCCAGCGGGAGATTATGAAAAGAACGCAAATTGCACATGGCTCGGAACTTAGTGTTGGTCTTGAAGTGATGGATGCAAAACGTTTGATTGACAGTCCTTGCCACAGTCCTGCAGAGTCATAACCATCAGTCAGAGAAAGGAATGTATGAGTCTTAATCGGTCTCGCTGAATCCTTTCGCTGACCGATGTTGCTGTCGGAATGGACATCATTGGTCTACAACAGCTAACTGCCTGACGGCTCGCACCGCTTGTGGAAGAGGGGGGGGATATACACAGTCTAACAAGTCCCGTATGCTCCAAGATCTCTCCAAGTGCGACCCTACAGGTGTCTTCCAGGCCTGTAGCCTAGATATTTAAAGTCGACCAGTGCACCAGTGGAGAACCCCTCCTGAATAGCTAGAGCCAATAGTTTAGGCGCAATTGAAGATGCGTGTACGAACTGTAATTATGTATGTCTATTGATATTTACAATCCATCAATGCAAGAGTAATCCAAGCTCGGGTATCTCTACACAACATTCAATTATGCACCTGCAACGATGTCAATCCTCCATCCAGGACTATCTGCGAGCCCGTCGTGAACGTGGCCTCGAATCCCAGAAATGCGACGGCGCGGGCAATCTCTTCAGGCTTTCCAATGCGTCCCAACGGGGTCGAGGTGACACCCTCTTTCTCAAAGGCCGAGCGGTCCGCCTCGGACACGTTCGCCACGCCCATTGTGGGCGTCTGCACGAAACCTGGCGACACGGCATTGACACGGACGCGACGACTGGATAGTTCGGCGGCCAGGGTCTGCACAAGCGAGTGCACGGCGGCTTTGGCGGCGGAATAAAGCGCCATTCCAGGGATGCCAACCTGATTGGCGACGGAGGTGGTGAAGACGATTGCGCCACCGTCACGCACCATCGGGGCGAGTTTCTGCGTGACGAAGAAGGCACCGAACACGTTAGTGTCCATGGTTTTTTGGAAGGAGGCATCAGTGACGGCATCGAAGCGTTCCAGGGCGGCGTATCCGGCATTGATAAAGACCAGGTCAATCGGTGTGTCCGCGCCGAAGTATTCCTCTGTCGTAGGAACTAGTTGCGCAATGGCCTCGCTGGAGGTGATGTCGCAGGACACGACGCGACCGCGGTCGCCCAGCTGTTCCTGGGCATTGCGAATGGGATCGGGACTGCGGCCGGTAACGAGCACTTGTGCACCCTGATCGACTAGCAGTCGGGCTGTCGAGAGACCGATGCCGTGGCTGCCGCCGATGATGATCGCTTTTTTGCCAGAGTATGCTGCCATTGTGGGAGGAAATGGAGGATATAGCTGATCAAGAAGTGATTCAAGATGGTGAAAAGAGAGCAGGGATTTCAGCTCGGTCTGATAAGCTAGCTGGAAGCTGGATTGGACTCTGTCTGATGAATAGGAAAGTCCTCAAGACCGGACACGAAGCGAATTAATATATCTTTGATGATCTTGCCGTGACACTCTTGTTGTCGGTAGTATTCCTAACCAGTGAGTCAATACCAAGATATTTTCGTGCCATTTGTGATGCTTACTCATATACAAAGTGTTGTGGAACTCAGGGGAAATGGGGCGTAGGGAGCTATTCTATCAGCTACAGGCCAACTAGCCACATTAGGAAGTAGATGTCATTCAGTGGAAACACCAGGAATCACAGGATCTCAACCAACTGAGTCTCTTGCATTCCTATCTAGGTGCTCAACTCTAGATCTTTTGGGTGCTCTACTATCTAAAGGATTCAGGGGTTGAATCGATCGTCAGATACTCCGCACCGCCAAGTCGGGCGGATTATAGTGTTTCCGTAACACAAAGGAGGCTGATGCTGCTGGAAAATTCCATCGTATCCAGAATGTATGTGCGTGGGGTGTTTCATTCTAGTGTCTCCTTGGCATTGGCGATATCCACCTTAAGGTCCAAATGATCGTGTACGTCAAAAGTAAAAGGGTACAGGCTGAGACTTTCTAACGGAATAAAGTTTGGGATGGAGATATTATCTATAATAAAAACAGATAGCTAGTATAGACTATACAGAATGATGTCATTATTCATACTCTAGGCATATATATTACTAATATCTTCATTATTCTATATTTTTGACTTAGCCGAGCATTCGTGTGACGAGCACACACCTAGCGATGAAAGCTCCATTTCTACGCCAAGAAAGTATGCCGATCGTGAACGAAAGTAAAATACTACCCTGGGTATGGACACGCTGAGATATGTCCGTTGACTCTTATGACCCCATATTGCTTCCAGTAAGTTAGAACTTGGAATCAGCCTCGGTATATGCAGGACTCCATTAAGCATGTAGCTATATCATATAGATGATTGCTCTAATATGGAGTTTATCATCTTTCCCAAGAGTGAAAATACCTGCCATAAGGACCTTGAGTCTCATCGTTTGTTATAGAGTTAATTTCATGGGAACTTGAGAGAGGGGGGTGGGTGGATGAGCGTTTAAAGAATAACTAATTATAAATAAGTAGTAATCAATGGATGTTAGAGATGACATCAAGGGACCACTTTTGAGTCTACTACGCATGTTTATCGAGGTCGCAGCACGCGATTCAGACTACCAGAAGTCCTGACAGAATGAGGCATGGTGTAAAATCTGCTCATAATTAGGCCCTTGACCGATGCTGCATCGGGTACTGCTTACTATACATTATCCAGTATGGTAGGACCTCGGTGGTTCAGGGGTTGTATGGAATTATCAGGGCTCATTTCCCTGTACGCCAAGCCCATCTTCAAACCCATCCTTTTCTGTTATATTCCCATAATATCGCTCAGAGATGACTGTATTCTCTTATTCTAACATTATTATCTTATATTTTATAACCTGGAGGTGGGGTGTCCACAAGATTTTGCAGGGCGCACATCTTTCCGTGCTAATTCCGAAGAACCGAAGTAAAGCCGAAGAGCTGAAAACCAATGAAGTCAACTGCTTGAGAAATCGGAATCAAAGTGGGAGAAAAAAAAAAAAAAGGAGCGGGAAGTAAAGCATGATACTTATCTTGTGCCTGAAATTGTGCATTGATGCAGATGGGGGTTTGAGGATGTTGTGTACGCTCATATTAGCAACGGCGAACTCGCGGTCCATCAATACAACCATCCAAAGAGTAAGTAGTCTGGCGTGCTATGTAAATTTGTAGTTACAGTACGTAAAATAGTATGAGGCATTTATTTGCATTCTGCAAAATGACATGCTGAAGAATGGTCACGTCGGATTTGCACCTTAAACGTGTCCCGACAGGGAATTTCATAAATAGATATCCATATTGTGGTCCGCATCTGGCAATTATTAGCCGATTGACGGACTTGCACAACTAGTTGCATGATGTACCATCCTTGTATATTAAGGGCGGTGCAGAGTGAGATTCCTCCTAATCTTGCCTTCCGCATTTTGTGATTAACTTGTAGGGGGAATCTTCCAAAATCGTAGATGATTTCAGACATATATACTCGGTATAGAGAATGTGAAGGGAGGATACATTTGAAAAAATTAAGGTCCATACAGGGGCTCGCCTTTCGCTTGAGTTCAGACTCCGCACGATAAAAGATTCACCCGTCCGACATATATTGGTGGTGAAGGAAGCACTGTCTTATCTGTTATGGAAGATTTGACACATTGGAGTGTGACGTTCACATATTCGGGCCTGAACGAGCCTTGGTTGTCGGATCCACGATCAACTTCTTAGGTAGAATTAGTGATTCCGAAATCTTACATTCTTTTGTGGGGTTTAGTTGGTACCGTCGTCAATGATATGCATCTGCCTTGTATCAGTTTGTTCTTCACCTTGTGTGTATTTGGATCCATCCCATCACTTTTGCTAAAGTTTGGTATTCTTCACTTTCTGCATTTGGATACAAGTAGCGGCCATGAGAGAGAGGTCCTTTGTAATGGGGCCACGGCAAGTTCCCTTGTCATTTACAGACTTACCAGCGTGGCATTTCAGTGTCATCATCCAGTTTTGATTACAAAGATTTTTTGAACAATTGACGTCTGTTGGCATTGTAACGCCAGTGAGGTAGTAAAGAATATTGATTTGGGATAACATTTTCCTGGCCGCTAAGCTTGTCCCAGAACTCTTCACGAGACATTCAGTAAAGAGATATAGATGCTTTTCAATATATGACGTAGATATCCTAAGAACATTTAACTATTACTCTCAGAAAAAGTGATATGGCTTCTATCAGAATAAAGCTAGTCTATATTGGGACATTATGTGAAACAGTTATGACGTGATGATCCTGGAGATGAATGGTCAACATAAAACATAACACAATCCTGCTACACCTATAATTCTGACACTATCCAGCAAGCTGGGTTTATGTTAGGCGGGACATTTAACGTAACCGATAAGCGAGCGTTTCACCTCTATATCCCACATAGAACAGTCCTTTTAACAACCTGAATATCTCAATAGCAAAATGATTTATTGCCTATCGAGAGGCTCTATACATAATATATTGGTTTATAGTATAATGTAATATTAATAACAAAACTAAACCTTTTCTAGTTTGTCATTGCTGAGATATCTAAGGTTTAGAACCTTGTACAGTACCAAGAAGATGACTCTGGATTCTAGTACGCGGTTCTCTCCCGGGATGATGGACCCTGTCGGGCCCAGCTTACAGTTGTGCCGGATTAGCTGGAGAAAGCTATTGTGATATTCGGTTCCTGAGAGACATAGGTTTATACCAAAGGAGGTTATTATAAATGTAATGGGGCAGGTAGATGAGTCCTTTCTAATCCGCCTTCATTGTTGTCACCTATTATATGAGAAGTTCTATAGTAAATTTATACTAGATCCATCCGACTGTATAGTCATTATAGGATAAGACTTCTGGAGTTGTCACCGTATGTCCTCAGGAGCTGGCTCATTTATACCTCCAGCAAATGAGAATCGAACGTCCTCCGCGCCACCCAGCAGGATATTTACCCGGATGCTCTTCAACCATCTTTGATGACTCCATCCAAGTTTGTTACAAAAGCTTTTTGGCTATGCTGCCAGCCGGCCTGACCCGGGTTTCGGGCAACTGGACAGATTTTCAGAACCCTTGCCAAGTTGCTCAAGCTTTGTACGGGTATAACTACTCTCAGGGGCGGGGCTGCTGGGAAGATAAAGTGTATTCCAGTAGTGGAGCAACTCCCGTTAGGCCGGCAAGTAATGTGCAGTGCTCAGCAGCATCCAACACGAGGAAGCGGGCGTCTTGAAACGTATAGATCGGGTATCATCAATCTGCCGGGCGCCGAACGAAATATCTTGATGATCTACGCTCGCCCTCATAATTTTGACGTTGTCACGAAACCCGTGTAATTATTTGATCTTTTTCAGCATGGCAGGGTCCCAGGTAGCTGAGGCCCCGAACTATGGAACGTCACGGTCGATGCTGCAGCGAAGGGCCCCCCAACTTAGCTTAATGCTGTCCCCCGTCACCTCCCCACTGCTGAACAATATGTATTTCGTCTATGGCCACCAGTACAAGGCAAGGTGTTGCTGGAACACGAGGTGAATTTGGCTGATAGAGCTACTTCGCGGCTGACCAGAAGTAATCCAAGCTCATAAGTGGATTTGTATGTAAGGAACTCGAAGATGTGTTCACCGTGTGTATATTCCCCATTTCGAATATGTTGGCGGAGGGACTCACTATTGGACTGCCCGTTAAGGATACAAGGACTACAGTTCGGTATCTTTATAACTAACATAGCCTAAATTGAATGAAATCGGTTGTATGTTGTGTAACCCTTGCCGGGCATCATCCGTACCTGTTCTTCCAAGAGGCTCAATGGCATGATCATTAGGACAATGCCTTGCCGTATTGCTGGAAGTACTGCAATATTATGCTCTTGCCCAGCCAGTAAGTACGACAAGGATTAAGTCTTCTCTATCCACCGAGAGTATTTTGATAACTTGAATCTGCTCATCACGAAGGCCAAACTCTTGACAAGCGTATGACGCAAAAACTCAATACTTGGGGCCTTGCATAGCCAGAAAAATTATGTAAGGCAAAACTAGCAAAGATGAGCCGCGGTATGCAATTTATCCAAGGAAATGCACGTGTGTTGTAGAAATATCGCGTATTCTACGAAGTCAAATGCTCAAAAATTGATTGTAATTTGGGATGAAAGGTGCAAATACCATGCCTACAAAGTAACGGGGGATGCACCGAAAGGCCACCGAGAATTCTCACGCCTTTCCCAGAGAGCACTCTGCCCGATTAGGCATCTCGGGACTGAAAGGACCGACCGCCGTGTGGGCCTCACTCGCTGAGGTAACGTTTACGTCATTATCGCGGACTCTTTACTGGCAAGGCTTAACTAGTTAGGTCTGAACGAACTTACCACGCGACGGTGTTGGCGTTTGACCATGTTTGGATTCCCCTATCTGAACCTCTGCCTCTCCACCGATTGACAAAGTCCCTGTCAAAAAACTATTCAGATCGTGCCTAGATATCCAGGTAACTTTTTTGTGATATGAGTAGTATTGTTGGTTAGTATGATACTGTTGTTCTCACGCTCTCAGGCCTGTGCTTTGCTCGAATTCTTTGGCCCCCCTTCCTCCCGGGCTATTAGTGATATGCCAGTAGGCTAACTCAACGTCATCAGCTCCTGGGAAAGAAAGGAAAGATAATTCTGACTCCCTTTCGAGCGTTGCCGCCGCATTTGACTATTCCTGGACTATGGGCGGCATACCATTACGACATTGGTGCTATGATTGAGCAGCATCAGGTCTTGCCCGAAGGTGATTCCACCATGCGCCACGGTGCGCAAGGCGTTCCTTTCCAAAACTCGGCAGTCGAACCGTCAAGTCTTAGCACGTAGCTATCTTTGAACTGTGGCATGTGGAGCCAAACCTCTATTGAGAATATTCTTCGCATCGTATCTGTTAAAGCAGTGCGTGCTGCATCCTATCTTCGGCCAGGGCACTTGAGGCAGGAAAGCAAATTCCAAAATGCCAACATTTTTTTTGACTGACTTCAATATCGTCTGTGGGACAATGGGTGGTTTCTTCTTACTCTTTGGTCTGGTGTCTTACTTATTAAAGGAGAGGTTCTACCTATCTGAATCATGTCGGTGCCAAAATAATAGCTCTTCCGACGTTGAGCATACTAATATGGTACAGTGATCTCGATGCTGGCTGGCATTGTTTTGTCCCCCCACGCAGCCAATTTCATAAGGCCTCTAGATTATACACTCGGGTCGCAACAGTCTTTGGAGGAAGTTACAATGAATTTCACCAGACTCGTCTTGGGTGTGCAGTTGGTAACTGCGGGTATCCAATTGCCCAGAAACTACCTGCAAGATGAATGGAAGAGCCTGTTGTTACTTCTTGGGCCTGGCATGGCTGCCATGTGGATATGTAGCAGTCTTGTTATCTGGGGCTTGATTCCTAGTTTCCGGTTCCTCCATGCCCTTATAGTGGCAGCCTGTTTAACCCCAACTGATGCAGTCCTTTCAAATTCTATCATAAAAGGGAAGTTTGCTGATAAACATGTCCCTCGCGCACTGCAAAGAATCATCATCGCAGAGTCAGGAGCAAATGATGGCCTGGGCTATCTCTTCCTCTACTTTGGAATGTATCTACTGAAATACACTGGAACGGGTGGAGGTCCTGCGAAAGCTATTGGAACGTGGCTCTACGACACATGGGTATATGGTGTTATACTGGGCACTGTCTATGGCGTCACAGTCGGCTGGTTCTCAAGGAAGTTGCTCCAGTTCGCGGCAGAAAAACATTATGTGGACCGAGAGAGCTTCCTTGTCTTCGCTGTAACCCTTGGAGTAAGTATCGACCCGGACGAGAGTTTGCAGGCTTGGCTTTATGGCACGCTACTGACCAAGGGCAGCTTTTTACCTTGGGAACATGCGGTCTTATCGGAACAGACGATCTTCTGGCTTGCTTCATTGCTGGTTATGTCTTTTCACAGGAGTAGGCTTTCCTTGAGAACCCGTTACTGCTCCCTGCTAATATGACAAGTGACTGGTTCCGACTGGAGACAATGGACGACTCCCTGCAGCCGACTATCGACATGCTCCTCAACCTTTCCGTCTTTGTGTGGTTTGGTGCAGTATGCCCGTGGACCCTGTTTGTGCACAACCATATTATTCCCCTTCACCAGCTCTTCTTTCTGGGATTTTTGATACTCCTAGTCCGTCGGATGCCTGTTGTCTTCGCAATGTACAAATACATGCACCAGATAGAGCATGTCGCCCACGCAGCCTTCGTCGGGTTTTTTGGACCCATTGGTGTTGGTGCCATTTTTTTCCTATCGGCTAGTCGGGAATATCTATGCGGAATTACGGTCGACGGCAGGATGCGGCAGGATGCGGAGAGGGTTTCAGATGCGGTTAATATAGTAGTGTGGTTCTTGGTCGTTTCCAGCATAGTATATCATACCCCATGTCTTTCTACTCCCTTGAACGTATAAAGTTGCGTCCTTTTCTAACGAACAAATAGATAGTTCACGGCCTTTCTATCCCCCTGGTGGTAGCAGGATACCATCTTCCGGGAACCGTATCGAGTGCCTTCAGTACTAGTTTCGCAATCGAGCCAGATCCTGCCTCTCTTCCAGGTATTCAAGAGGCTGAAAGCTCTCGAACGCCTCAGTTATTTGCCAACAACCAAAATCATGGATGTGGCATCGACCGAAAATCGTTTCGGCACCTGTTCCGCCGGATTGGTCGATCGCTGATAAGAATCAGCTTTCCAGCCAGCCTTGTGCAGCCAAGGATGGGTCTGCCTGGGGAGCTCGAGAATCCAGGGGGCCCGGTCGCTGATGAGGCGGAGCGACGTAACCTGATAGCGGCCGAAAACCTAGTCTGACCGGTTCCAATTTTGTGTTTCGCAGGTCATCACAGGCACAGCGTAATGAGACGCTGACTTTCCTTTGTATTTACGCCTGCTGGCTATCTTTCTTATGTAGGATTTATGGGTTTTATATGGTGCTTGAGGACCTCGATTTCTTGCTTCATTGGTGAAGTGCCTGCATAGCTAAAAGTTGGACTGCAATAGGTTAATAGAACTTTGAAAAAAATTGAAAACGCAATCGATGCCTAGAATGATGCTGTATTCTAATGGTGCAATTTACATAACCAACAATTCGAATCGTCTTAGCAGGGACGGCCGATATTGGAGTAATTCGATATATCTGGGTTGCGATTTCATGGAGGGCTGACATCAGAGACGGGTAGAAGTTTTGTAACCACGTTATGAATTAGGTAGTCTTTGGGCAAGGTGCTCCGACGGGTGATGACTATCTGGGCCTGTTGTTTAAGTCAAAGATGTGTAGGTAGTATGTAGGATTTTACCTTTAATATTAGTGTTGCTGCTGCCTTGAATGCGGAAAGAATACGGATTAGGGCTGTATGTTGCACTGTTCGCAGCAGTCAGAGATATATTTTATCTTTAAGCGGATTATACCAAACTATTAATATGTAATCCACGACCAGAGTTACACAAACCTGGTAAAGCTGTCTTATCTGTTCGGGCCGTAGGTACCTGAGCTCTCCCAGTTTAATATTAACTTTAGTTATCTATTTAACTGCTTGTTATATATATGCCTTCTATTATATCTCCTGGTTAAATACTACACCCAAAAGCTTCGCTGTTTTGGAGGGTAGGATTACCTTGCTGTTGATAGTGATTAGTCCCTTGTTGTGCCTGCTTTTCTTGTTAAATAAATTTATTCTGTCTTCTCAGCAGGAAAACAGGAGCTTGTCCGCTGGGCCCCATGCTTAATCCGGGGCATATCTTTTTCCTAGAGCTTTTAAAAGTTTTCCACTGCCGACGGCCCTGCCTGCTAACGGAAGTAGTCGTTAATATACATGAACGCCCCGCTGTTATAGCTAGCCAGCTGGCCGACCAAGTCGGAATTAAAGAAAGCAAACAGGATTAGTGAAAAAGGGGACCCCTAAGTAAAGCCTGTATTTTTAATCGTGGCAGTCTCTGTTTTAAAATCGTTAAATGTGATATTGGCCTCCTGGTTACTTATAAAGCTGTGGATCCACCGCCTTGCCAGCGTCGGGATGCCTTTAACCCGCAGCCGGGTGTCAAGACTTGTCTTGTTAACTCTATTTAAGGTTCCTTTGAGGTTAAGTAAGACCAGTATAACTATCTTCGATCGCAGCTATTCCCGGTCGATAGCATTTGCTAGTACAAGGAGAGTTTGCTTAGCATTACACCATGGTTGGCAGAACTGTGTGTTTGGTAGAAGTCTATGTTTCTTGGCCCAAAATAATAGGCGTCTGGCTATAACAGGCTCTAGTAATTTTCTAAGTGTGTTAAGTAGCGAGATAGGGTAGTATATCCCGGGGACTATGCAGGCTTCTGCAGCACCACAATCCGCGCCTGTCTCCACCAGCATAGGTAATATCTTAAATCCACTAACTTGGTAAAAATAATCGTGACGAGTTTTAAAATATATAGCCTAAGGCACTTCTATACAAGGGTTGGAAGCCTGTTTTCTCTCGGAGTAGTTGTTTCTTTCGCCGGTTAACTAATTAGTATATCCCCAGTTCCGTAATAGATTCCCACGGGATCTCGTCTGCTGGTGGTACTAATTCTTCTTGAGCTTCTACTATCTTCGGGAGGAATAATTCTGTCAAGAGTATTGCTTTGTCCTTGTTATCAGTTAACTTATCCGTGCCTACTGTCAGTAGCGGGTTGGTCGAGAAGCTATTCCGGGGTTTCATGTACGTTGCTGCTTTCCACAGGTGACCTTCTCCGGCCTTGTCCAGGAATTCCCTCCAATGTATGGACTTTGCCATTTCAATAGCTCTAGTCCGCGCTCGGCGTTTCTGGCGCATATTCTCAAATAGGGCCATAGATGTAGAGTGGGCAGGTCCCATTGCTGCACAGCTATCTTGCCGTCTTCGGCGCGCTCGGTGGACTTCAAGCTGCTGTGATTTGAGTTCTGGTGTGAACCATCGCTTCAAGTACCAGGATGGCTTTTGCCCAAGAGACAGAGACATAACTACACTGCCAAAGCTGCCCGTGGTCTAAGCCTTAACAAGTCCTTGCAACTGTGTAAAGCAGCTTCACCAGGCCGGCTTGTTCAGGCCACTGCCCCGGTTTTCGGTTCACTTAACTCCCGATGCGCGACCTCCAGATATTAAGGCCCCCTGCAAAAAATTCTCACACCTAGTGTCTCCATGTTCGCTCTGTAAGCATGCATTATCAGCACCTCAGCTAGAACAATATCACATCCATCGCCCAGCCGCAGGTTCTCAGTGCGAGTGAGATAGTGAAGAATGGTAAAACCTCCCCAACTAGGATGACACCACTCTGGCTGTTAAACTTCAGGTACTTAGTGCGAGTAAGGTAGCTAATTCTGTCTGTTTGCACACCGACGCGCGTCCGTCCTCTCGGGCCTAAGTTTCGGTCCCAAGTATGAGTCGAGTAAACAGTCATTAGATGGTTTTTATAACCCTTTTCCTCTGATTTTTCTGGGCTGGGCGGGCTAGGCAACCACAGAAAACTCTGCGGCTCGGCGATTCTTTTCGCTTCCCTCCGCAAGATAGGAGGGTACTGACACCGGACACCACGAGAAGGTTGAAATCAATCGTCCCAACTGCTTGACGGCGGCGGTTACCCGGCGTGCTCGCCGGGGGCGGGTACTAATGGGTGGTTCGAAGTCGGCTTCCCTTTTGACGATTCTTCGATTACTTCTGCGCTACTGACAAGGCGCTCCTCATAGCCCTGTCGATACCAAGTTAACGTAATATTCTCTGGCGTTTCAAGAGACTTGTTACGTTTTGTTCATAACAAAATTTACAACGCTAGGCTGTTAGAGTTAGTTTTCATATCATGCATGCAGGATCGTGTTAAACGTGATATAAACAATTACCAATGTTGATCAATGGTATTATGCTAACAATATGTCCTAGCGTCCGCACTCCACCTTGAGAGTGAGGCCTGTTAAAAGAAGAGAGTTTTAAAACTGCTGCTTTTTACACACTCTCTCTTGACTCCGGCCTGCTGTGGAGGTCGACCTTTCAACCTTACTCCATTCTGTTAGAAACCCATTTCGAACGTTTCAACGGACTATTGAAATTTACAATACATTACAGTCTAATTTTTGACTCACAATCCTAAACCTCTGTCTGGAAATTCTTTGCGATAATTATGTTTTCTCCAGGAATATACAAGGACTAGGCATGCAGAAGTGGCTGAGCTGGCTCGACCCCGCAGCTGAAGTGCCCCTTACCAGTGTCAGCAGTCGACAAAAGTCTCTTCCAAGGCATCTAATTCTGATGTTTTAAATATATAAGCTATACACCTGTATCAGACTCTAAATAATAACCACCGACTCGTCAATGGAGCTTGACCCGAATTTCTATACGGTCGCATGGATTGCCCCGCTGGAGATAGAAGCAAGAGCAGCCTTGCATCTGTTGGATAACCGCCACCAGGGCCAATTTCCCTGGAGCTACGGCTATGACTATTTGTTCCATGCCGGTGATATTAACGGACATAATGTGATTATTGCCACCCTGCCAAGTGGTCAAGAATATGGCACCGGCTCAGCAGCAGCTCTCGCCAGTCAGATAAAAGCTTCCTTCCCAAACATACGGTTTGGGTTATTGGTTGGTGTTGCGGCCGGGCTTCCGAATCTCTCGCGAAGTCCACCATATGATATCCGTCTTGGTGATGTTCTCGTGGGACTTCCAGACGGGGAAAGTGCTGGCCTCGTCGCATATGACCTGGGGAAAGACACAAAGAATGGATTTCAATTATTGTGCTGTGGACATGTATTGGCTAGAACGGAAACTATTGTCAGGTCGGCAATTGGTTGCATTAAGATTGAGTCGCCGCATGACGCGGACATCTTTTTGCCATTCTACGAAAGTATTCGAGACAAACGACATGCAAATGGCACATTTCGTGATCCAGGACAAGATCAAGACGAACTCTATGCGGTTGACAAAGATGGAGTCGAACGCACTGTTAAACGAGAACAGCGACCAGACTCGAAACGCGTGCACGTATGGTATGGTCCGATTGGATCCGGAGAGAAACTGATGAAGAATGCTGTGAAAAGGAACGAGTTGCGTGACAGATACAACGTGATTGGTCTTGAAATGGAGGCCGCTGGCACGATGAACCAGATTCCGGTTGGAGTTATCCGAGGGGTGTGTGATTATGGAGATGAACATAAAAGCAAGGAATGGCAACCATATGCCGCGGCCATGGCAGCAGCTTATGCTAAAGCAGTCTTGTATCAGATCTTCCCAAAGAGTATGCCAGCACAACATATATCTATATTTGCGTAAGGCTAATGAAATTTGCTTCAGGGGCACATACCATATAAGCCCAGGCCTCTTCAACTGTCCCTTTTGAGAAGGATGACATGTTTGTTGGCCGAGAAGACATCATAATGGCCATCAACAAACACAGGCAACAAAGGTAAAGACGATATCATAAAAGAATAGCGCTTGTTGGCCTAGGAGGGGTGGGGTAAGTCAAATATGATAGTATGCTATGATATAATCATTTAAAACACGTTCCAGGAAGTCTCCAGATAGCGATCGAGTACACATACCGAATTCGAGAATCTGCACCTAACAAATAGACATTCTGGATCCACGCGAGTAATACCAGCCGATTTGAGCAAGGCTACCGAGAAATCGCGTCTGTAGCAGCGATCCCCGAAAGGAATGATCCAAAAACAAACAATTTTCAACTGGTTAATAAGTGGCTGGCGGATGAGAAGAATGGCCACTGGGTGATCGTATTAGACAATGCAGATGATCACAGCATTTTTTTTGATACCTCTAGTGGAAATACGCCCTTGATAACTTATCTTCCTCAGGTGCCACATGGATCAATTTTGATCACGTCACGGAATAAGATGGCAGCACGGAATCTGGTGGGGTCCTATGGCGATGTGATTCCAGTAGAACCACTGAGTGTCGATGATGCACTCACTCTACTCCAAACCCGCATTAATATGGACCAATCATCTGAAAATCAAGCACGAGGGCTAGTGGAGGCGCTTGAACGCATCCCTCTAGCAATTACACAAGCTGGCGCATATATTGCTAATCGCACGAATTACAGTGTCGACTTACTTAGAACTCTTCCAGGAAAGTGAGTCAAACCAAGAGTGTCTTCTGAAATATGACGGTGCCAAAGATCTCCGGCGAGATGGAAGCATCCAGCGTCCCGTCATCAGCACATGGCAGATCTCATTTGACCAGATCCGTCGTGCATTCCCAGCAGCTACAGATCTGCTGGCGCTTATGAGTATGTTTGACCGACAGGGGATTCCAGAGGATCTTGTCAACCGGGGAAAGAATCGATTGACCTTTGAGGATACTATTGCTCCGCTAGTGAGCTTTTCTCTGATCCGGACTGAGATTGGAGGGCGGTCGTTTGAGATGCACCGGCTTATACAATTGTCAATCCGAGAGTGGCTGAAGCGGCGGGGTCGGTTTCATGCATGGACAAAACAAGGTCGTGAAGTGATGGGGGAAATGTTTCCTAGTGGAGATTATGAAACATGGACAACTTGTCAGATGCTTCTTCCACATTTAAAGGAGCTGATGCAGTTCCTGGTGGAATCTGACAAGGATGATCTGTTGAACGACACGAGGATTGCTAGACGATGCGGTTGGTACATTTACCTTATGGGGAAGTACGAAGAGGCCGAAGTGATGTATCGACGGGCACTCACTGGATATGAGAAGGTGCTGGGAGCTGACCACCCCGACACACTGATGAGTATGTGGCATCTCTCATATTCTTGGAAGAAGCAAGGCCAAGATGTGGAGGCTTTGGAACTCCTCCGATCTTGTATTCGGCTTCAACGCGAAAAATTAGGCCTCAGCCATCCTCATACTATGTCTTCTTTGGCTATGCTTAATAACTGGCAGAGACCGAGAGTCCCTCTTCCGAGATCCGCCGATGATTCCCCCAGTGCGCCGCCCTTCAGGGGTGGAAGTACCCAACTCATCATTAATAAAAAAACCAAATATCACAAATATGATATTCACGCCAGGCTTTTCCGAAAGAAGTAGATATATACACAATCTGCTTATATTTGGCTGTCTGCCAACTACCAATACACTGTTCATAAGTTCTGTTTGTGATAACGTATTCCACGGCTGAGCGGTAAATACGACGGAATGGAAAACTTTTCGCAACCACAACAAGTTTGAAGCTTTACAACCACCAACACCATTAGATTAGACAATTCAAAGCATAAAATAAATGGCTATTTACTAGGGCAACTTCATATAGTATGTCCAATAGTCCCACAACCCCTGCGGCGTGGTGGAGGTCGCTGGCAAGGTACAGATATAGCCTCATCAACCTGCTCATTAAGCTCCATATCAAGCTGCTTAACACGATCCTCACCTTCCTGTGCTGCTAAAAGAGTATTATTACCTACAGTAGCACGCCTCTTTGCCTTATTTTTTATTTTCCGCTTATTCTGTTCCTGTACAGACTTTATTTGTTGTTGAAGGAGGTTTATATTTATTGCCATCCGCGCTTGCTTTTCAAGATGTTGAATATAAGACACAGGACTGCTAGAAAGAGCTCTTCTTTTTTTGGAGACTTCTTTATAGTTCACGAACCTTGTGATCAAGCCGACGGGTCTTTTGAGGCGTTTGAAAAGCAGAGGAAATTAAGCCTTTAACTAGTGTAGGTATTGGTGTAAGTAGTGGGAAGGATATCTTTTTAAAAACCCGGTCTTTATAAGTGGTTTAATACCAACCCCTGCAAAGCCATTGCATATATTGCCGATAACTCTTTATTTCAGTACGCTACCAGTTATTCCACAGTACATATCAATTAATGCACAGGATAGTGTAACATCAAGGAGGTTTTTAAGTATCATTAATAACAGACGAAATATTCTAATGGAGCTACCAGACCTTTTGCCTGTACAGTACTATTTAGTATAGGCTAGGATTTATAACTAAATTTATATGTAACGGATAGATATTTTTAACGCTTTTGCTCTAGTACTGGGGAGATTTCCTTAGATATCTATTGTTTTCTACCGTAGAATTTTTATTTTTATTTTTTTGACACCCAATATTTACCTAACAGATGAGATCTGGTGTGGTTAGCTTTAGACGGGGCAGTGGCAATGTGCAGGCAAATGAAATCATCTGTCCATCCAAGTGTATATATGCCAGTTACAAATATGATCAAGTGAAAATATGTCTATGATTAAAACCATACTACTCCATGCTTTCACTACACAGATTCATCCTTGATAAGATCCGCTGCTCGCTCGGCCACCGCATACAGGGTGCTGACCAGATGTCCGCACACCTGGAAGGGCAGCACGGACGCATCTACTACCCGCACGTTTGTGGTGCCGTACACGATCAGATGGCCATTTACCACGCCGCCCAGCGATCGGGGCATCATGGCGGCAGTGCCCACAGGGTGGAAGTTCGACCGATCTGTTCAATTCATTATTTCCTGTGCTTTTGTGACTTGGGAGTAGTACAGTATGCTTACAGTGCCCATCAAACATCCATTCCTTCCAATCTTCTACCGATGCGTCTCGAGGAACAACCGAGAACCCAGGGGTGGATTCCTCAGCCACCAGGTCGCGCAGCGGAGCAGTCTCAAATGTACGGCGGATGAACCTGTTAATGGCCACATGGCTCTGCAAGTCCCAATCCAGCATAAAGTAGTTCGGGTTGATCGTCGGCTTCTGCAGAGGATTCGACGAGCCAATGTGCACGTTACCCCGAGCAAAAGGAAGGAGGCCCCAGAACTGGGAGGACAGGGTAGCTGCGCCGCCGGGCGTGTATATGATCTCTGCGATAGGGGTACGATCCTTAAAGATCAGATCGTGCTGGATCTCGAATAGCCGCTCGAGATCCACAGTCTTCATGCTTCCCCTGCTAACCTTGGCTGTGTCCACAGCGTACTGCTTTAGATTGGCTCGGAGGGAATTGGCTACGGCAGTGGTCTCGTTCCCGAAGATGTCGTAAGCATTAGGGTACACCACCACAGCAGAGCCGTCAGTGATATTGGTGCGAGATGTCGCGGCCATGCCGCTGTTCATCTGGTCTTGGAGGTTCTCGCCAACAGTGGGCAGGTTAACACGGACAGGTATGTTGTACTTTTTTAGGATATCTGGGTTGCCAATGCCGGACAGCTCGAGAAGAGCGGGTGATTTCAACGATCCCGCGGAGATTATAACCTCCTTCTTCGCACTAATCACTCTGACAGTTCCATTGTGAGAGGTGATCTCCACACCACTGGCTGTGATGTCGCCCTTGTTTTTGTTCTTCCCCAGGCCCTCGCGCCAGACAATCCGGTTGGCAAAAGTGTTAACGAGAACGTGCAGATTTTCTCGAGACTGGTACGGCCAGTAGTACGCGCGGGCTGCGTCCTCGCGGACCTGACCCTCCGCATCAATCGTCGAAGGGTAGATACTGAACCCCCGCATCTTGCCCCCGTTGATGTCCTCCGTCCAGGGAACTCCCAGATTTTGATGCGTCTGGTTTAGCAAGGCCGTCAACTGGCTAGGCGAGGTGACCGAGTATGCCAGTTTAAGAGGACCGTCTTTTCCATTCCACGCGGGGTTAGGAGCCGCGCCCGCGGAAACTTGCATCGTGGTCGGCTGGGTCAAGTTCTCACTTTTCAGATAGTAGGGGAGAAGATTCCTCCATGTCCATCCTTCATTTCCAATCGCTTGCCACGCATCGATTTGCACGTCTTCCGCACGGGTATATGCCATGCCTGGGATTGATCATCAGATTCTTGCCATATTCATAGAATAAATATAACTGGGCTAGGCTTACCGTTAATAGCACTGGTACCGGCGAGGGCCTTGCCAGCGCGAAGAACCTGACGAGTATGGCCGCCATACGTCTGGTTCACGGACTCGTATTGCCAGTCGACCTGTGTACCGAAAGCAAGTCCATAGCCATCCACAGCGGTCACATTGGGATTATCGAGAACGGAATCACCCGCCTCAATGATCAGAACGTTCTCCTGTGGATTGTTCTCGGAAAGGCGATTAGCCACCGCCAGGCCGCTCGTGCCGCCCCCAATCACGATATAGTCGTATTGGGATGGAGCAGCTGCCGCCAGGGACAGTGTGGCTAGTAAAGTTAGACCGCGCAGCATGGTAGCCAGGGAGAGACCAGGGAAAAATGGTCGATTGGTCGGTTCTGGTGCCGGGGGATGTAGGTGTAGGTGCAACCTGACTTTTATATCTCATTGATAAGTCCGTCGAGGTGCTCTTAGTGTGTCATTTGAGCCTGTCCCTTGCGGCCCTCACTGTGGACTCCTTGCTGCGTTGCATAATCTTTTGTCAGCAGAAGGGAGAGAGGATTGATAGATTTTTTTTGGCCCACTTGGTGGAGTCGTCCGTCTGCAAAAATTTATTTGATATATACCTCACGAGGATAATGATCTACGTTGCGCATCCTGTAGGCTGTATGCCAAACAAACATGTGCTCTGGTAAATAATTTTTTTAGTCATATACCGTCTACATAATTATAGATAAAAGAGCCAAAAAATAAAAGACGTAAAAAAATATTGTAGACAGCATTGCCACAAAGCCAATTTTATCTAATCTTATCAAGTAACGGCATCCGACGGTCCACCATATCCGTTGTCTCGGCTTGCCGGGCAGGAATTAGTCTAAGGCGCTAAAAGCTAAGATTCGACGTATTAGTGCCAAGACTACCCAGGAGGAGAAGGAATATGGACTACGCATAACTTCATCACATAATATTCATGCTGCTCTTTTGATTTCAAACATTGCCAATGCTTCTTACCATATATATTATCCTAAGTGATTAAAAAATGTGCCTTAAAATTAGCTAAAAATTAATTCTTAAGTACTTGTAAATAACTAGTTTAGAGTTTTTTAATAATTTGATAACCTATTCCTGTTACTGTAAGAGGGCTTAACGAATAAGAAGTGATATGCAAGTGGCATACAGTTATTTAAATATTTTACATACTAGGGGTATTGTCAAATTCCAACCAGTCAGGTAACTTGCTAGGGGCGGGACCCACTTTCCGAGTGGATACGTCTCCTTGCCGCGTCGGATCATCGTCGGAGGGATTATTATTAAGTAACGGATTTTCAATGCTTAGGTTAACTTATGGATCACTGCACACCTAAGCAAGAACCTTCCATACGACCCAAAAATGGATACCAAGCGATCTGCAACCACGGGATGCAACGGGATGGCGCGGAATGTTCCGTTCCTAACCTTCAGTTATGGGTTATGTTATGGCTTGTCACGGGTTAAAGGCAGTATGGTTCTCAGACTAAGGCCTTCCCTGCTATATAGGGCGCTAGATGCGACCGATCTGCCGATCAGTCGTCTTGTACCTTTTTATATGGTCAAGTTGGTTTATCTCTCCTAGTGCAGAGACGACAAAACGGTCACATGGCCGCTGTAATATTCTAGGTTGCAAATCCTATTCCGCTAGGATATTATTAGTCCCATACTTAATATTCTGGGAGTAAATCTTGTTCTTGGGCCAACATTCACTGCATTAAATGTTATAAAATATACCTGCTTATCTACATAAATATAGTATTTTTAATTGTAATATCTAGCCCGGATTACTGCATCTAGTTTAAGGATTATTTTTTAAGTCTGGCTTAATCCTACAGTAGTATTAAGAATAATATGAATTGTCTAGTTCTCCTTGTCTAGGTCTCACAGAAGAAATAAATGTTGATAGTAATTATTACCTTTAGAATAACATACATACACTATAGCTCTTAAACCTCTGTGGGCATAATATTAATAAATAAAAGCCTCCCCCAAAAGCCCTTGGCTGATGTCATGCGCTTGTCGCCTACTTTGTAACTGTATAACTACCTACAACAGATACACACCCAACCCAACCCCATTGCACAAAATTACCTGCATCATATATAAATTAAATTGCCCTTCTTGCAAGGTACCTAAACTGGCAAATCTACCGTTTGAAATTGTGTGCAGGACACATATCCATCCTTCACATCGACCCAGGCACCACGGTCCAAGAACGTCCAAGTCTCATCTGCATTCACATGGGAATACACTTCTGGCTCATCCTGAACGATAACGCAGCCCGTGTACTGACCAAAGTCTGTGAGCTGGGCGCTTGTCGCAAAGATACCGCCGCGCTTGGCAAGGTCTGATTTGCCATAGAGTGACTCGATAGAGTGATGTTTGCGCCGAGAGACACTTCGGCTTTAGCGTGTTCACCAGACCAGTTGTTGGAGAGTTGGAGAATCACACTGTCAGTCCAAGGCCTGAAGAAAGGCCTAGGAGGGGGAATGGGTTAGCAGTGGTAAGGACGGTGAAGAGAAGTCCAATGGCATTTGTAAGCTTCATCGTGGCTGTATAGGTAGTATCGTCCCTTTTGCTGTAACTGGACTGGATAGTTGAGGAATTATGGTTGTTTTGCTGTGCTGAAACGATTTCTAACGATTTCTATTGAAGGAGCTATCCATCAACCCCCATTTATAACCCTTGGTGATTGCAACTGTTTCTGGGGAGTTTTGTGTCAATTATATCATAATTAAAGCATCAGAGCCTTAGTTCCATGGTGCAGAATATTATGATTACTCCTACCAGGGCTGTACTGCAACTGGGCACGAACTGAAAGCTACATAATCGATGACGTAAAGTCGATTGCCGAATTTCTGTTTACATAGATGTGAATGGGCTTTATGACTAGATTGGAACAAATCTTGATGACTGGGCTTGATTTTAGCCACTACGAGGACTCAATTTTTGTCGCTTATAGACCTTGTGTCTTTATCATGGCCACTGTTGCTTGCTACATTTATTACGCCCATGCATATGCGAGTGCTGTTTAATGGGGCTGTGGGAAAGGTCACAGAATACCTAATGAATTACCCATTACGTACAATGCCCTAATTATTTTACTTCCACTTATATATGCACGCGTCAGGATATTCCAGTGTAGGGCAGCTAGGGCTTTTCGTTCCTGATGTGACCGGAGTGGAAAATAGTCGTAAGAATGTTGTGATCGGAACTAGCAGAACAGAGATTAAATAAAAATTTACCATTGGTTTATTGGTTTCCGCATAAACAGCAGCTTATCATCTAATTAAAAAAAATAAAAAAATATATATAAAATATAGTATATACATATGTGCTATAGAACCAGGGTTACGTAGCACAGCGTATTAATATCAAACAAGCAAATCTAAATTTGGTGGAAGTTAAGTGTAATAGTCAGGTTCTTTTACTAGGTAATTTTAAACACATGTATGCTAGAAGTCATTTTGTAGGATTCTTTAAGGTTATTTTATACTTTTGATGACCCAGATCAGGCATTTCCGCATAATCCCGCAGCCAAAGCCGTTGAACTCTAACCAAATAGCCGGAGGCGCAGGAAGCATAAGTTGCTAGCTGCCTGACCTCTCTGTCGTCTTGGTCGAGAGAATTATTCAGCGATGCAGGCTGCTTTCCCTGAGGTCTTAAGGCCTTGCTAGTAGGTAGTTGTACCACGCGTCGCGTGATGCCACTAGCCCCATTACATTACCAGAGCTTGAACCAGTACAAAGCTTAAAATGGAAGTTCATACAGTAGTACGACATAACTTGGAATATCAAGGCAGATGATTGCTTGGAATAATTAATGTATACTTTCCCCTTGACAAACGTAGCAAGCCACGGCACGGAAGGGTATGGCAACCGGCTTAAGAACTCTGCATGGGCGTTGCCATCAACGCCTGTTCGCATTGATGCTCCTTCCAGTGTACGCTGATCAGCATAAAAAACACCCGATATATATGGTTAGCCCCGTTCCCGGCCGTTGACACGAAGAGTTCAGTATATTTACCTGTACCACTTCTAAGTGAAAAAAGCCTTCCGTCCGTAGAAAACTTGAATTTAACGGACCTTGATGATCTAGAGGCCATGACACGAGGCTCTGCGTTCCCATTCCGAAGGAGAGGTGCTTTTTTGGTGGAAGAAGGGCACCGGATCCCAGATCTTCGTGCCATATGGCACAGAGGATCACCCAATATATCGCATCCGGGCAGGGTCCTATGAGCCATATGATCCTATGTGTGTCCCCAAGATTCTGTCAGTCCAGAAGGCCGATCCTAAGACCAGCTTTAGGAATACCCGGCCGGACGAACCCCAGAAGGTTCCCCAAGCAACACAGCCGCGTGGTCGCGTGAAGCTGATCTCCGAAGGCGAAGACGGAAATTTAACAGAGGCGTGGAAGTTCACACGGGCGGATGTGGCTGGAATCCTCGGAATCGGATGGAAGATTGACGACGACGATGAAGAAAGTGTCGAGCCCCTGGACTGTATTTGGCCCGAGCCTTATGCCTGCTATCCCCAGACGCGGGCGTTGGTCAAATGGAAGGATGGTCAAGTTACCTTGGAAGACCGTTCGTTTATCCGCCGTATCACTCAGGGTTCTAATCTACAAGGAGACAGGGTGATCTACCAGAAGGCTATGGCAAGCGAGGTTCTATATCGACAGGAGGAAGGCCTTCCCTAAGAGCATCTTCTGCAGAAACTGGCTGCTGTCAAGGCTAAAGCGCCCATGCACACTCCCCAGGAGGACGAAGATGTCGATCCAGAAGTGGTCACGGTGGCCTCACAAACTCCAAGCCCTGACCAACGTTTTGCGTCCATGACGCGCAGCAGCGCAGCCCCTACCTCTCAGCGGGCACGATCGAGAGCCAGCGAGGTCCGATTTGTCCTACCATCCTCTACCCCTTCTCGAGCCGCTGCTCCCGTTGAAGATCCACGCGATGCCGAGCTTCGTTTCCTAAGAGAGAAGATAACACAGCTGGAAATGTCCGCTAAACAGCCGCATCCGCAGTATGACGCACGCTGCAGCGCAGCTCCTGCATGGGAGAATCGTAATAGATTCCAATCTGAAATATCCGAATACACCCCAGAGCCACCTCGACGTCGACAAGGCCGCGCGAGAAGGGGCCGTGGTCAGCCGGCGTGGAATCATTGGACCGGAGGATGGACGCCAGCTAACCAGACCTACTAATCTTTGTGGCGCTGACTACGTCTCAGTCGTCTACAGCCCATTAAGGGTCACCTTGTGGAAACATTTCACACTACAGAACTATCTTTTTGTTGCCTCTGCTTAAGATCGTGTTTCATGTTCTGTATTTCACATTCCAATGTCTTACCTCAACGTGAGATATTGTGTAATCCTGTCATTCTGCTGATCCAGGTTAGCCTAGATGGCCTTTTACAGACAGATAGTCATTACTTTGCGAATAGCTTGCACCAACGCTTCGTTTTGTTTCATTGTCCTCCTCCAGATAGCTAGAACAATCGTTCCGGTAGATAAATTCCGACATGTATTGTAGTAGGCTACTTTAGCCAGTCGTATTGTTGTTGATCCACACGTATGCTGGAGCGATGCCTCTCGATCGTTCGTTTGTGACAACCGGCAGCCTCAACTTTCTGTGAGCCTGAGAGGTTGTTGCTCACAATCATAGGTCATCTCCCTAAGACAGCAAAAATCGCTTGAGCAAGAGGAGATGCTAAAGCAGAGGTTAAAAGCACCACGAAGGCCACCAACCTGCAGTAATTGTGGTAAACAGGGTCACAATAGACTCAAGTGTCCTAGTTAATAACGTCATCTCAATTATACAATGAAATCCTTTTATTTTGTTGAGATATTACTCAATTTAAAAGGCCTCTTTGTATGGGGCGCACAGTTTGGTCGGGACCGCTAAGCTCGGTGGACCACCCAGCTCGGTGGCCGATTAAGTTATATATATAAGCTGGTAACGTATTTCACAAGCGAGCGTTCACACAAATCGAGCGTTCCACCCTCCCAATTTCAACGCATCAATCATTTGAAGCAATTTAACCACCCACCATGCCACCAAAAATGCATAAGAATTCAAATGCTTTAGATGAGAAGGATAAAAGGGTCCAACATGCAATATCAGCTTTTAAAAATCAAGAAATTTGCTATTACGCGAAGCAGCACGTGTTTATAATGTCTCCCACACAATTTTACGCCGTCGGCTCAAAGGCACTCTAAGTCGCAGAGATATTCGCGCTAATAGTCATAAATTGACTCAAAATGAAGAAGAATCGCTTGTACGATGGATCTTATTACTAGAACAACACCGAGCTCCTCCCCGACCATCTTATATACAAGAAATGGCCAATATTCTTCTTTCCAACCGTGATACTACACCTATTAAGACGGTTGGTGCAAACTGGGTCTACAACTTTGTTAAGCGGCGTAATAAGCTTAAGACGATATAATCACGATTCTCCTTAGTCAAAACGGACTCGGCGATTCTCATTTTATTTTTCCTCAAGATTGCATCTCCCGACGCGCCAAAGATCCCACTGGGCCCCCTGTGGAGCTTCGATCCCTTTGGCACGATCCTCTTCCTACCAAGTATTGTTTATCTTCTCTTGGTCCTGGAATGGGGCGCTGTCAGCTATGATTGGAGTAACTGGTGTATTATCTTCCTGTTCATCGTCTTTGGGCTATGTGCTTTTCCGGCAGCTAAAATCGCCTTTTAACTAAATATTGCACCGCTCCGGGTCCTGCTGATTGGCTTTGTTATTAATTAATTTTTTATGGGAGAGAAAGCGACGATTCCACCTCGTGTTAGCGGCCAGCGATCGGTGACAGCGATTTTATATTTATCCTGTGCACCTTTGGCCCCTTTACCAACAATGTGTACTTCATCCCAATTTATTTCCAAGCCATTAAGGGAACCACTGCAATGGACTCGGGAATCCACATGATTCCTCTTATCGTGGCGATTATAATTATTCTCCTTTTGACCGGGGTTACCAGCTCGAAGATTAATTACTACATGCCATTCTTTTATAACTGCTCCATCATCACCTCCATCGGCTACGGCCTGATTACCACATGGACAGTGGGTAGCTCCGCCAGAGCCTGGATCGGGTACCAGATCCTGGAGGGAATTGGGACCAGGTTAGCTTTGTAACTCCCACCCTGTACTGTCCAAGCAGTATGTCTCCTTTAATATGCATGTTGGCACCGTGAATTATATTCTCTAGGTCCTTCTGGATTAAGACACTGCGACCGGGAATTGCAACTGTCCTGATATTGGTATTTTTTGGGGCCGCGCTCTTTGTACGTGTCGGAAATAATCTTTTTAACTTGAAATTAACTATATATATGCAGGAGCTCAACATTCCAGGTCTCGATATAGCCAAAATTGTTTAGGGAGATGTCACTAGTTTACGGCAAAGTGTCCCTGCGGAATATCTGACGGAGGTTTTCGATGCGTACATAAGGGCCATGCGATGGCTATTCCAGATTTTGCTAATTCTCGCCTGTCTCTTCATACTTAGTTGCCTGGGGACAGAGCTGAAGAAATTCAAGGGATATAATAAAAAGACCCCTATTACTGAGAGTGAATCTTCCGTTGACGAGAAATAAGGGACTTGATTAGGTGTCTGACAAGTGTTGCCGGCCGAGGTGCTATTTATAAAGGGAAGGGAGGGAAGGGAGGGAATAGAATTATTGCATATTATTCCTGTATAATCATCGTTTAATTTGTACACTCCCCATGGTTCTTTTAAATTGTTTTTAAGTAACCAGTAAAATATTATTATAGTTATATCAGACCCTTTAGTAGCTATCTGTCTATTATCACTGAGTGCCAAAACCGACCGCTTGATAGCCAGCCCGTAGACCTCGCGCTCCACAGATCTATACAGCGTCTCCGCAATCTCGGAGACGGTCATCCCCTTCCTATCGGCCTGACCAGAGGTATCCGCTAATACCTAATAAACCTGACGCTTATAATACTCTCGCTACTTAATAACCTTAAACATTTTCTGCGGCAGGTCCCGCAACATGTCTCCATGCGCAGGATACCCAAGCTGGCAGTTCGGATTCGCCATGTCCCAGAGACTCTTTGTGAACAGGCCCAGGTCCTCAAAGACCGACTGCCCATGGCTGAGGATATTATCACCCGTGAATAAGGCATTTTCTTCCTCGAGCTCGAAACAAATATGGTCGTGAGCATGGCCCGGGGTGAAGACGGCGCGGACGGTAGCGCCTTTAACGCGGAAAATATCTCTGTCCACAATGGCCTTCTGGTTGTGATATGGATCACACTTGTTGATCCAAGCGGTGCATTCGGGCCGATGCGCGATGAGATCCGGCACCCCGCCTGTGTGGTCGCTGTGCCAGAGGGTAAAAAGCACGTGGGACAGGGTTATTTCCAGGCTGGCCAGGACTTGTCGGATGTGGTTGGTCCAGAAGGCTTCACCCTAAAAGTATTGATTAGGTGTCGCTGGTCATGATGGATGGAAGGGTACGAGACATTCCCACCTGGCCTGTATCTATTAGTAGCCTTGACTTCCCGGTGCCGACAATGTAGGTGTTCGTGCCTTGCAGGCGCATCAGACCGGCGTTTCCGCCGAGGATTCGGAGTGCGTGTCTGATTCCGTATAATTGTCTGATTATATGGGATATTGGTATGGAGGTGAGAATTGAATGTATTCAGAAGGATGTTCTGCCCAACCCCTCTATGAGGAGTATTGGGTATATATATTCACATGATGTCCCAATATGGGCTAGCTTTATTCTGACAATAATATGATCAATAAAATATTCCACTCTACGACGTACTGAACAGTCATATATAGATTGACGCCTACCAAGAAAACAAAATTCTTTTGCGGAAGTTAAGTTTGGTTCGCCGACTCAACCCAATATGTAATTGCTGCCTTGCCAACCTCTAAGGTGAGAAGGGAACTCGAGGCCGAAATAATAGTCGAATTCAGCGAGTTTCCAGTACAGGTAAATGTTTTCACAGTGTCTGGCAGCTTTGGATATTTCATGACGGGAACACCCGTCATATCAGTCCGCTAAACGCCAAGAAACGGGTGATATTTGTCACTCGGTGTAGCCTTAAAAATTGGGGTGGATGAAGGCTTAGCCCTCGTATTTATTCGACGTAATAGCCCAATTACTGAATCTGGTTAGAGGATCGAAATTATTTCGCCTCAGCTACCGCGTTTTGACAGGTTTACTTAAATTCACTAGCATAGTGTACAGTAATTATGAAACTTAAACAGCTTGTATCGTAACACTAACTAAGACTGCCGATTTCTCAACTGGCCCACCATCGAAGTGGACTGGCAGGCACCTCTAACTTCGGGTATTGTATAGGATACGAGGTGGTGGCTAAGCTCTGATCAACATGGTGGAGGGACTCAGATGACACTGTCTGAACTGGTTTGGTACAAAATAGTTGAAGCTGTTCGACAACATATCTTTTGTAAAGTATAACTTCAGGGGTCGGTGTAGCGAGGTAAGAAGCTCAAATCCGGCTTGGAGCGGGACCAGGAAATAGTGCACTGAAGGTACCAGGGTATGCTGACTGCTCATAAGAGTGTATAGCAAATGTTGTTACCTTGATCACATCATCGCGTTTCGAGGGCAGCGGAATGAACAGAAGGTTGCATACCAGGAAACCAGGAGGTAGACAGGAACTGTTTAGCCATCATGACGCTGTACAGGTAAGGGCCATACAATACATTTGTAATAGAATCTACTCCATCTACTGTAATGGGACATTGCATGACGGGTGTCCTGGAGCTACGGAAATAGAGTTTGTCACAGTGACAGACACACAAATCACTATAGTTAGTGTCCTGATCATGAAACAGCAGTAATGACTACTTAGATGCTGATTGTCTGAGTGGTACTTGTTCCCTTGTATGCCCACCTGTTTATCCAAGCTTTATCCAAGCTAAGCAATAAGAAGACTATTTGTGGAGCCTACCAATAACTTTGAATTGTTCAATAGGAAGAAGATTTTATAATGCCCCCACGTTGACCCCCGTGTCCTTCAAGCACCAGTCGTCTAGTTAGCGATTGTAGTAACCGCAGAATATTAAAATACTCACTAGCTAGACAAGTGCCTCGCCTGATCTTCGTTAGATAGGTACTAAACAAATGTTGCGCAGGCATATCCAACACTCGGTAAACAAATAAGGTACATGATGCTGACCTAGTAAACGAGAGCTCTGGTTAAACTACTCGTGGAGGACGGCAGTGGGTGTAACCTTCTTGTTGCACATGTGAGATGATCATTGTCAAATTCAACTACCGAGGTCTTGCCAATTTGCGGAGCCGATTGGGTCTTGTAAGATGTCCCCAACTCTGGAAATATCTCAAGGCCTCTTTGGTAGATCACAGATTTGAAGGACGGCAATAGGGATGTTGCTCCTATCTGCATATGTCGATAAAGAGTCAAATATGTGATCATCTGCGACAATCACCAAATGGTGCATTGCGTTGTTAGCCAGTAAACAGCGATTCCTATCAGTTAATTTTGGAGAAGCAAGATTGGAGAAGACAAGGGTAACAATGTCCAATATCCATAGTTCATAAGGAGGAGGCATACCTAATCCATCCGAACCTGATGATCTAACAACCCTATTTGGATAGCGCCATGTTCAACCCATATGCTCGTGGGTGCCACGACACAGAAAGACCATAGAGTTTGGGGGATTGCCGGGCGGGTGAATGGAAGTTGAGCGCTTAGCCAGAGTCATTGAAGATCATGTTCCAGATAGAGATGTGGATCCTGGAACTGTTTCCGGCTCTCATCAACTGGGTAATGTAGATCCCGCGCACATTTACATCTGATGTCCCGAGAACTTAAAATGACTAACTGGTAAGTTAGGTAACTATTGGGGCAAAATTAGGTAGGACGGTCAACATTTGTTCTCCGTTTTGTATTCTGGAGGAGGGCTACTCTGGTTCATTAAATGATCATCGAACTTTGCCTTGAATTATTAACCTAAATAACAAGAGTAGTGAAGATTTTTATAATAGGCCCTATTGCTTGAGTCTGGTTCTTATTTTTATTATGTATTAGTTTAGGAAATTTCTCCACTTCGTGCGTTCGCAGTCATTACCTAATATGCTACTGTGCCGGTCCCACCTGGTTGCATACTGCCCTGTAGATCACACTTGACTCCGTAAGGCAGATGGCTGCAGACCATACTATACATTGTAATATACAATTGCTCTGGCATCACTTGTTTTCTTCTTTTCAGTTGCAGAACATAATTTAAAGTTGAAAGACCATAAAAACACTGTGTAGTTGCTTATTCTCCCCTCACTCGACAACCACCTGTATATCGGTTGTCTTGTAAATATGACCATCCTTTTGTTGATGATAATTCACATGAGCCTGACTTTTATCCGCAGAGCGCCTTCTATCTCCCAGTGCATAACCATGAGTGGACGACACAGAACACCAAGACCAGGGTTCTGACTTGCCACTAGCTCCTGCAGCGTTACCCATAACAGGAGTTTGTACAGCATGCTTCAAGAGGTTTACCATGGCGAGTTCAATGTTGAGCTTTGCCAAATATACCACCGGGTGGAACTGGATATAGACAAGCTGGTTAGGAAGTGACATGAGGCCAATAATTAGTCCCTACTCAGATTAGCCAACATAGCCAGCCTGTGAGCTTGCTAGAAATACTCACGTCCAAGCAGATTGATAAGACTATCAAACGAGTATTGAATCGAAATAGTGGGGTGTACTTGGACAGACCGTGGCGCTCAATTAGTCGCTTTTTAACGCTCCGCGTAAACCAGACATTCAAAGTTGCATCTACAAGAAGAATAAGAATCTTGGAGATGCGATCCCAGTATTTGTTGATGGTTACAAATACTTCTGAGACAGGAGGGTCCAAATGAGCAGGGATCCAAATACAGAAGACTGCAATATTGATGAGGGTGATAATTGCAGCAGTCCACCATTTAATAGCAATTACTTTGCTTTTCTTTGCAGCAACGACCATGACCCGATTCACAAGAATTTGCATGAGAAAATGGATCTCGAAGGCCCACAAGAACAGAATGCTAAATAAAACCGGAATCCTGTGATAGATGATAGAGTTAGTGCATGTTCCAGGCTTATAAGACAACAGCGGAAAATATGCAGAGATTCGTTACCCTAATGGAATGACCTGCTCTAGAAAGAGCCAGGCAATCACACCAATGGCCAGGTTAACGAGTATCTCCCCCCATACCATAATCAAATACGGACTTCGAAGTGGTGATGGGTGAGCTCGCGTCTGTTTTATAGCATTCCACACTGTCAGAAACCCAAATCCCAAGGTGAATCCCGCAGCGAGTCCGGCTAGTTTAAAGTCGCTACTGCTAGTAGCCATATCGACAAGTATATATATATGTATAAAGGCAAATGAATACCAGATAGGATAACAATAGTAAGAGTATTAGAAGTTGCGCATGCAGAGGTTGAATAAAATGAGCCCTGAGCAGAAAAGGCAGAATTGAATTGGAGGAGAATCTATGATGTGTTTTTTTATCCCTTTGCTTTTTTCTATCTTTTCCTATTAATTCCATTCTCTACGAAGGGCCCTTCTTTGAGGGGTTGCTGGAGGAGTTTAGCTTTGGGGTTTCATGGGTCAGGGTTGTGAGCCAACCATTATTAAATTTGATAAATCCCGCGCTGTCTTCCCTGGCACTATCGATTAAGATTTAGAGTTTAATTTATTCCCATAGAAGCAGGGTTCCATACAATGGTTCCATCTCAAATTTGAAGCTACTGCCGTTCCCACCTGTCTCTCCAGTGCGCTAAAACACTAACGGAAGTTGATGGCAAGTTTGAATAATCTTCATGTAAAAATTTTCTACCCGTCTGAATCTTGTGAATCTTCGTTAAGGACTGGATAAACCGGAGACGAACAGTGCATGCAAACCCCTGGGCATGCGTAAGACCTTTTTCTTTTCTTTTTTATTTTTCCTTCTACGGCATAGTTCAGAGCAAGGAAATTTGTTGGAGCCCCACTGACGAGGGTCATAGGCTGGTTATCCATACAAATATTATTAAGCTTGTCAATCCATTCTCCATTCGGTTAGTACGGATCAGTATGGATATGGATGGAATACCTGCCCATACTTTACCATTCCTCATTAATTTTATTGTACTATTATTCAACCTTTTGAACTCAGCCAATTTTGAAGCTCTTTCTGTAAATTGTAAATAAAATTTAAATCTTATATCTATCTACTAACTGCTAAATTGCTATCACATTTAGACTAACATTGGAAACTTGGAGGTCCAAAACCAAAATTACAGTAATAGATCTGTAATGCCAAGAAATATCAACGATTATCTGTATTATGAAAACCAAGATACAAAGTAATGCCAAGCATTACGGGCGGTTATTAAATCCACACTAGGTATGGGTGGAAACGGGTATTAGTGTATGGAAAACTGTTATGAGCGCTCTGACGCGCGTTAGCTTCAGGTTACTGGTTGGGTGGCATGGTTCTACGGGTGAGATGCCGCGCTAGTCAATCACATGACCAATTTTACGGCTTCCAGAAAATAGTGCTCTACATCGGCCCCGGTTCGACCTCGCTTTCACTATTTATGTAAGCTAGTTTGTAGTGGCCTCCCATTCAATAGAACAGGCAATCGCTTCCAACATGTGGGGAAGTGATTGCAGGATTCCGCCTGACCCGCCACAATTGAGAGCACGGAGCTGGAACCGGGCGGCTGTGGATGGGAAGATCAAGTATCCTCCCATTTTTAACACCAAAGAGCTGGCCAAGATTAAATTTGTTGACGGCGTTGAAGGAGGGGAGAAGCACAGCTCTGTCTACTTGCAGTCCTAACCGCTTGAGAAGCTCCGGCCTCTGATAATATGGGTCAAGCGGCGCCAGAGACTGAGACGGGGAAGTGGACGTGGAGCGGAGTTCATGATGGTTCAGGCATTGTGGATAAGGATGGGACTCTCAAGTTTGTATTGCTGGGGTTCCACTCGCAGGGTGCTTTTGGGCTACTTGTCAGGCCTCTGAGTTGGGGCCGTAGGTTGTATATTAGAATAGGTACGATGTGAATGTTTCTCCCTGGAGATCCTTCTTGGTGGGAGACCATGAGGCAAAGAGTGACCATCATTTAACTGTTTGTCTTTGCAAATCAACTTAATACAACACACACCAGGCAGAATGGAAGGGTTTAGCAAAAATCAGGCATCCCGAGTTCCGGCCATCTTCTCAGGCTCGTTGCCGATTGCCCATGAAGTCGGTTCCCATACGGAGGATGAATCAGTAGTATTAGAGATAGCCTGTCATGTATGCATTCGGTGATCGTAGAGTAGCATGTCTTCTGTAATCGCCGATGCCCCCTATACGCTGGGATTGAAATTCCATGCAAAAGACCCATCCTCAAATGCAAATGGATCCCCCTGGAAGTTACTAAACTCCGTCGCCAGCGCGGACGACTCGGCCAGGAATTCCGACAGATGTGGTTGCGAGGTGGGCGTGCACCCAGCATCAGTCGTCGACGGGAACATACGTGTGGCTCGGAACTAGGCTTGTCAGTGAAGGGGTCCAGGGTCCAGGATTTATCTGACGAGTTCATACCATCTGTGCGAATTCTTCCAGGGTATACGCATACGACTGCTGCGAGACGGACGGAAGGAGATGCTGGCGACACGCCGAGAGGGCCTTCATCGCCCCTTGCTGCATCCACTGTTCCTTGAGTTCGGCCGACCCCCGCGCGCGGACCGATTGCAGCACCACCGCCAGCAGGAGGACATCCTTCAAGTTGCCACCAGTCTCGCCGATGGTGCGGGTCAGGCCGTCCAGCGTGTTCTCAACAAGGCGCGTCAGACTGGCCTTAGTGTGAGTTGGGGTTCGCGAGGCTGGAGAAGCCTCCTGCATCGATGATGCCGGGGTCTGCACGGTAGACTGTTGCTGGCTAGATAACTTCATGTACCCGCAGACGCTGAGTGCCGCCCACGAGATATCATTCCTGCAAAGCCGTTTGAAAACCTCCCAGTAGGCGGTGGACTTGAAGAAGTCGAGGTCCGCCACACTGGGGTCGAAGTAATCCTGGTAGGAGAGCACCACGAGCGACGACTCGAGGCAAGCCTGCTGGACTTCGAGGAATAGTGGGTCCTCGCACCTCTCGCCCATGATAATCGGCCGGTAGAGACATAAGAGCGGCCGGCGAATGCAGATGTCCAAGAGCACACGGTTTAGCAATAATGCTGGACTGTCACCTTTCGGTGGTCTGTGATCAAGTCTGAGAGAGGATGGTATCCGTCGGAGACACTCTTCCACCCGCCGCCCGTGCTGGAGAGTCTCGCTCAGATCTGGACGAGTGGTTTGCACGAGGGACATGGCCCGGATGCGATGAGGCAGCGATGTTGCTAAGATAACCTGCGCCAGGGCATCTGTCCACTCATGTAAGGGCTTCGCAGGGGGCAGCTCAGTGATTGACTCGCTAATATCCACGTCATTCAGGTTCGCTGGGGTGAGGGGTGTGAAATCCAGATTGGGAATGGTGACCGGCATGCCGGATAAGATAGATGCCTGAAGGTCCATTTCTACAATTGTGATCCAGAGTCGACGACGTTTTTCTACTTCAAATGCCGAAAGATCCAGACATTGGGACAGATCCAGGTGCAGGCCCATGACCATGGCGGAACGCACCAGCATCCCCGTGGCACGCCACAGTTCCTCAGGCGACACTAGCCGTACTTGACGGGCTAGCAGCACAAGAGCCTCGACTTGTAGGGTGCACAGCTCTGTCCGCTGCTTGCGACCCAGCTTTTGCATCCACGTCCTCACGAGGTTGACAGCTGGTGTCTGCAGGTACTCCCACACGGCGACCTGATCCTGTCGGAAGTCCGGATCTTCCAGTGGCAAGGCGACGGTCAAAACAGCCGTGAGCTGGGGAAGAAATGCGGACAATCTATCCTTATTCGACTCGTGGTTCGCCCAGAAGTTAGCGTACTGGCGAAGGAAAGTCGGGATGTGGAGGATGCGGAACGTCTTCTCAAAGTTGGACGTGTAGAGGTCGACTAGCCGGTCACAAACTGCTTTGTGTGGGAGGCACGCCTGCATCTGGAGCAACTCCGGGGAGCAGTCCAAGTCGGAGATAGACTCGGGTGAGTTCAGCGACAGCTTCGACTTGCTCTGCAGGAACTGCACCTCCTTGGCTAGTCCCGCAATGCTCGGGTCTTTGGTGCACTGGTCAATGAATACTTTCGCTTCTGCGAACTATGTCAAATCAGTATTCGCACAGAACGTATATATCTAGATAATTATGGTAATAGCATGCCTTACCTGCTTCAACAAGGTGATGCGGTTGTTCTGGCCGTGATATCGGGTGCGTGTCCCTTTAACCACCAACGTCCCCAGATATGAAGGCCCATCAATGGGTGAGGCAACGTGACCCGATGCTGGGTTCGCATCATTCAGTGAGGCTTCGATCCGCCTATTGAGATGCACTTTGGGCCGAATGAATAGCAACTCCTCTATCTTGACCAGGCGTTGCTGTAGGTCCTCGAGAATGCCGGTGCCTGAGGCCTTCACCGGCTCGTTCCGAGAGTCGGCGGAATGCGGGTTGCCCGCCTCGCTAGACATACGCATGCGTTTGGGCTCGGGGATTCCATTTCCCTCCAGACTCTCGGGGCTCTGGTAGAACGCACAGTCGGTGGCACAGCCCGACTTGGAGCAGTTCTCGCAGGGCACGACTCGGTCACATCTGAGCTTCTTCTTGCGACAACGCAGGCATGACACGACCGGGCGAGGTCGCTTACGGATGCTCTGTCCCTCCATCCCGTCCGTGGGGGAGATCTGGCCGGACACGGCGGCCATATTGGACCGGGAGCGAAATGATGTGATGAATCAATGATGGCTGGACAGAGTGGGCTGGAGACCGTCTTCAAAAGCAATAATAACATGGCCTGACAGACCCTGTTGGTGAAGTTGAACCGTCAGCCCTACAGTACGGCGGGCGACAGCCCGTCATTGTGCAGGGTTAATTATTAGTAGTTTTGGGATAGCCTCGCAATAGACTCAGCCCTAAGCCCCCTGATATTCATTCTAGCATCGCTCAGCCCGTCTCGTATTCCTCCCCTCCTCCCACAGGCACAGACTCGTCAACACGTGGCGTACAAGTTTCAGCCCCTTTGTCCTGTGGACTGGACCGGTCCATCTGAAACTTGGCATGCGGACAAAACTTCGGTAACCATAAGAATGGCTCGTATTTCCCAGGGAGTCAGGCTGATGGACCAGAGTTGTGACTCGGTGCCCTGTGCCGATGTTAACCGGCTTATCCCGTCATGCCATGGAACGCACGCTCATATCGACTGAGCAGCTTGTCGATATGTTTGCTATAATGGTAATTACGGGGCACTGGTCCGTACTGCGTAGCGAGCCTTTGGGATATGTTGAGTTTTGTTGTTTGGATGGCCTCCTAATCCTCAAATTCAGGGGATCTATGATTATATACCAACGTCAGTCATTCAAGAAACTCTCTCCCTGGACAAATCCTCAGATCCAACTGGATATGGCATTATGTCCGCTCCAGTCAACACCACCATGTGTCAAGTAGTCAGTGGTATCCAGGTCAGATTTATGTATATCAGATACAATCATCTATAATAAAAATAATTGGGTTGGAACGCTTGGATCTGATTTTGGCAGTTGTGCATCTTGGTGATATATATTCAGAGACAGCTCAGGGAGAAATAGAAAATCTCCCTCCATAAAAAGAGTGGCTAGTCAGATAAAGATGAAAAAGAAGTGGAAACAGAACAATATCACAGAATCACTATATTAACCACTGGTTTATAGTCCATAGTCAAACACATATATTTTAGCACCTTATTACAATGAAGAAATTTCTTCCATGCCCGTCGGAAAGGAACCTTGAAGAACAGAGAAATCATAGAATATGGGGGAAGGCATAGAAAACCCCTGGATACAATTTGATCATTTCATCTTGACTACTTCTCCATGGATATAGAAGAATAAATGGAAACTTGATAAAGTTTGCTTCCTTTCCCACGAATTCTATACCATAGAATGAAAGAATTTAACATATACAAAAAAAAAAAATGGTTTATTCATACCTTTTTCACACAACTCAACTGCATATCCGGGTGGTTTATCCAAATCTCTGGATTGCGCCCCCAGGCCTCCATCGCATCTGTCTTGATCATCCGCAACTCGTAATTCTCCACTAGATGCACCAGAATCTGGCGGATGACCAAGCTCGCCACAAATTTGCCCATGCACTGCCGCGGCCCGAACCCGAACCTCCAGAAATTGTATCGCGCCTGGGTCGGGTTCCGCGCCAGGAACCGATCTGGCTGGTAGCAATGGCGCTCCTCACCCCAGTAGGGGTTGCGGATGTTGAGCGCGTACGAGTCGATGACGAAGTTGGTGCCCGCGGGGAAGTGGTAGCCCCCGATGGTGCGCGCCGTCGGGATGGCCTGCGGCACGGAAAAGGCAGCCAGGGGTCGCAGACGAGCAGATTCCTCGACACAAGCGGCCAGGAGGCTGGAGTTGTCGAGGAGGTAGGCATCTAATATGCCGTCCACCGCTGTCGCGCGGTGGTGGGCGATCTCCTCGCGGAGTCGGACGGCAATATCGTAGTAGGCGGCCAGAAAGACGACGTTCCAACTCAAGCCGCCGATGGTGACGTCCAGGTTGGCGTACAGCATCTCATCCAGCGTGTGCAGGAGCTCCTGGGTGGTGAGTTGGCCAGCGTCTCGGGCGGCGAAGAAATCGACAATAGGGGCATCTAGGTGCTGCTCCACAGCGCGGCGATGGGCCAGCTCGTTGAAAGCCAGCCAGCGTTGCTGGAATACTGCCAACTCGCGGTTTTTCTGAGTGGGCAGGGAGCGTGACCAGCTGAAGCGTGACAGGCCGCCTTTCATGACGTGCTTCATCAGGTTCTCGCGCTGGGGGGCCAGCCGGCGCAACTCTGCTTCGATGTCCGGGGACAGTCGGCCGTAGACAATTTCGGCGACGACCAGGAAGGGGAGGAGCTTGAGGTCATCGGCGGGATCAAGCAATCCACGAGACAAATTACGGGTCTCCCAGAGCTCCTCGAAGAAATGTTCGGTGCGACGGCGGATGAGGGGGACGTAGGCCATCGAGGCGCTGCGGTGGAAGGGCTTCTCCATGACGGCGCGCACTCGCCGCCACTGATCTTCACTGATCAGCCCGACACATTGACCCAGTAGCTGGCCCAGAAAGTATCCGGAGTTGTTATTCTTGGCCTTGAGATGTTTGTGGGAGTCTTTGAAGACTGCCTGGATGTGCTCCGGACGAGTGAGAACGCTTTGGCCGTTAGATACTGCTCTTTTGGGTCCAGTGGGAGAAGTTGACCTACACCTCGGGGGTCATGCCCGACCAGAGTCGATAGATCCCCCCAAACTGGCGTTCCCAACGCTCCGAGTTGCTTTGGCCGTGCAGAAACTTGGCCCCGTCGCCTTGTCCATCAGGCCATTGATATGGGAGAGTCGGTAGGGCAGCGTTGCTATCGACATGGTGGACAGGGTAGCGGCGAGAGAGATGGAACTGCAACTATCAGAAACGACGCTGACACTTCAACCACTAAGACATACCCGGATGACGACAGAGATAAGTCCATTAATGGCTTCGGATATCGATGTGCGGAATTGGATTGCGACGAGGACAACGATAACCAGGGCCATCTGACCCGCGAGGAAACACATCGCCATCATGATGATTGTGAAATTGGGCTGGCTGTTTATCCCGTGGCGAGACTGTCCAGGAAGGAGTCAGTCCATCCATATATGTATACTTCGCCGCGAATGTACGTACGGCCAGGATAGCCTCACGGGTGCCATGGCGGACGGCGGACGGACATCGGATCCGAGTTTCGGATTAACGCAGCCAGCAGAGAGATGGAGCGGGCCTTGGAATACGAAATGTAGTCAGCCTGGAGACCGAGTTCTGTGTCTCAGGCTCATCTATGACAATGCTCCAGGAGAAACGCCATGAGTTTTGAAATACGAGCAGGGCATGCTGTCGGGCAATAAATTAAGAACAAAGATTTCTTAATTGACAGGATAACTAAGAACAGTGTCATTTTAGATATCTGGCTCTACTGACTGCGGAGGCGGGTATTATAATTGTATTATTTCATTTCGTCGTGAAATTTAGAACCGTAAGAATATGGACAAGAAAAACGATTACAAGTCTATACTGTATCACCATTGTTCTTATCCTTGAGCCCGTATTTCGTGTCCAACTCCGTACGCAGCGGAATTTCCCTGTGTCTGTTAGCGTTCATGTACAAAGACATGGATAATGATAGACATACCTCTCCAGAAAGACTAATAGAAGCCCAATCCCTGCAATCACCGTCGCGAATATCCACACAATTCTCAGGCTTTGTGAGTACACATCAATCACCTGCCCTCGCAGGCTCCCGGTCAGCGAGGTCACATAGTCCTTGGTGGCGTGTTCGTAGGCTGCCCCTCCACTCAGCCTCTGTCGGATTGTCTCACTGTCGACTCGTGGCAGGTAGTGTTCGACTTGTGCATTGAAGATGGCCGACGGCACAGACACGCCCCAGACCACGCCGAACTGGCGCACGAACGCCCAGGCCGCCGTGGCCGCCGCGGTATCCTGGTCGGAGAACTCGGCCTGGACAGCGGGGAGCAGCGTACTAAGCGAGCACCCCGAGCCCAGGGCGACGACAAACTGCACCAGGATCCAGGCCACGTCGGGCGAGGAGCCATCGAGGGTGACAAAACAACCGAACCCGAGGGTGAGGAGCGCAAACCCGAGGAAGTGAAATGGCTTGTAGCGGCCGAACTTGGAGAGCAGGGCGCCACTCACCACGGAGGCGGGCACCAGCACCAGCACCGTGGGCAACATCATGATGCCGGACCGGATGGGGGAGGCTAGGAGGACAGCCTGGAAGTAGACCGGGAGAAAGTAGATCACAAGCAGGGTCAGCATCGATTGCAAGAAGGTGATGGTGAATGCGGTGGCGGACGTGCGGCGTGTGAAGAGGCGCATGGGCAGCGTCGGTTGGCGGCAGAAGTTGCTCTGTTCGTAGAAAATAAACACAACAACGCCATAGAAGCCGAAAACCAACGAGATGATAGTTGAATAGGAACACCATGGCCAGAGGGTGCCAGCGTATGCGAGGGCGACGAGAATGAAGGAGATGGCCAAAATGAAAATGAGGTTGCCCCCGTAGTCGATCTGCTTCAGCCGTCGTTTGATGGAAGTTTCCTCGGCGCGATGGCCCACTTGCAAGAAGATAAACAGAAGGGCGATGGAGATGCCGCCCACTGGCAGGTTTAGATAGAATACCCAACGCCAGGTGGTCCGCTGCACGATTAGGCCGCCGACGATGGGCCCCAGGGAGGTGCCGATGGAGACAGCGGCAAAGACAATGGCCATGAACCGTCCTCGCTCGCGCAGGGAAACCAGATCACAAACAATGAGGTTGACCAGAAGCGTAATGCCTCCGCCCCCGATCCCCTGGATGACACGGCCTGCGATCAGCGCATCCATCGTCGGAGCACCAGCGCTGATGCCGCAGCCCAGGACATACATGGCCACCGCAAAGATGATCAGCCATCGACGGCCGAAGATGTCGGCCATTTGACCATACAAAGGTTGAAAGACCGTACTGGAGCTGTCAGCATGGCATCTGATCTGTCGCGGTGGAAAGAAGACCTACTTGGTGAGGAAATACCCTGTCGAAACCCAGACATACTCTTCTCCGCCGCCCAAGTTCTCGACAATCGTGGGCAAGGCAGTTGAGATTACCGTCCCCTCCAAGGCCACTAGCAGGTTCGTCACACAGAGGGCAGCCATTATGGCCCAGATGCCTGGGTTATACCGCATTCTGGATGGGGACTGCTCCTCCCCCGTCCGTTGTTCCTTCAGTCTTTCCGTATCTGTTTCCTCAGAGAAACCCTCGATGATCGAATGTCGAAAGGCGCCACTCAAACGCTTTGATTCCCGGCCTGCCGTTCCATATCCCTGGGCCTCGATGGCATCGTGAAAGATCTCGCTGGAGATGCTCTGTCGTTGGCTGTGTCGGCTAGCTCGACTGGTGGCGCGTCCCAGTGGTTGGCGTGGATGAATTACATTGGGCAGCTCTGGCCATTCTCCAGGGACTTGTTGTGATCCTGACTTCTCTTCTTCTACCTCTTGGATATGTGGGGAGTTTCTTGAAGTATGGATGACGATGACAGTGTCTCGCGCGTTTAGGGCAATCATTCCAGCCATTCTGGTTTGCCGCACGAACAAGCCAACGGACAACGAAAGGAACAAATTTCATCTTCCTCCTCTGGCAATAACAAAGTCTTTAGAGCACGTATCATCCCAGATACCATCAGAATCCGTGGTCCGATCGGATCCGAGTCCGGGCTTTCAGAGTGGTCAGATCAGATCAGGAGGCTGTTGGCTGTGGCTTCAGGAATCATGTCAGAAATAGCACTACACCACAAAAAGTAGCGCTGTTTAACTCTGTGCGTAGTACTGGTATATCAGCCTGTTCTGACAAGTCGGGCACATGGACCCCATGTGGCTTTCTAACCATAAGATGGACGAAACAGGCTGCAGCCTGCAGGAATCTGAGGAACGTGCCCGAGCCAGTTTCAGATGCTAGTGCTGATTTATGTCAGGCCTGCAGCGGCATGGAATTTCTATGGAATTATCCCAGAGGATCGCTGACACGAAAAGTTTAATCCGAGACCCGATTCTCGTGTCGTATTGATGTGCAAATATCACTGCACGACGCAGCGTCTACACGAATAATGGCGCTCGTATAGGACTGTGTTATTCTACAATCCGTTCCTGCCAAACTGGCCACGGGGGACTCTGTGGAGAGTTGCTAGTTAGAATGATGCAGTGTTCCTGTGTCAGTCTTACTACTGGGGCTATATTGAAAGATATCAGTCGGCCAGACTGTGGAGTATATAAGGGACCATGGGTGTTGTCGGTTTGTATCAACCCATCAGCTAACCATCACGCAGGGTTTTATATCCAAATATCCCAACCTCTTCTACTCTTTCCCTGTCAATTCAAAATGCTGTTTCCCATTGCATTTTTGAGCTTCCTCTTCTCCGCGTTTGCCCTTCCTCATGGTTCGAAGCGCAGTAACCTACCGGCCTGCGATGCGACCTGGCGGAAATGCTCCTGCCCCTCGGGCACATTCTTCCAGACCTCCACGAGCTGGATCATATACCCCGCGGCTGTGGAGGATGTGACGGCTGCCACCGGAAACTGTCCGTATAGATCTCCCTGTATCTACGGTCTCGGCGTCTAACTGAAAAACAGTCTTCGAAACAGCCTGGTTCGGCACCAGCCCATCGCAGATCCTGGGCGAACCGTACACCCCCGGCGCAAAGCGAATTCTGATGGGGGAGCTCCCTAATGCGGGCGTCTATCCCTTCACGGAGGAGGTGAACTGTCATTCTCGACGAGGAGACGATGGATGCTAATAAAATAATCAATCTCACAGTTGACCATGTACCAGCCGCTGCCCAACAACCAAGGATATCACATGAAGTTCCAGATGGGCGACACCCCCTTCTACTTCAACACCACTTGCGGCAAGCAAGGCCATCTCGCCGGCACCTGGGACTGGGTGGATGTCCACTCTGTGGGACCCCAGAAGACCTATATGATGTGGGGCATTTATGCATGCTTTTCGATCGTTTATGGTATATCATCAGACTCCTTTCCTGGTTTCTTTGCTAACCTCAGACAGACTTCCAAGCCTTCCATGAGAGTGGGATGAAGAATGTGTCGGCCATCCTAGAGGGGGAGGGGAAAATGGACGGGGATGTGGATGGGCCTTACTCCTTCTAGAATATACTGGGGCATGAGGTGTTGGGGAAATGTCCTATTTGTTAAATAATGTTCTCGCAGGTACCAGGATGCATTAAACATCAAGTATTATTATCTTATATTTATAATTACGAGCATATAGATACTTGTACTCTCACGCCAGAAACACGAATGGAATCTAGTCAGATCATAAACTAATATATACTAAAATATATATATTCTGGACCATCATACGCAGCAGTAATCACGTCAGCTAAGACGAGACATAGTGCTATCGTAATAAACACGCCTGGTGGATACTCAAAGGTAGTCAACAGGCGAACTAGGCCGGTATACATGGTTATGACCTACGAGACAGATGAAAATGAAGTCAAATCAACTCTATTCGGTGCCTGTAATGAGAATACTAAGCATGGAGAGGAAAGAGAATCCACGTGAGCATTGGAGACATCTCCGTTTACGATCACGCTCCACCGCTCCTCCATGACCAAATATAGAAGATAGAATAAACAATGAACAACACAAACAGACATCACAAACCGGTCGTGACATATATATTGTTGAGATCTAATTCCAACGTAGATCTGCCAAAATTATGCATAGGCTTTTGGTCTAGTCCCCTAGACTTAAGGAACCTGACCGTCGGATATAGCTCGAAGATAGTTGAAGAATGGATATTGATTTTAGGGTATAACACATTAGAAACATAGAAATGGCACGTTTACTACACAGTGATCTCCTGCTCAGGAACAACAGCTGCCTTGATATCTTCATCCGGTGCGGCTGCTTTCTCCTGCTCCTTGGCTCGAGCAAAATGCTCGCACATGGCATGCCCTCCGCGTTCATTGAAGAAGAGATCCAGATACATCAAGGTCTCTTTCGCATAGTCCTCTGCGCGCCGGAACATGGCCGTTTCGTACTGACATACGGCTACCGACAGGTCGGTCGCCTTTGAGAAGGGCTGCACATCCTCCCAGCTCGACTTGCAGGCGATGATTGCTCGCGCCAGCTCCAGAGAATCTTCCATGCCCACGTTCACACCGACGCCAGCAAACGGGGTCATGAGATGGGCAGCATCGCCGACGAGTGTGATACTGCATTCAGTCAGTTATCATGTAGGTGGATGTCGAGTCACACATACCCAGCGTGGTGCAGCCATTTGTGGCCGATCGGAAGCATGTACATAGGCCGAGGAACGACGTCGTTGTCCGCGTTGAGAATCAGGTTCTTCGCATCATCATTGAAGCCATTATAGTACCGATTAACAAACTCCCGTTTTGCCTGCTCGGGCTTGGTCCAGTCGATGCCGCAGGTGACATGCCAGTCTTCTGGCAGGCGCATGAAGCCGTACGTGCGCACACAGCCGTCGCCGTTTCGCTGCGACAAAACAGTGGTGTGGTTGCCCAGCGTGAGACACATACCCCTTCCCACACGCTGGGCCAGGGCCGGATCCGCTTCGTCAATATGGCTGTACTTGACATCGACCCCCGTGATGCCCGAAAAGATGGGACGAGTGTCGGTGAGAAGATGACGGACTCTGGACCAGGCACCATCAGCACCCACCACTAGATCGAATCCGCTCTCTGTATGGTTTTCGAAATGCAAGTCATACTGCAAGCGGGTGCCGCTGGACTCTGTCGTGACATGCGTCAGCTTCTGGCCCCATTTCAGACTTCCCCATTCGAGCGAGTCTATCAACATGTTGCGCAGCTCGACGCGATCCACCTCGGGGCGACCGTTGAAGGATTCGGGCCGTCGCTCGCCATAGTCGGAGCCCTCGTCGAGCAGCAGCGTGCCATCGGGCTGGTAGATCTTCAAGACTTCGCCCTCTGTGCGGGCGACGGCCATGAACTGTTCAAAGAGACCGCACTCGCGCAGTGCCACCTGGGCCGAGCCCTCGTGCAGATCCAAGCAGCCGCCCTGGGTGCGGGCATGGCGGCTCAGTTCTGCTTCATAGACTGTGCAGGGGATGCCATTACGCTGAAGAAGACGAGCCAGTGTCAGACCGGCCGGGCCAGCTGGAGAAGTCAGTACGAGCTCAGCCACGTGGAGAAGAAGACCAACCGCCAATGATTGCGATTCTTGGAGGAGCCATTGTAAACAATGCGTGTACTGCAGCGCGAATGAATAGTGTTTCGGTTAAGTACAAACGAGGTCCATTTTATACTCGAATGCGGCGATTCTAGCCTCGACGATCGAAAAAACGTGGAAACGTGGACATCCCGGACCCGAGCTCGGATCCGAGGAGCTGAAGCTGAAGAAAGGGGCGGCTGCGATACGCGTTGGAAAGCCTCAAGCCTGGCTCAAATAGGAAACTCGTGTTCTAAACTTTCTTGACTACTTGGCGCCTGAAGTGATCCCAACTCGATTTCGCCACGCGATAAGCTGCAGCTTGTGGCAGAGTAATCTTCAGAAGAGTAAGATGCATGTGAAACTTGGTGATACTGGGCGTTCGATGAGAGGCATTATTACATGGTGTGAGCCCTGCCATATAAGAGAGAATATCTTCGTTGCAATGGCATCATTTCTCAGCGCACAGTAGAATAAGAATTCCCTCAATCGTCGCGAATCTCCTAGATCTCCCACCACTTGAGGACTTTCGATCATTCCCTACGAAATCAAAATGCACCAGCGGATCATCATCAGCCACGTCGCCCGCCTCCTCCACTTGCCCGTCGAGAGCGTGGACCTGGGGTCCAGCTTCGTCAGCCTGGGCGGTCATTCTTTGCTCGCATTGGGATTGGCCTCTGCCTGCAGGCAAGATGGCATCGAACTGTCTATGGAGTCGATTCTTCTGAGCAACACCATGGCAGACCTCATCGCGTCTGGCGTTGTCATGGGGCCCATCAATATCAAGAAACATCCTGTCCAGACCCTGATGGGATCGAAGCCCCAGAGCGAGATGACACGTCAGACCACTGCTTTATCCTCGTTGACCGAGATGCAGCTTTCCTTCCTTCACAGCCACCAGGAAACCCCCGGAGCAAATACGATCAACTTCTACGAAACGTACCAGACGGCACACCTTCCGATCGTCAAAGCAGCTTGGCAGACTGTCATCCAGACGGAGCCAATATTCCGTATCTCCTTTGACTCGGATGACGTTTGTGAAGTCTCGTCCGGTCCCTTTCGTTGGAATGAGAGTGTGATGGACACCCAGGAAGCCTACGAAGCTGCCCTGGCTCAAGATGTCTATCCGGATACTATCCAATGCAGCTTCGACGTGGTGACTCTGCCGGCATCGGGCTTCAGCACCGTCATCTGGCGGGTGCACCACGCGTTTATCGACGGCATGTCCGGCCAGCTGGTCTATAGAAAGGTTCGGGATCTGATCATGGGCCGGTCCATCACCGCAGGCACGCCCTTCACGACCGTCGCGGAGCATTTGCGTCTGCTTCAAGACGAACGTCGTCAAATCCACCGACAGTTCTGGCGGAAGCAAAAAGAGGATCATCCCCAGCCAGCCGGTGAGCTGGTTTTCCCCCCCGTCCGAGATAAGATGCCTGCTGCTGGCATTGACAGTCTCAGCTTTGCCATCCCACTGGAGCAGATCTCCACCCGTGCTCGTCAAGTCGGTGTGTCCCTGGCGGCCTGGTACCATGCGGCGTGGGCGATGGTGCTCTCGCTCTATACCGACTGTGACTCGGTGGTCTGTGGCACCGTCCTGTCCGGTCGTAACCTGCCCATTCCCGGGGTGGACGACACTATTGGTCCCTTGATCAACGTCCTGCCCTTCCACGTGCGCATAGATCAACGTCTGTCAAGTGCAAAATTCCTGCGAGAAATCTTCTTGCACTCCGTCCAGCTGGCCACCGTCCAGTGCTCCGTGCCCGACGATGGCTACACACGGAACTTTACCTCGGCGCTGGCGATGGAGTTCGAGATAGAGGCCACCGACGACCACCCCGTGCGTCCCACCAGTCCGTCCTGGTTCCGCGTGGTGCCAGATATTCCTTTGTCTATATACACGACCTACTCGGGCACGCTACGTCTCTGCTATCGTCCCCAGCAGTTTGATCGTGAAGACATTCGGATGTTGGCCGCTCATTTCCGCCGTGCGATTCTGTTACTATTGCCGGCGGACCAGACCATGGAGGCGTGCATGAAAGCTTTGCTCACCGACGAGTGCAAGAACACCCTCATGAAATTTGGTAATTGCCAGACGGACTCGACCTCCCCATTCTCCATTCAGGAGGACCTCGTCACCCTCTTTGAACGCGCAGCCCGAGACACGCCGGACGGCATCGCCGTGGAGAAAGCCAGCAGACAACTGACCTACGCCGAATTGGATCGACTGGCAGCCGTTCTTGCATCTCGCTTGCAGCTCCAGCCAGGCGAGGTTGTCTGCGTCCTGGCGGACCGCTCCATCAACTGGGTTGTTGCCATCTACGGCATCCTCAAGGCCGGTGGCGTCTATTCCGCCCAGGATCCAGGATTGCCCGACCACATTCGCAACTCCAACTTCCAGACGGCGGGAGGCATCATGTATCTGACCCCTGCGACTTTCCAGAAGCACCTCAAGCCGGACACCTGCCAGCGGTGCCTCTCTGTTGAGGAACTGATCAGCGAGATCCCAAAGGACTTTGTCTTCCACCACCGCGACACTCCTCGCCCGCAAGACAACGCCTATCTGTGCTTCACCTCCGGGTCGACGGGCAAGCCCAAAGGAGTGATGTGTCACCATGCTGGTCTCGTCGCCTTTCAAAAGGACCCGGAAGTGAGACTCTTTGCGGCACCAGGACAACGCATCTCACAGCTCATGTCTCCTGCTTTCGACGGCAGTATCCACGAGATCTTCTCTGCTCTTTGCTATGGAGCCACGCTCATTCTCGCTGATGGTGTCGACACTTTTGCCCATCTGAAGAAGTCTAATGCCGCCATTCTCACGCCCTCAGTCGCTAAGATCCTTTCCCCGGAGCAGTTCCCGGAGCTGAGGACCGTCTATCTTGTGGGTGAGCCCGTGCCGCAGTATGTCAACGACGTCTGGTCAAATGCCACGACGCTGTACAACATGTATGGGCCGACGGAGGCCACCTGCGGTGCCACCATTCAGCGTCTGCGGCCCGGCCAGTCGGTCACCATCGGGGGCCCCAATCCCACCACCCGCATCTACATCCTGGGGCAGAACCAGCAGCTCCTGCCCCCAGGGGTCATTGGAGAGATCTACTGTGCCGGCGTGCAGGTTGCCAATGGATACATTGGGCGGCCGCAGTTGACCGCAGAACGCTTCCTGCCCGACACCATCACCAACCGTCCCGGGGAGAAGATGTATCGGACGGGCGATCGTGGATACTTCAATCGAGATGGACAGGTGGAATGCCTGGGCCGAAACGACCGCCAGATCAAGCTGCGCGGTTACCGAACCGACCTAAATGACCTGGAAATTCGCGTTGCCCAGGCAATCCCTGAGTGCACCGCCGTGGCCATCTGCCCCAAGGACGACTATCTAGTCGCCATCATCCAGCCGGAGACCCTGGATGTGGCAGAGGTCCGTCAACGCATGGCACAGGTTCTGCCTGTCCATGCCATGCCGCGACGCATCGTGGCCGTCGAGCAGTTTCCCATGACGTCCGCCAGCAAGCTGGACTACAAGGAGATTGCGAACCGATGCAGTACGGATTCTGCTTCGCCTGCCACTCGGAAGAAGTTGCTATCGAGTGAGACGGAAAAGGCATTGGCCGATCTGTGGAAAGACCTTCTCTCCCTCAGCTCGGATGCTGACAACGTTCTCACGCCCGAGTCCAACTTTGTCGCGCTGGGTGGCCACTCGGTGATGCAGCTGCGACTGGCAAGCAAGATCTCTCGCACCTTTGGCGTTAAGGTGCCCATCACCCGAATCATCCAGGCCGACAACCTGTCGGACCTGGCTCGCATGGTGGACAGTCTCGTGGCGGCTCAGATGCCCACCGCGCCGGGCAAGTCCATGATTAAACCCCTGGGCCGGAACAAGGTCTCCCCCATCGAACACGAATGGCTCGAGAAGTACCGGCTGCAACTGGGCACGTCTGCCTTCAACGTCACTTTCGCCTGCAAGATCGATGCGGCCAAGGTTGACAGCAACCATCTGATCGCCTCTTGGAATGCCGTGCTAGCCCGCCACGACATCTTCCGCAGTCGCTCGCATGTCGACCATCGCGGCCATGGGCCTCGTCGCACGTATGCCCGCTATTGCCCGCAGGTTCTGCGCGTCCAAGGCTTCAACCTGTGGCGCGAGGCGAACCGGCCCTTCCACCCCAACCGCCAGCACCCGATCCGCGTGATCGTGTCCAAGAGCATGATGCTGGTGTCAATGAGCCATTTGATCGCCGACCTTACGTCCCTGCAGGTGATTCTGGCCGAGGTGGCCCGGCTATATCGCGGCGATGGTCTCGGACCGGTCAAGCGCAGCTACCACGAGACAACACAATGGAGCGTATCCGCAACCACTACTGAGAAGGACTGGTGGGTGCACTACCTCGGGGGTACCGTCATCCATCGTGACTACAGTATCCCGAAGCTTACCCATCGGTCGACATACGCGGGCCAGACTCACATTGTCCGGATGACGCCGACCCTGGCCACTCGTGCTATCCAGTTCACCGAGACGAACCGGGTGACCCTGCATCAGTTGGCGTTGGGCTCGGTAGCCATGGCACTGCAGGTCAACAGGGATGACAGCGACATCGTTCTCGGGGGGCCGTATTTCAACCGCGGACAGGATGACCTAGAAACCGTCGGGCTATTCCTGGAGCCCATCCCCATCCGCATCCAGTACCCATCTCCTCGGGACCAGACGGCCGCCTCGACTCAGGCATTTGTGCGCGCCGTGCAGCGATCCAGCCAGTCGGCCATCGCCCATGCCATTCCCTGGAACCAGGTGCTGCAGGCAGTCGGCGCCTCTCGACCCGATTTCCCAAACCATCTCTTGCTCGATGTGATGGTCACTTTCCACGACGACCGCACTGCCCCCCGGTTGCCTGTAGACGGCCTTGATCCGTTGGTGACGTACACTAAAGGGTCCAAGTTTGCCCTGCTTGTGGAGTTCTGCGCCATTTCCGACCGCACCATCCTGATGCGCCTGGAGCACGACACCGAGTGTCTTCCGACGGAGAAGGTGCCGGCAGTGGAGAAACTGATCCTGGAGGCGCTGCGGCTGATCGTGGAGGGGGTGGCATATCCTGCGATCAAAGCACAGTTGAGGGCGATAGCAGCAACACCCGAGTCAAACGACCGGGCAGAACGGTACTTTGGCAAGAGATTATCTGAATTGAGGAGTGATTGTATCTAGACAAGTATATGTTTAACTTAAAATCGGTATTGGCGTTTAGAGTGACAGAATGCAACAATGTTTGGTAGGCTTCGCATCAGTTGAGATATATTTGTGCCGGAATGTGTTGACGAAATCGGTCGAAAACCTCAACGAGGGCAATCAATTTCATCCTCAACATCCTGACCCCTGCACGATCATTTCGACCATCTCTTAGATTTATAGGTGTGATTCTATATGAGCTTGAATATTCTCTATATTCGTTGTGATGTGTTCTCACCGCCCCTCCTCATCTGGAGGCACGGCTTATATAGCCACGTCACTATATTACTTCACATTATATCCCAATATGGACTAGCTTTATTCTGACACTATCCAGAAAGCGTCGAACCATAGAAATGGATGTTTGAATAGTTACACAAATACTAGCTTAGGAAGGAGCTCACTTCTACTAGACTCCTTGAGCCAAGAGAGCTCAGGATAGACACATAAATAAGGGTCAATTAGGCTTCTGGATAGCTCTTTTTAATCGATCAGTCAATTCACTTTCTAGTTGAATAGATCAAGGTCAAAAGCTCCATCCTTTTTCGCTCACAATGTGCAGTGCTGCCGATAAGGATGAGGTAGCCGATGGTGGAAAGCGAGGGTCTCGGGGTCGTCGACAAGACGTGTTAGGATCAAAGCCATCCCCGGCGTCATCATCATCACTAGACGACCTCGGGTTTTGCGAAGAATTACCGGCCGCAACGATGGCAGACTTTGACCTGGTCTTCACTTGGGATGCACGGTAGTATTCGTTCAGGCTCCGTGTCAAATGTTTAGAGTCAGAAGAGGGAAGGTCCTTCCAGATTTCGTCCAGAAGGTCGCCATATACCATAGCCCAGGTCTCCAAACTGCGTGCTGCCAGGTAGTATTACACCGTGGAAGGGTTGTCATAAAGCACACGAAGAAATATAAATGCTTTACTAGTTCACGCATCACCATACTCCAAACCTCCATGAATTATATATGAAAATACTTGGGAATCACTGCCGCCACAACACGCCGGCAGATATCTTCTGGCGATTCCCTTTTTGTAAGCGTAGTATTTCATCATGATCCATGTCGTGTAGTCCAGACTTAATATGGGCGAGAGAGACTCTGTGGAGTGCCTTGTACTCGATATCAAAGGCTGGAACCTTTCCCTCTGGGCCCTTATCATAAAACAGAACTGGTCTGCTCGAGGTCGAGAACTCCTTGGCTGTGTGGCTTTCTGACTTTCACTGGCGCCTGAGCCGAGAAGCAAACCCTACCCATCTTCGCGGCTAGGCGGCCGAGGGACGTGGTTGCCTCTAGACTAGGCTGCGAGTGCTCGTATCCGCCACTATGTTATCTCATTTACTAAGGTATTAGCGTGGTTTTCGAAGATAACATCTCCGTTCTGGTAAAAAAGGTTTGTCGAAGTCAGGGATCCGCGTATAGCTGCTTGACGACTAAAGTGACGCGTGACTTAACAGTCCGCCTGAAAGTAGTCCAAATCCAGCTCATATCTTACCATCCTCTCTCGTGCCTCTTTTCCATATTCCTTTAACGCCAGTAGTGGTGTAAAATGGCATTCGGTCACGAACTCGGTATTCATGTGGTCCTCCCATATTGAAATCTGTCCGTTTGGAAAGTTGGTCCACCCTCGAAACTTGGCCGCGTGGAGTTCACGATCGGCATTCTCAAGGTCGCCTTTGTGGACGAGTCTTTGTCTTTCTGGATGGCTAGACCAAGAGTGCACATGGCACGCGTCGAGAAATTCGGGAACTGTTGTTCCTTAAGTCTGGACTTCAGTTCTTCCTCAGCTTGTTCTCGGAGTTGCTGTTCCTCTCGGAGTCGCTGCTCTTCTTCTGGCACTCGTGGCTCTTCTCATAATGGTTGCTCTTCTGTGTGTGACCGTTCGGGTTGCTCTCCGAGGCGCTGCACAGTTCCTGTATCTCCTGGACGAACATTTTGGTTGTCGTTGGCTGAATGGCCATCACCAAACTGGTTATGACGGGGTATTTGTTTTGGGACAGTTGTCTGCCAGAAATCGCCTAACCCTAATGGGAGTAAATTAGGGGTTACAACTAATGATTTTACTTCGTCTGCTCGTCCGCCGTATCCAAGATCGCCTATGGAGAGCCATTTGGATATCTAAATGAGGAGGACGTCCACAGGTACCTGGCGCCTTTTAGACAAGCTGCAAGGTTACCATAATAACTATTGCCACCGACGTCCCTGCGCTCAGGTCCTATCATCTTTTATGATGGGATGCTTTTGCCAACGATCAAAGACGAGACTGGATTAGGAAAACGATGGTGTAAGGCATTCCTTTTCTTTTCTTTTCTTTTTTTTTTTTTTGAAGACAAGGCTACAAGCTAACTACTTCCCTAATAGAGTCGGCAACCGAATTGTTTCACGACGATCCCATTCTGGTATAGATAAGAGAGACATGCTGGGGGGGGGAGCGCAGCTTGACTAGATTGGAGGCCGAAATAGAAACTATGTCGACAATTAATATGGTAATATTGATTATTCAGCACCTTTCTCGGTTGAATATTGTTGACGATATCGGGTTCCAGCTGAGCGTGGTTCGACATCAGAACCGGAAAAATAGTCATCGTGGTCCAACTCCACCCACCTGTCTAAAAGTGATCTATGTAGTATACTTGGTATTGGTTTATAGTGGCCACTGTATTACTAAATGTTGAAAATATTGCGCTGGAAAAACCTCATCGTGGTTCGGGAGCGGTGGCAGAATTTTAGCGTATTTTTCGAACGACGCCCAGCTAACTTTGAACCACGCCGAGCTGTAAGATCTGATAACATCATCGGATCGTGTATATTTCCTATATTAGTTAGTTTGCATTCTTTATTTGTTTACCTCGTATTTATAAATGCGAGATGTTTTGGCAGTTTGGTTGAACCAGAAACCTAATTGAAAAATGAAGGATCGATACTTGCGAATACGCGTAATTTTATGGTTGATAAACTATTACTCTGGAGTACGTACAACATGTTGAAGATCTGGCGTATAGCTGGTGTATAGCTAGCGCCTTGGCAAGCATGCGGGGTTTTAACCCCTGAGACTTCCATATTCTACTGGGGTAATGGAACCTCTGCGCGGCGTATAGGCTAGCATCTTGGCAAGTGTGCCAGGTTGTCATCCCCTGAGACTTCGCTTTATTAATAACGATTCAGACAAGTCCTTTCTCGAGTTACTGTTTGTCTCTTTCTGAATACTGTATTTCCCTGAATCCACAATATAGAATATTCCTTTAAATATCAATCACTATTTTATCATCGTCCTCTCATTATGGTCAACAATGCGTCTTGGCTATTATCACTGCTCAGTATCCGAATATGTGCGGAATCTATTTTTAGCTACCTTAAGCGCAGTACACTTAAGAGCCTCCGACTGAGCTGCAAGACGATAAACGTCACTATCTTGCGAGAATCCCATTTATTTCAGAGAGCATATATATCTTCCAATTACTGTGATCTACAGGTGTTGTGGGACATGTCCATCCACCCTCAAATCTCCCACTGTGTGACAGTGTTAGTGTGGGATGTAACCACGAAGCCTGCTTTTGATCGACCATCCTTTAATCGTACTACCTATCAGCCAAAAGTTTTGGATAGAGTTGAGCGGATTATCGTGGCATATGATAAGATCAGCAAGGATGGTTTCGATTTCTCTATTTTGCTTCAAGTATTACCACGATTCCCTCGACTGAAGGGAGTTATATTTCACGATCTGATGGCCCCATGGGTGAAAGTGATTTACCAGAACGATTTGCATTTACAACCACAACCACTCTACTCGGGATTATACGAATCACCGGCGATGTGTCAATGGCGTGACCTGCACTTTAAGGGTATCAATAATCTCGATCAAATGCCTGTTGCTGAACTTTCCTGCCCCGGGGAATTACTGATGAGCCAGCTTCTAGTGTGGGCTCAAGACCGTCTAAATGGGACGGGTCAATTCCCAGCTTTTCTCTTTGAGCAGATGATGTACAAGACCTGGCGAGCGCCAGTTCTAATGATGATAGCCCTCCGTATTTTTGATAGAAAACTGCAGAGTTTCGATATCAACATATCTCCAACCGCGAGCTTTCCTCTCACTAGGGAGGAGGTCGGTCTGCGTTTCAATGGCCTTGATCTTCCACTTTTCTCACATTGGGATTATGGCCTAGAGTGGTTATGTGATATGTTCCAATCATTGCGCCACCTCTGTCTCTGTCTGGATAATGCTACTAGTCGGAATTGGCGTCGTTTTATTGCCAAACCACTTCAGGCTGTGCAGCGTATCGAAACCCTCGAGCTTTGGTTATCTAAAGCAGAACATTTTGCAGGCCTGGACTTGCCGATATATCCACACATCAAAACCTTGAAGTTGGGTAGGTTTTGGTTTAACAAGGGTGAAGTTGAGGAGAAACTTCTTCCATGGTGTTTCCAGACTGGACTACAAAATCTTCATCTAGTGAACTTTGAGTTCGTTGTCCCATTTCCGACAAGTGCAACAGACATTGTATTCTGGCTCCTTGAAAATGACATCAGCAGTTTGGAGCCAGAAAGTGAAACACCCAACGCCATGCAGGATACCACTGAGTCTGCAGATCCTGAGGCCTCAGTACACGGTGATAAGTCCAATCACCCCGCCGAGAGCGAGGATGTGATAGAGGATGAGGAAGAAAAGTGGTACAAATTTCTATTTGGGGATGCAGAAGAAAGATGGACCCAGTGGCCATTTGAAATGTTCGACTTCGACGATGACGAGTCTCCCCACGACCCAGAATTCTTGCCGTGTTGTCCGGAAATGTGGAATCGACACCTGGAGTCTCGAATTGTGGATTATTCTGCGGATGGATGGGAGAATGAGTTCGTGTCGCATTACTACAAAAACTACCATCACACGGAGGAGGCAGCGTATGATCATGACTATGATAATGACACACCCGATATTTGGGATGAACTGCCCATTCCGCCACATACTGCGGAGGAAGTGCGTAGGATGCGTTCTGTCCTGGGAGCATCAATTGAGTTCCACATCCACGGAAGCAGCTGGGGCTATGGAGACAGAATACTTTGCATGACAATTGATAAGTGGTCTTCACGGCATGAGTAATTAGTTATAACAGGTAAAGGTACCAATTTTATGTCACTGGGTAGGAGACAGCTCTGTGGTGTGGTTAATTTTATTTGTATTAGTTGACCGTAACAACCGGGAATTCGAAGAGCAGGATAGACTTTTTGAGTGTTTATTTCACATATACCCCTCACTATCCGGTTCCCCTAACAGTTTCACTCTATAACCGGATTCTAGACGTCACGTCAGCTGCAGCTGGCTTGATGCAACGGGCAATCATATTTATGCTCCAGATACGACTCCTCAGCCAGTTTAGGGGTTGAAAGACACCACTACGACAGAACCCGTAGGTGCACGCCTCCGATATACAATCGGAATCGTATTCAAAATAAGACCTTTATACCTCCAATTCTTCGGAGTTTCAGGGACACGACACAGATGTACGACATGGGGCAAGGAACGACGATCAGCAAGGTGATTGGCGGTAACAAAACATATTACAGAGCGATTGGATTTGGTGGTCAGGGGCGAGGTTGAATTTGTTAGAGTTCTACCATATTCAATATAATCACATAGCATCTCTTAGTCACCATCTAGATAGACAACTTTCCCATGCCCCTTAAATTTTTAAGAATTGTGCCTCCCGAACAGATTTTGTTGGAAGCTTGAAGGAGACTGGGATTCACGGGTACAGAGGCACTCGCGAACTAGGCTAACTGGGAGATAGTTCCAGCCTTAAGACCGGCATTAGAGAGGCATTGGAATGCATAAAAGCTAATCATGGATATTTTGTGGGGCAATTCCGCGGGACTGTGAAAGCTGGTGTTCCGCATTGTCCGCCAAGTACGGCGGCATTAGAAACCCCTTGGACGAGAGGAGTTTAACCAAAACCTGGGTCACTGTCAGGTAATTCTCAAATGTCCTGGCAAAGGCCCCAAACATTTACCAATTCTTCTGTTAGTCAATTTCCGGTGACTTCACCGCCGCCTACTCGGCTCTGAATTAATTAGAGCTTATCCGGAAGCAAAGGTGACCGTTACCGTCAAAGACGTGGAGGACTGGCATCGGTAGGTATTAGCGGAGGAGACATCAGAACATACCACTCACTGCACGGGCTGATGAGGCCTCCGTAGATCAGTGGTTTCTACGGTCCATTCCTTGCTCAACAACAGATTGTAGCTCTTCGTAGCGAGTGCGGGCCGACATAGCTCAAATATGGCAGGGTTCTTCGGTGATGACTACGGAAGAATAGACGCAGGCCAATCCATGAACACTTAGAGCCGGTCAACAAATTGTTACATGTATATGCCAGTGAAAATCAGCATTAGTCCATAACAGAGCTCGAAAAGGAGTGTAGACATTTCTTTAACTTCTTCTCGAGTGGTAGCAGGTGCTGTTACTTTTGTCGGGTATGAAGGGTGGATATTTCGGGTGGGATGGGTCATATATTTTCGAACTTAGAATGTGCAATGAAATATGTTAAGAATGTGATCGTTATTATGTTTTATGATTCTCGTTATCATACATAGACCTTATAGTGTCGATTCTCCTCCATTCATTCCCCGAAAGAGATACATTCAATGGAAGAGAGTTTCAGAAAATATCTCCTTTCTCCCTTTCAGAACATACACATCCCATACACCAACTGACGCAAACCAACATGTTGTTGAATAGGATCGCTTTCTTCTTGTTGGTGTTTTCTGCGCTTGCTGCAAGAGACCTTGCGCAGTCTATCTCGCCTGGATAGATTGACGAATGTCACCACGAAGCAATCCCTACACAACCACAGTGGAGGGGTTCTATTCAGTATTGGCATAAAAAATTGGCTCCAGAAACTACCAACTGAAAGACTCTTCAACCAGCGTCAGTTTCACAGAAAGATCACTCCTCATCAGACCTGCCACAATGACTCGGACTTCATCCGCCATGCTCGAAGGCCCGCATACAACTACGGTAAGCTCGGGGCCCGTACACTTGGCGACCTCTTCTTCAAGAATAAGGGAAATGTGCATGCGTTGCTCATGGAAAATCACAGCATTCAGTTGTTTGAATTGGTCCTCGCCTAGAGAGCCAACCATGGAATTGACCAGTGATTTGCTCCGTACTGCCCAGAACAACTTGTGCCATCCACTGTGTTTGAGCAGGATGGGCGTGACAGCGGTAACGCCGACTCCACCGGCGATAGCGATGATGTTCGCTGCTTGTGTGGTCTCTTTGCCCGGAATTGAGACCGCGTGGTATGTGGACTCAACGAGGACCGGCAACCGTGATCTTCTCCGGAGATGTCGAGTAAGCCCTGATTGTGTTCGAATGTAGATGAGCAGTCCCGGGCGAGAGTACATGCTTTCTACCATCGACGCAGAGAATTTCCCTGAGCTTGAGTCATCTTCGGCAAGAGCAACGCCGACTTGGGCATTATCATCCTTTTCTATGGGCGATGGTGACAAAGAGTCTGCCGGAGATTCCGCCTTGCTGCTCTTACATCTGATATCAGTCATGACTGAGAATGGATGATTTTCCCAGAGGCGCCACGTCAGGGTTGGGAAGTAAAGGTACACATGGCCGTGGGCTACAATGCCCGGGATCTCAACTTTGATATACTCCTCGTCAACGGCAGACACTTCTGCAGTGAGTACGCCGTGTCTCGCCATTCGCAGGATGCGGAACACACGCTCGAAGGCCCAGATGCCGAGTGCTATGTAAATCCAATTTTCGTAGCCCCATTGGTGAGCGTATCGGTAGAAGATGTGTAGGTAGCAGCCAACAAGAGAGAGAAGAGAGAGGAAAATATGCCACCCCAAAAAGAGTTCATAGCACCTTTTGCGAACCTGTAGTGCTGAGGCCGGTAACAGGATCGCCATAGCCAGTGTCGCGATGATACCCCAGTACCAATATGGGCGTTTACTTTCGCTTGAATGTTTGCCTTGAGCGGTATATATCTGCAAGTAGATGGCGGAGTGCAGGCATGCTTCGATAACACAGATCGCTGCAACCCATCGGTGTAGGAGGAGGAATGTGGAGTGTGACCAGTTGGTCAGCCAGAGCAAAACATTGTTGCGGCCCGAATAGAGAAGCAGCAGTCCTATGTTTGCAAAGCTAAGTACTCCAGCGCGATTACTAACGTAGGTGACAATTTCCCGCGGTTTTGAATCATACCAAGCATTCGGGTGCGCAGACTCAAAACCCACTGCACAGAGAATGATATTGATGATAATAAGGTAGGCGATGAACAGTGCTTGACCCCGTGTAGGCATGATGAATGTGTTGAAGAAGGGTACATTGTGGCGGTTGCCAATAAGAGGAGGCAGGATGAAGTACGACTGGAACTTTGCTTTCCATTTTGTTGGAAATGGAATAAACCGGGCGAGCGAGAGGGCAATGGGATACCTGCACCGGTAAGGAGGAGAACCAGTCTGCATTTTGTATTAGAACGTTCAGTTGTCGGTAGAGGCGCGGGACCTACCCATATGTCTGATGCGATCTTTCAACCCGGGCAAAAACACTCAGAGTACCATATTCGAGCGCGTAAGTCTCTTCAGGCACAAGAGATGCCGATTTCAGAATTTCCGTAGAGTTCACAGTTGTGTTCGGCGTGAACCTTATGCTCCAGAGTGCCTGCTGGTAGGACTCCTTGGGCAGCGGTTGATTCGCCTCGCTGCCAACGACGTTCATCTCCCAGAATTTCTGCAGCGTAGAGTTGGTCTCTGTGGGACAATGGGAGTACATGCAGTATGCCAGGGTTTGTAAGAATGCGTCGTTTTCCGCGTAGCAATCCGCATCCGGGGATTCCTCGACCGTCCAAGTCATGCCCATGTCAACGACACCCATTCCTTCCATGTTCATGTGGTCATTTGCGCTCATTGAGCAGTTCAGAGGGTTCGTAATTGATGACCGGCAGGCATGTGCGCAAGGTGGTTGGTACATAGAGATCCCATATCCTATCAGTCCATGGCCTGGCCGCCCCATTGCCATCTCTGAGGCAACCCCGCGAGCGAGGCCCAGCAGCAGGCAACCTGCAACGGTATGGTGGCTTCGGAGCTGCATGGTGAATAGGAAACCTCCTTGCTCTGTATAAGTTTCCGTCCTGGACAATCATTCCGAATTTTAAACAGTGCGAGGAAGGGCCTGCAAATTATATATTTATTCATTATATAATTGTTTCTCGAATTGAGCAGATTTCTAAACGCTTGGACTTGGCAGCCACAACACCACCCATTTCTTTCGCCGAAACCGCGAGCCACGCTTCTTATAAGGAGAATTTCCAGAGGAGCTGCTCCAATCATGACTTTGACTTTGTCATGTACCAAGCTCGACAATGGACCAGAATAGCTCAGAAGTTTGCCGTATCAGAGCCAAGAAGTGATCTGAGGCAGCGAAAAAGAGGGAAATTGAGCAGAATTTCTTCCCGAGGTGGGTCCACAAATTTGCTCAAACTCACAACTTTCGTTTCATCAGAAGCATAGGCGACTAATGTTAAGATGTGGGATTTGGACTGGACCTTGCACGGCCGTCAGACAAGAATATAAAAAGTAAACATCCAGCGAAGTGAGGATATAACTAATTTATACTGCGAAAGAACTCTAACAATCAAAAATAGACAAGTCGTAACCAATGGCTGGAACGCTCTCCAAGTACCTCAAATTCGTGGACTTAACTGCATTAAATATTCCCTATTGACATTGAGCAGCCACCATAAATTGTTCTCGGGACTCTGAAAGAAGAATAAAATGGCGAACATGCAACGTCAAAACAATGCCATCAATCTGATTGTTTATCAGGAAATCGCCAGCCCCGTTCATTGGTACCTACGCCACCAGATGACCCATATCTAAGACTATTCATATGAATTCATTGTAGAGATAATATTACGACCGGATGATCGCCATGAATAGGGATTTCGACCAGCATCCCGTTCTGATCTCGCCCAGGCTAAGCCCTCCGCCTTAACGAACTCTAGCTTCCTGTCTAAGAGGATCGCAGACAGGATTTTGGCGTTGCTACTACTATTACCGCCACTCAGCACAATCATGCAACTCGTGACAATGGCAAGAATGCCGTGAAGGGCTCGTCTGCGCATGTCCAGGTTAAGATGAGCGATGGGTCAGCGAGAAATACAGCTGAGTATGTACAATGAATCGTAAAAAATACGAAAGCAGAATAAGTAGATAGAAGGTAGATAGAATAAAAGAAAGAATAAAAAATAGATTTGCGTATAAGAATATAATAATAATTAAAACGAATAAAAAAGACAGGTTAAAATAACATACGGAGAGGAACAGAATATTCTGAAACTGAATTAAAGTGATAAAATACAGATACAGTAGAAGACAAAACTAAGAATATACAAAACTATGCAACAGTGTAGTTATAGGGAGGTGTAAAAGCGACAGAAAGCGGGAAGCTGGCAGACACCCCTATATTGCCTGTATTATCTTAGTAGTGCCTCTCGGCGGAGAGTAAACGTCCTGTTAGACTCCTGTCATACGTGTCTAGTGGATAAAAATTGTTTGGCTCTGTAGAGTATCTACCGTCTTATGCAGGTTCTTTGGGTTTTTTCACCAGTACCTCTGGTGGTACTAGTCATTGTTGGACCCGGTTAGTTGCTATTTCGTTTGATGCAGGACAAGTTTCGGTCTTTGATGATCATGGTAGTGTGAGTATAATGGATAGCGTCAAGTTCTGATGTTGTACGTGCAGTGGATAAATGATTATGTTTGTGCTTAATATATGAAAGTGGCTCGGGGTGAAAGTTAACTCAAACAAGATATAAGAAAGTGGAGAGTAGATTGCTACCGCTGTTAAGATATCAAAAACCTATCTCCGAAACAATTCCCATGCCCTGCCTACAAGTAACAGAATGCACATTTCGTTGTCCATCAGCTCTAGTAGGAAACAATTGCCAAAGGCAAATCCCATCATCCGAGCAATATCCCTCGGTCAAGATTAATAAATTTCCATAACTCAAGGCCACTTCCCAGGTCCCAAGCAAACATTTCCCAAGCAAGTATCAGAATGGCAGCAATTCGCGTCGCTCGAGCACCAACCCCGGCAGCGTGAATCTCTTTTCTGCAACCCCATCCCATCGGAGAGAGAGACACCTTCGCCCCCAACCTTGTTATCCTCCCCATCAACAAGGGGCGCATAGGCCCGGATCTCACGAGCGTGGTGCCTGCGCGAATCGCCAGGCCCCAAGCAAACCCCTACCGAGCAGGCACCAGACTTGGAACAGTCCTCATCGGAGCTGCCGGCGCTACGGCACTTGGACCAGTTCGTACCTCCTTCGACCAGAGTATCCGGCATAATGGCAGTGATCGATTCAGGCTTCAGCTCGTCGGGTTGGGTGACGGCTGAAATTGACTGTGTTAGTTAATCGGGCGAGAATAGGTGGTTATTTGCACATGGATTTGGATAGAATAAAGGAAGCGAAGAAAGCACTCACCTCTGACTTTGGAGACAAAGCTCTCACCTCCATTGGAGGTAACCTTGGTGGAAGTTGCCAAGGCAGCCAACATGAAGAGAGCGAGGTTGTAAACCTTCATTTTGGATAAGGAGCTGTCCAACTAAAGGAAGAAAGAAACTTTGAGAAAGTAGCTGGAACGAAAGGGTGTGCAGTCATTTGGAAGAAGAGAAAAGATATGAGGCCAAGGACTACGGGGAAGTTCGTGGCTTTTATAGACGGGAGGAATGATATTGTGTGGTTATTGCAAGTGAATTTTAGTCTACTATGACCTGGAACAAATCATAAAATGTATCTATTTACCAATACTTGTGAAGAAGTGGATTATAACAAGAGATCAACCTACTTATTTCTCTCCATAACCCATGAGAATGAATGATCAAACGTCCTCCATGATTAATGCACTATAAACATGGATTTTTCTTAATGGGTCCACTTAGCCATTGTGAATATATACTAATAGCAGAAGTGAATATTTCTCCATCATGGTTCCATCTAGCCCCAAAGAAAAGATTTTACTTTATTAAATGCAGATAGTATTGTAGACCCACCTAGGAAGTTTGTACCAGAGTATGACATCTTCTTGCACTCTATATTGTATGAACTTATAATTATAAGAACAGTTGTGAGGATCCTTCTTCCTAGTGCAGCATGATCAATCTCCAAGCTTCTCAATGATTCCGATCTCTATCATATTTTCTGCAATTCGACGCTATTCCAGCCCTTTATTTTTATTTCTTTACTTTAGGCAGACCACAGCCACCACGGTAAACTTGACGTGTTGGAATAAAGAATGACCACCCCTAGATTTGCCCAATAAACCACCGTTGGTTTCACTCTGTCTTGCAAAATGTGCGATGTGCCTTCTGGGATTAGTGACCACCTGTTCCTAGGGAAGGGATGTTTTCAGTCCCCACCAGCTAGCACAAAGAACAATAGGCCTGCCACTAGTTGAATAAAAAGCAACGCCCAATCAGTAACTTCTGGAATCCACCGTGAATAACACTATTTCCTCAATACACTCTCGCTGGTACCCCCAGATCAGAACGATACTTGTCTACTTGACATGGATCTGGGGAAACCTATCACAGACTCGGAGCAGGCCGTGTTTCCTTACCATGCAGTGGATCAATGAACTATCAATCTGCTCACTAAGGTCCTAGAAATGAAAGTTAAGGGGGCCATAGACTTGTTATTTCCAGCTGGGATGATTGTCTTCCATAATTAGGAATGGCTTTGATTATCAATTAACTAATTTACTGCCGCAAAGAATAAGATCTTGTATGGAAGTTAAATAGTGCATGCATAGAGCTAGATTAGAAAGTGCAAGGGTGTACATAGGGAAGAGCTTGTTGTGTATTCCTTCCATATCGGGCTAGTTGGCCTAAGGCCGCAAGAACACTGCTGTAATCCTACTGCTAGAGATATCACAACACAAAAGATACATACTCGACAATAATAGATGCAACAGAGTAAGACATATTGGGAGATCTTCGCAGAAATGTATTCAGAATCCCAATTACTATACGCCTCCAATCCAAGCTATACTAAAGCCCAAAGTTGAAAGAATCCTTCCCTCATAAGTACACACTGGGAGGATAAAGAAATGGGGGCAAAGCCAAGTTGGACTATCACACTGCTAAGATTAGCCACCCCTTACCTATTTACACATGCACCTAACCAGATATTCACGAGACATAATGAAGCGAGTGGTTGTCAGCCCTTTGTGTTACCGCATAGACTCTAGGATCGAACTTCATGCAGTAGGCGGCAAGCAGAAAGGCCGGGTTACCAGCGGTACTAAAACAGTATCCCCTCGTCCAGTGAAATATTCATTTTAGCGTGTTTTTGCGGTCTTGGCACCCGCATTTCACCGCTGAATGAAGCTAATGTTTTGATTTGCTACTTTGTTTACCGCCTTAAAGCCAATACTACTCTTGATAAAATGATTCAAAACACCATATAAAAATATATAATAAAGCGAATTTCTCACCAACTAGCTAGAAAACTAAGGAATGAAAATCCCTATCACATAAACAGCCAGAGCGATTATGACATAGTGGCACTTGACAGTCAGAACACTGCCATCCAACGTAGTAAGGCCCAGGAAGTTGCTGATCTTTGTTACTCTTTACCCGCTTATTTTGAATATATAAACACCAGATACAACGTGACCGTTTAGTCGTTTGAACCAGCTTATGTGATAGTGAGCTATCCAATCAGCATTTAGGAAGCTCCACAGAGGCCTTTCTTTTATATGGACGTGGTTGTGCCGGCCGTGGGTAGTCAACAATATATTCAAAAAGCTGTTGGTAAAGCTTCTCCCGGAAGGCTCGCTGGGATATATATGGCTGCTGGTGCCCCTGTCGTTGAATACAGCATATTTTATATGCGTTTACGACAGAAGTATCTAATATCCAGTAGAATAATGGCCACCAGGAGCGAAATGTTGGCCGGTGGGTAATATATTCTGCACAGAGTTGGTTGGCGATATCAACACCACCCATATAATAATTATAATCATCAATCACTGTGGGTATTGGTAACTTCTTGATGTGTTGATCCCCAAAAATAGGCCGGGTAATACTTGCACTGGTACTAGCCTTCCCTGGACGCTTTCTCTCACGTTCTATTAGATCTGTTGTCTTATCAACTGTATGGACAGTTAAAAGGCTGGTAATAAGATTATTATCCTGCCATGCAAAGCAAAGAACATCCTCCACTGGTATAGCACACATTGTATTCCATGCAAGCTTAATATCACGGTCTTTAAGATGCTTTATTAGCAGTGGGAAGTCCTTTCCACGGCTCCGAGTTGTTCCACAGGCTCCAATAGCGCGATTTCGCAAGATCTTGAAAAGACAGATACTGGTAAAGTAATTATCAAGAAAGACTATATAGTAATTGGGATTATTAGGTAGGCGACGAAGCATTTCAGCAATTATAGAGCCAGTAAGTGTGAGGTCTTTATATTTAATAATTTCTTGAAGGCTCAGGGATCGGCTAGCAGGGGTAAATGTATAAATATAGCCGTGGTCAGCAAGCGCGAATAGCTTATATCCCTATAAAGTTAGCAATGGCTTTAGTATACTAACAAAGGTGTCTTACCTGTGGGATTGGTTTATTAGGCATTTTATAAGTATGCAATAAACGGCCACAGCATTTTATTATAACTCTATCGATAGATATTTTTAAAAAAGGGAGGTAATATCGCTTACATGCAGTACGGAATTGTGATATCATTGGGTCTAATTTATACCACCAGACCTCTGCTAAATGCTTCATTCCGTACTTTAATTGGTTATCTTCGGTAGGCTCAACATCAAGATAATTTTTTGGATATCGGTCAATAACCTCAGCCTGGGATATATAAAGATATCTCTTCAATTGCTCGAACCAAATAAGGCTAAGATAGCGAGGGATTGTATGTTGAGGTCCCTGATTAAGATCCTGCCTCCAATAAAGGCCTATTTCTGGCTCTCGGTGGACTCCCATATATATAAGGGCCCCTATAAAAAGCATTATCTCACTCCTTGTTGTATTTCTCCATGGTCTTTTATGCTCGCTGGGCCCTCCCCGAACCCGTTGTGCTCCAGCATAATTATTAGTATTTTGTACGACAGTAACCCATAGGTTATCAGGCAAAAATAGCTTGAAAAGTGATAAAGGGCTGTCTGTATCATATCCAAGTGGTATCCGGAGCTTAGGTCCCTGTGGAGGGTCCATTGGAAGAGGATTAAATTTCACTGTTTTCGGATCGGGAATTCTGGCAATAAGGTCTTGATTTTGAAGCATTTTAAAGGGGTCTGGGGCCTTGCTTGGATAACTCTGATTAGCTGCAGCTTCAGCTTCAGCTTCAGCTTCAATATCATTTTGTGTATCCAATAATGGTTGTGAGGGAGGGGGGGTCTCCATATTATTGATTTTGATGTTGAATATGCAACGAAATCGCGTAGGGGGCGCGTTGATGTGGTAGCTTTATGACCGGCAGAAAATCATTCTGCCAGAAGCGGTATAATATCTTGGCCAATCAAACTACCGATACAAAAAAACCACGCTAAAATGAATATTTCACCGGACGAGGGGATAGAACTTGTCGGCCAGCTGAATACGCGTATGAGCTAGTATCACTGATCTATGGATAAGGATCCATCTATTGAAGGTGTTACGGGAACACTATAATCCGCCCGACTTGGTGGTGCGAAGTACAGTATCTAACGATCGATTCAACCCCTGAATCCTTTAGATAGTTGAGCACCTAGATAGGAATGCAAGAGACTCAGTTGGTTGAGATACTGTGATTCCTGGTGAGAATATAGTAGCTCCAGGAAGGTGATAGTTATTAATAAAAAATGCAATTAACACCGCGAATATTTATACAGAATGGAGGAAGCCTAACAGGGGAAGAAGGGCAGTAAAGAGCTCGCGAGCAGGAGGAAATACAAAGGCGGTGCCACGGCGTGAGCATGGTGGAACAACTGGATTCTATGACGAAGACATCGCTTGAAGATCGTAAACAGTGACGCGAGGTCGGAGCTATACTATTGTAATCTCCTTAGTCCGAAAAGGGTAAGACTAGGTTACAGGGTACACCCAATTGCCACGCCACTGCAAAAAGGTCAACTAGACTTGGTAATACCAAATCTGGCTCCCAATTCACTTATCTACCGTCTCCGCGGTCACACTAAATTAGCTGTGATTACACTATCTACAGGCGGTGAGGGGCGGCAGAGAACCCGAATCCTAACAGGCGGCAATTAAAAGCACCACGAAGGCCACCAACCTGCAGTAATTGCAATAAACAAGGCCATAATAGACTCAAATTCCCTAGTAATTAATGCTGTCTTAATTATAATAAAATTACTTTATTTTGTTGAGATATTGGTCAATTTAAAAGGCTGCTTTGTATGGGTGCGCAGTTTGGTGGGGACCGCTCGGTGTCCGGTCACGTTAGTTATTACTAAAAGTTAGTTAACTAAGTTAAGTTAATTTAACTAACTAGTTAACTCTTAGTAATACATTAGGTAAGATACATAGGTTACCAAAGCATGTCACAGTCCCGTTTGGGTCTAATCCTAATGCAGGGGTAGTATGATCAAGATGACAGAACAATACAGTACTAGGAAATGGGAACATTACGACTAGAGCTAAAGCGGATCTTGATCAAACCATCTGTTCAACGAAGTGGGTCTGGACGGCTAAGTCGGAAGGTCGTATTACCCGCACTCAAACTTTTACCTTGGCACATATCTGCTCCTCTTGTTTGTCAAAGCGTTTGTCAAAGCGTGACCGGCATCGATGGGCTGCATGTAAAGCACCAGGTTAAGCATCCCTACTATCGGCCACTATGACAACTGTTGATCAAAGTGAGAATCAAGTTGAGGCCCCTTCCAGGCCTCATTCACCTGAGAGAAGTATGGAAGGGCCGATATCTTCGGACCAGACAGATAGGCAATCATGGCAAGATACTGGCCAGTCAACAGGATCGAGCAGCTCGGTGGACTATGATCCTCGGTCTCACGCACTCCGTTCACGTAATACGGAAGTCGACCTGGAGCGTTATCAGACAGCTGCATCGAATTCTCTGAGCCGGATCGAAACCCAACGACTGCAGCATGCTATGACCGTGGGTGAAAGCGTCAAGGCACGACCTTCCAGAGCCCCCTTGCCTCCGTTTGGTGCTGGTAAACCCTATCCGCCACTCCTACCCCCTCAAGAAGAGTATGTTGTAGAATTCGACGGAAAAGATGACCCGTTGTATCCCCAGAACTGGCCATTAGGAAGAAAGTACGTAATAGCCCCGTTTTATGCTATGGATGACACGCAGCTTATGCATTGCAATCATTTGCTGAATGCTGACCTCTTCTCTAGAACTTACATCAGCACCATTCTGGCGTTCACCAGCATCTGCTCCACTTTTGATTCCGCCATTTTTGGCTCTTCGACTAACAATGTTGCCCGGGTGTTTGGGGTTGGCGTGGAGGTTGCGAGTCTTTCTAGTTCCCTCTATATCATCGGCTACGCTTCTGGGCCTCTGATTTGGGCCCCATTATCCGAGCTCAAGGGCCGTCGTTTGCCCATCATTATCAGTATGATGGGATTTGGTATATTTAATATCGGCGTAGCAGCATCCAAGGATATACAGACTCTCATGTTATGCCGGTTCTTCGCCGGTATCTTCGGCAGTTGTCCACTGGCCGTAGTAGCGGCCATTTTCTCGGACATATATAACAACCGCACCCGTGGCATCGCGATCGCCATGTTCTCGAGTACCGTCTTTCTCGGGCCTCTTCTGGCGCCGTTCATCGGTGGCTTTATCAATACGTCCTACCTGGGTTGGCGATGGACAGCTTACCTCCCAGCGATCATGGGCTTCTTCGCTTTTGTGTTGAACCTGTTTTTTCTGAAGGAGTCGTATCCGCCGGTTGTTTTAATCGACAAGGCTGCCCTGCTGCGCCGGCGCACCAAAAACTGGGGCATCCACGCAAAACAGGAGGAAATCGAAGTTGATCTTCAAGAGTTACTAATCAACAACTTTTCACGTCCGCTTCGGCTACTGATCAGGGAACCATTGATCTTAGCAGTGACAGTATATCTCAGCTTCATCTACGGCTTGCTCTACTGTTTCATGACGGCGTATACAATTGTTTTTCAGGGTGTCCATGGCATGACTGCGGGTGTAGGCGGACTGCCTTTGTTTGGCATGGTTGTGGGCTTGCTTATTGCAGGCTCCTATAGCATCTATTCGAGCAGGGGATATAATGCCAAGTTAGAGGCGAACGGGGGTATTCCCGTTCCAGAATGGCGTCTCCCGCCAGTGATCGTGGGAGGCATCCTCTTCGCTGTCGGGCTTTTCTGGTTTGGCTGGACCGGATTCACGGGTAGCATTCCCTGGATTGTGCCCACGTTGAGCGGGCTCTTCACTGGCTTCGGACTTTTGATCGTATTCATCCAATTGTTCAACTACCTTATCGACACATATCTGATGTTGTGAGTTCCTTCACCCCCTTAATGCAGTGCTTCCTGCGAATCTAACAGGATATAGTGCTGCATCTGCAATTGCAGCAAATACTTTCTGCCGTTCACTACTGGCCTCCAGTTTTCCGCTCTTCTCACGGCAGATGTTCAACAACATGGGGATTCAGTGGGCTGCCACGCTCTTAGGATGCCTGGCCACCATTCTTGTGCCGATTCCTATATGCTTTTATTTCTTTGGTAAGAAACTGAGAATGAGAAGTAAATTTGCGCCTATTTATGAAAAGGCTGGCGTGACGGAGATTGCAGAGAATGAGCTTGTCGAGGGACCTGACGAGACTGCCAGGAACTAGTACCTGTGACAAGTCACCCACCCGCAGCCACACCGTAAACCCAAAAACAAAGCCTTTTTCTATTTTTCTATCTCGACGGCGTTGAATCTAAGTAAAAAGGAGGCTGTCCGATTTCTTCAAGCTCTGTGTTTAGCGGCAATGAAGGCGATTTCTCTACCTAACGTGGTGTTCTGGTATTTTTTGACGTTTTTACCCTGGTGTCCTCGCGTCCGCTTTGCCTCCCGTTGTTTCTCTTTTCTCGTGTTCGTCGCGCTGTTTAATAAAGGCGTTGGCATCTTTTTGAGCTAATGGCATTGCTGGACTGATAAAGGAGTCGTTTGCGAGATTTAATTGTATTTTTAGCTGTCTTTTCCAGATAGTGGATATTAGGAGTTGAATCTTGGTCTCTAACGGGTAGATCGACTACTTTTGACGCTTGAATTAGGCAAATTCCAAGGTCGGCGAACGCGTTTCGAGTCGTACTAGTTTTAAAGATTTCTTTCCAGATTTTAGAAATATCTCTACGAAAATCTCTCTTATCCGAGTCTGACCCTCCCAGCCGGGTTTGTGATTCTTCCGAACGTAGTGCTTATAGAAACGGCTTGCCCTCGAGTGGCTAGACAAGGCGTGTGGTTTTTGGAGGAAACTATAGGGGATAATCTTATGTTTCTCGCAAACAGTGATAACTTCGAGGTTAAATGAGATTTATGGCCATTAAAAAGTAAAAGCCGAGGCTTGCTTTCATCTGCGCGAGATTTGGTTTTTAGTCAAAAACCTGGAGCCTCTAAAATACAATTTCACTATTAATATAGCCGCTCGAAGAGACTAGTGATATAATTATTGGGAATTGTTGGTTGACCAAAGTGCCACCGCTCAAGCTCGTGACGGCCGGAGAGGATAAAGAACAGTAACATTACCCACCGGTACGCAGCGATGCATTTGACGGCGGTAGGGATATTAGACGCACGTTTGGGGTATTCTGTAACGACTTTTTGAGGTTTTCCCTAGCCAACTTGGAAACCAGTCTCGTCGAAATTATCGACGTTTTGGGGGTGGTAGTAATGCGACGTGTTGCTTAAAATATTAAACCAGAGCTGTAGATCGCCGATATACTCTGCGTCGAGGCATTGTTTCTCGATAGGATGTTGTTTGATGAGCTTAAAGCTTTTTGGGAGGCGTTTAATGAAGTGATAAACCCACATCTTACCAACTACGCGTGGCGCGTATGGCGTGTTATTACAGCTTAAAATCTTATTTGTAGCTTCTTCAATTTGGCCAGGCGTAGGAGCTGAAAGGTGCTCAACTAACGAAAGGGTTCAGGGGTAGAATGGATCGTCAGATACTCCACACCGCCAAGTCGGCTGGATCATAGCGTTTCCGTAACAAAAAGTAAGGTAGACCTCTATCTAATTCAATCCTAGGAGAACAGAATAAAAAAAGGTTAAAAAGAATGGAATAAAGGAAGGACCGAGCGGATGCTGAATAATTTGTAAGATTGACCCATTCTTGTCGTCAGTACGTTATAACTTACGGTCACCTTAACACCCTAATGTTCTGTTGACCATAAAAATACGCGTATTCGCAAGTATCGATCCTTCATAGAATAAGGTCTCTGATTCAACTAAACTACCAAAAAATCTCGCGTTTATAATAAAGGCGAGGTAAACAAACGAAGAATATAAACTAACTCATATAGGAAATATACGCCATCTGATGATGTTGCATCAACAACATTTGACCGAGAGAGGTGCTGAATAATCAATATTACCATATTAGCTAATTGTCGACATGATCCGTAAATCTTCCTTTCCACCATCCTTGCTTCTTGACGACTGCAAGTTTTCAGATCAGTGCCCATGAAAACGAACACCATTCACCATGTCCTGGCCACGATCACAACTTTTCGAGATTGGAGATCAAACATGGTGTCCGTCATGGTTGCATAAATACGAACAGTTCTCCCTTACGCAGCTCTGGCAGCTACAAGTTCCCGGTTGGAGCAACGGTAGTCTTGCGACACAAGCATGCGAAGTGTTCAAGGAGCATTTACAGGACCTATCATCATATGCCGTTGTCGACGTCTGTGCTGGTGCTGGGGGACCCACTCCAGTGCTTGAATTCAAACTGAATAAGGAACTCCAGTCTAAGGGCAAAGATCCTGTTCATTTCATTTTAACCGATCTCTACCCACATTTTGAAGAGTGGCGGAGAATCTCGAAGAAACAGAAAAACGTGGCATACATCAAAAAACCAGTTGATGCTCGGGCTGCTGATCGATTTACAAAAGCATCTTCGAAGGCGAAAGAATGCAGACTCTTTAATGTATGTTTTCATCATTTTAATGATTCTGATGCCATGGGTATTTTAAGGAGTACTGTCCAGTCTGCCGATGCTTTCATGTAAGCATTCCACACATGGGGTAATTTCTGGTGTTTCTACCGCATAAGAGACTCTAATACCTTCATAGCATATTCGAAATTACAGCACGGAAGCTTGAAACATGCCTGTACTCGCCTTTGGTGTTCTTTTGGGCTTACTTTGTCACCCTTGTCTGGTACTGGAACTCTTCAATTTATCTTTTCTTTACTTTTGTGCTTCCCGTTACTCCCCTCACGATCTGGATTGATGGGTTTATATCCTGCCTCCGAACGCGGACTCCAGTAGAGATCCAAAACCTACTAAATCAACCAGACCTGAATCTCACCGAATGGACATTTACTAGTGGGGAGAGGACGGTTCAGTGGCCTTGCCTTACTTTGTATTACTATATTGGTATCAAGTCCGAGTAGGTGACAATTTCTAGTTTGCGACATACAAGAATATATTATCAGTAATCTAAGCCAAGATGCTCGATAAACACTGTTATGTGGGAACCATTGGGTTCATTACAAAGCAGGTAAAATATTGGATAATCCCTGTTTTCACACTCCTTTGATTTTCTTTAGCTCCACTTGTAATGCTATCCATGGCGAGTATAACTGCCGTTGGCAAGTCTAACTGCCATAATCGTAATGTTGTACGTTGCGTTATTCGATAAAAATCAACGTAGAAAATTTCATATTTCTTGCGTCGTCCCATTTCCAAAGATCATAAAAGTATAAGGGAACTCACAGCCGGAAGTTCCCAAAGAGACATAAGCGGAATCCTTCCTACAGGTAATCCGAATCCAAAGCAGGAGGTGCAACGCCTTTGGTGTTAATCATTAGGGGAGAGCGGACAAACAAATCAAGAATCTTAGTCCAGCTGAAATTTGGCACAAACTTATCGAATGATGCAGGCTATCGAAGCAAAGTGCGGCTCTCCGACGTCCCAAGGCTGTTCAGTGAGTAAAATTGGCAAGACTCAGGAATTTAAACTACGCTTGGAATTGACAACATTTCGTTACTTCCTGTCTCGTCCGCTTTCCCGGTGAGCTGCAGCCAAAAGGCCGGTAACTGATACATTTGAAGCATTGTTGTAGTCCACAAGATTGATTTTATTCTAATAGAGAACCTGATGACCTTATAAAGCATAAACATTAGATTAATTCAAAACAATATGATATTATATAGTATAAATTCCATGTATGAAAGTCTATAGTTTGTTTGATCGAGTCTCTATACACAACAAGTATTTCCTAGACTGAACCATCCTAACACGCACCTTGAAATTGAATATGTACGGGCCATAGAGTGGTCATGCCCCCGTTTGTGCTATTCTCCTGAATGACGGACACACTCCGCCGTAAAGCCACTTAAAATACCTCCGCCTACAGAGAAGAGCCCCTGCCTAAATCACCACGCACAGCTCCTAACATCTGTGAGATTACAAGTGTGGTGATAGCCGCCAAACTCACAGCTGAACCTCACGAAGCGAAGACAAAATACTTCGGCGCATATCCAGTAAGCACTCCCCGGACCCGATGGGGTAGACTGTCAATGATATTTTCCACTAGCCTCCTGAGAGAAGTTGGGACTATCAGCAGGTGGAAGAGCGGGTCAGGGGCTAGTACGGCGCGCATGGCCCTGGACCCAGATTGTGCGCATCTCTGGGACCCTGAAAGTGCTCTCTTTCCCCATCAGGAAGTGGGATATTTCTCTGGAGAAGACAGACCCTCCGTGACTGGCTATCGAACGTTGAAGAAGGCAGAATTTGATGTCCTTGAGGTGGTTGTATGACAGCTTCGACCTCTTTTCTTAGCAGCGGTGCCGCCAACTTTTTTCGAGATCTTTCTCTACAAATATTTAGTGCGGTTATAATATACGACAAGCTAGGAGGGCAACGAGATCTATATACGTATAAAAATCTGACATAGCTCCGATAATTAAACAAAGTTGGAGGCGCCCTTTAGGACACTAGCCATGACATAGACGGTATGGCCAATCTCAATACCAGCATAATGCTGCTCAAGCGCCGCTTCGGCATCCAAACGATGGTGGTGCAGATTCTGTTCGATCTGTGAGGCATGAAGAGCTGCAGCAGCCGGGGACAGATCTCCAAAAGCCGCCGCCAAGGCTGACGTTGGGTAGAAATAGTACTACATCAGTTCATTAGTATTATGAAGAAACAAGACGTATAGCACCAGCCTACCTTGCCCGACCCTTTTCTCTGATTCTCCGCATATTCACTAATGACCGTCTCCGGCTCGCTCTGGATCTTCCACGCCAGTGAGACGACTCTGCCTGAGTACCCTGCAGCGTCAGCCATGTCTAGCATGGACTGAACGGGAACTCTCCCGCCCATGCTGGAAAGAATAGCGCCCGAAGGCTTGATAAGGCGCGTCACCCTGGCCTGGTATAAGCAGATATAGTGAAGATCTAGAAGGGCCTCGGAGACATGGGCCGGGACTCGATCCGCCGTCCGATCACCGATGAATGTCGACGACATTTGGCCATCGACGAGGCTCCTGGTGGCTGTGAGAGGTATGTTCGGCAGATTCCTAGCCATTTTATTTAGTTGGCTGCTGCTGATAATTAGGGCTGACCTCCTGGTACGTACTCATAGATTAAGTCAAAAGCCTCCTGACCACTCAGCGGGAGGAGGAGATCGCCTGCAGAGGCATAGATACTCTTGGCAACGGCTCGACAGGGAGCGGACTTTTCAGTGGCATTTAGAACGTTCCGCTTAGCAGCATTAACCACAGACTGATGCAAATCGGTCATGGCCCCGAACTCGAGATCAGGAAAGGTTTCGAGTGCAGCGATCATGTCGGTCCCCGAGCCAGTACCGATTGTGGCGAAGCGCTGGACCTTGCCCAGCTGACCGCGCTGGTAAGCCTGGAAGGAGTTGAAGGCCGCGATTACTGCCCAATCGGCACGAGGGTTGTCAACCTGAATATATGTATGACTCAGCCCACGGATGCGGAAGAATGGCACCAAAACATGCAGCAGATCTAGTGAGACCCTACCTTAGGCAGATAACTCTGCTCAGATAGAGTTAGTGAGAAACTCTTATTGACATTGGAGGGCACAATGCCAAAGAAGAGCTCGAAATCTACTTCTAATGTTCGAACGTTAGTGTGCATCTCATCGTTGTGTTTCCCATAGACACCATCCTTCCTCGCGAGGTTCGCGGTGCCATTGCTTGCAACGCTGATTCGAACCATGTCTGTTGATGGTGGGCTTGGAGTTTCTGAAGTATGATATTTACAAGGGGCTGAGATTTTAAGATCTAAGAAGTTTGTTTTCAAGTGTAGAACGGCAGTATCTCCTCGCTTCTGCCTGCCGTTCTCTTTCTTATATACCCAGAAGGGAAATTAAGGGTCGACGTAACGAAGGAACTAGCTAGCTACAATGACGTTCGTAGACGGTATTATCTTCATAAGCAAGTACGACCAGTCCAATAAGCATCCACGGGGAAGAGGCGATTAGTTCCGGTAAGCTCAGAGAGCCTGTCATAAATCATATAGGCTAAACGAGGCCGCTTCTGGCGGGTTGTCTTTCCGTCACGCGGAAGCAAGCATTGCGTAATCTGGCTTACATTGTGGTCAAATTTCACGGCTGAGTCAGAATAAGCAGACATCGTCAACACGACTAGCGGTTGGGTGTTCTAGGAAAAGGTTTTATATATATCAAGTTTGAAGGCCAACTCGCATGACAGGGGTCCTGAACTTTTCCGACCGCGCCGTTGATGCGCTGGGCGTGAGAGTACAGGGCAGACAGAATGACAAGGTAACCGCTGCCAGTTATCAGCTGAGCGTCGCCTAGGTGCAAATGTTGAACTCGGTTCACGCTGTGCAATCGCCTATACCTGCTACCTGCCAAATCGGGGAATTGTGGTGAGACTAGGGCCTAGCTCCAGTTTTCGGGATGCGGCAAGACAGCCGGCCCGCATCACTCGCAGAATCTACAGTGTCCACCCTCCTGCCGAACAGAGCTAGCCCCGATCTTGGCTAGGTTGTTCACCAGTATTGGATCGGCAGAGATTCAGACGAATTGGGCATATCGTGCATGACGGATATCCTGCAAAAGCCCCTGTCAAATGAGGCTTACTTGCAGCGAAAGGCTGTTTCCCACTCATCTCCTGGGCGAATTGGGATGTGGAAGTCGGCCTCTTCGATGTCGTATTTTGCGTACCATCCGTATTGTATAATTCGGGATCTGTAGCTGACTGTTAGTGGCGGTGTGTATACGTATTTCCTCGTAATTCGGATTAACAACTTGTAATTTTGACAAGGTCTCAATTCACGCGTATTCTACTTAGGTGCCCATATAATCTCGACTGTATTTCTGCTGTACTGGGTCTTATGTATCTTTGTTTCAAATTCACTTCGTTGTATCTGAACAGTTCTTCTTCAATTCTCGACAAAAGACGGGAGCCGTATATCTCAAGTCTGGTTCAGACTACAAACGATAAACTTATGTACTGTACATAGATGACATTTTTATCTTACTATGGCTAACGCTTCTACGCCTGTACCGACCGTAAAAGTGTCAACATAAAGCCTAGGGCTACATCTCTGCCAATCCTATTTCTACAGAAAAGATCCCCAGGGTCCGCCCGGTGTAATTACGTAGTACTCTGCCAGGCACTTTTTTCTACAGAAGGACCCCCAGGGTCCGCCCGGCGACTCGTGCTATGCCCCACTTTAATGCATCCTTGGGCAGCCGTCAATAAAGAGGGGCATGGCTTGGGACGGGTTTCCGCGGCAGAGTTCCTTTTTGCGGGGGGGGCGGGGGGAGTGTAACCCACGCTGAGGTTCTGCTGTGGGGATGAAAGCCCAATAAGACTACCCTCACGCCTGTTTCTTTAGCCAGAACCTATTCAGTAACATCCTACTTTCTGCCGTTTGTTAGTGTGGTGTGTGGAGGCTGACCAACCATCAGCCTACCAAATGTTGTCTTGTCGCCTGGAAGGTGTAGGGCTCTGTTTTGGTTCCATTTCGTCATCCTCTTTTGTTTCTTGGGTTGATTCATTCGCGTCGTTCGTTTGATTGTATTCCGGATTCTCGTCAATTAGGCCCTCGGTCGGCCATCAATTTCTACTCCCAGCTCCTCAGTTCCATCACTACTCTCATCGGCCCCGAATTGTCCATGCCATCAGCTTCTGATCCAGTGGTCTAAGACTCTGATTCTCCATTTTCGCAAGACTGCATCCCTGTCAACTCTCCATGATCAGGCTGCTGCCTTAGAGCGCGGCTAGAATGGGTTCATTGGTTGCCCTTTCGGATCGGCCTCACCGGTCTGGGGATGATGAACAGCCTGCTGATGTTACGACAGGTGCTGAGCAACCGGGCGGGGACGAGACAAATGTCGTGGAACCGAACCCAGACGGCGGGTACGGGTGGGTGGTCATCTTCGTCTGCTTCGTCCATACCTTCTGGCAGAACGCCTGGACCGGGTCATGGGGCATCCTTCAAGTCGCTTTGCTGGAGACAACCTTGCGTGACTCCACATCAAGCACCGTTTCCTTCATCGGATCTCTCGGTATCGCTTTGTCCTGTGCTCTGGGCATCTTCACCATCCATCTCGCCCGCACGATTGGTGCCCGCTGGACCAGCTTGATCGGCATCCTGCTGTACAGCATCAGCAACATCGTCAGCGCCTGGGCCGTATCCAACGTCGGTGGTTTATTCATCGCGTGCGGCTTTACGTACGGACTTGGCGCGTGCCTGATGTACACCATGTCCAACAGCCTGCCCATACAATGGTTCAGCACCAAGCTCGGGACGGCCAACGGCATCGTCAAGCTAGGCGGAGGCATCGGGGCCACTGTCATGGCCATCGTCACTGGAGTGCTTACCGAGAGAGTTGGCATCGCGTGGACGTTCAGGATATTCGGTCTCCTGTCGCTGGCCACGGGCGTCCCGCCAGCTTTCTTCATCCGGGAGAGGATTCCCGCCCAGGGGAGTTTTGACATCGACTGGTCTCTTTTCAAGGACGTTGCCTTTTCCTGCCTCTTCACCTCCGGCGTAGTCGGGGTGTTCTCCATCTACGCACCACCATTCTTCTTACCCGCCGTGACCACCTCCCTCGGCTTCTCCGGCTCCGTCTCTGCGGGCGTCGTGGCCTGCTTCAATGCGTGCATGGCGATCGGGCGTCTCACGTCGGGGTTTGCATGCGATAAGTTTGGGAGTATGAACACATTGCTGCTGACCATGGCTCTCAACGGCATCACCATGTTCGCGATATGGTCCTTCGCGTCTACATTGGCTGTTCTGATAATCTTCTCCGTCCTCAACGGGCTCGCTAACGGCGCCTTCTTCGTGGCCCTGCCCACGGCGGTGGGGAGGCTTGCGGGGGAACGCCGCGGAGCAGGAGCGGTGAGCATTGCTATTACCGGATGGACCCCCGGCTTGTTGGTCGGCAATCCCATCGCCGGAGTCCTAATAGACGCGACGGGCGCGGGTAGCTCTAGTTCTATCGTGGCCTACAGGCCCGCTATATTCTACGTAGGAGGGACGGCACTGCTTTCCCTTGCCTTCGTTGTGGCTGCACGCCTGTCAGTTGATAGACGTCTCGCCATAAAACTGTAGCTACCCGTCTCTTCACTGCCCCACTCCAGCGAAGGGGATAAATGATATATTAATTGTGGGGGATTCTGCTTATAATAAGAGTACTAGTAATTGCTCTATATATAATTACTATGTTATACTAATTATGGCCGTATAATACTCTTGTATATTAACAAAACAGGCATGAACTCCCATGTAATTAAAACGTATTTTTACATAAAATTTATATCTTTATTAACATTAACAATTTTTAATTTTCAATTAAATCATTGCATCTTAAATGAGCCAGATTTGTGACAAAGATGGGAGATTTTTACATGCCTTCATGCTTGGTATTTTCCCATCCCCTGTCACCGAAGTGGTCCCGATTAGCAATAAATCCTAAAAAACTAAGTTATACAAGAAGAGAACCTTGCAGTGAAATAAATTTTACTTATAAATGCAATTTCATTACTAAATAATACATAAAATAATTACAAAGCGTATCCTTAGATCTTCAACCTCTGTAAAATAACGCGGGAAATTGGTGGTCAGCATATGGATTAGGAAGGAATGAAGCTAGTTGGGATCCCTGTTTGGATTACTATATCTCAATAATGACACAAAAACTGGGGCGCCAATGGTGCGCCAAGATGGCACATTTCCCAAGTTTTTACAGTATCGTTAACGTTGTTGACTGCAGCCAGCGGCAACTCGGCGGACTCTCCGGGCTCTGCTGGTTTTGCGGGCTGTGTGAGCTAGGGATTCACTAAGGCGCGTAGGAATGCATTAAGTGTGGATTTCAGTCCAGTGGATCCTTAGAGTCAATGGAGGTCTCAGTCAGCTTGTAGGGGTATTGTGGGGCAATTTGGGGAGGTGTACCTTCGCACAGGCATTTGAATGAATACCGAACATTGGAACCCCTCATTTCGAACCCTGTGTTGTGCTTTATTCATGCATCAGTTCTTGTAAGCTTACGTACATAGTATACATGGTGATTATCGCTCATTCTTCTTCCGTAGCAAGACGCCCTTAGCGTTTAGAGTTAAGAGACCATCCCGGTATTACCACGCCGCACCCTTTGCATAGTACTACATCTATCTAGTGAGGCTGTCGTGACTGACCTACCTACATCCTGAATGCCTACCTAGGTAGCTACTTTCCTAATATTTATGTATTTCCTACTGCCTTAACCCGACCTTCTTTCTCTTTTTCCCATCATCAATCACAACACACATTTGCTATCATTACCCAGTCGACCTTCACCACATTAACTACCCTCCAGATAGCCCTGTGTATATTGGCGTTCTCTGCATTATAGCCTCTCGAAATGACTTCTTCTGCCGAGACTCCTGCCCTCACCACGCTGGCCGACTCGGTCAAGGAGTCGGCCGGTACTCTCCAGCGCCTCCTCACGGAGAACCAGCTTCCGCAGCCCTCCTTCTCCCCCAGGGGCCGCCAAGACTGGTCCGATGCGCAATTTATCCCCGCTATCCTTGCCGCGCGCTCGAACCTCATTGACGCGGCCCAGGCACTTGTGGACCTCGCGCTGGGGCCAACGGATATTTTGGCGGGGTACGCGGGACCCTGCCTATCCGAGATCGAGGTCCTAAGGACGCTGGATTCCCTGGGCGTCGCGGATGCTGTCCCGCTGGATGGCGAGCTCAGTATCCCGGATCTCGCGTCCAAGGTCGGTGTTCGGAATGTACATGCGTTCGAGAAGCAGCTCCGCTTCGCCTTCCTGATGGGCATGTTCCGGCGCACACCCTCCGGTGGTGTTGCTCACACAGCCCTCAGCGCCGCCATACCAGCATCTAGCCCCTATATCTCACTCAGACTTGGTCGCATCTTCTGCCAGGGAGGGCACGAGATCGCCGCGGCGCTGCGCAATGGGGCCGGCAAGGGGGGAATACCGTGCGCTCTCGCGGACCCCGACGGACTGGGTAGGCCGGCCTTCGTACAGTTGGAAGATGAGCCAGATGGCAAAGGGATGGAGAGGTACAGCACGGGAATGATTGGCCTGTATAACCACCACGCCGGCAACTCATACATGCCATTCGTTCACGGGTTCAATTGGGACTCGCTGAGTCCAGGCGACACGGTCGTGGATGTCGGGGGCGGCAATGGGCATATTGAGAGCCAGATCGTACCACTGATCCCGGGGGTCAACTTTGTGATCCAAGACCAACCATCCAATAGAGAGGGAGCAGAGAAGATCATCGAGGAGAAGGGGTTGGCAGCCCGCGTCCAGTACCAGCCACATGACTTCTTCTTGCCGCAGCCAGAGCTACCGGGGGGACGAGTTCCAAAGGTGTACACGCTGTTCCGGGTGCTGCAAGACTGGGAGGATGCCGACGCCGTGCGTATACTGAAGCATTTGGTACCAGCCATGGAGAAGTTTGGTACAAAACTTTGGATCATGAACCGAATCTTGCCGGACGAGCTCGACACGATGCCGAGGCACAGCGAGAGATTGCTGCGCAACCTCGACCTGGTGGTTTTCACATTGTCTGGTGGTGGTGAGAGAAGCGCCAGTCACATGGAGAGGATGCTGAAGACGGCCGACGAGAGGCTCATGATTAAAACGTCCAGCAGGCCACTCAATTCGCTATTTTCGTTTGTAGAGGTCTCGCTTGAAATATAGCCGATTGCGCTCAGCCCCACGTATCGCCTGTGACCTAGAGATGTCTTCCCTGGCTAAAATGCCGTTAAAGATTCCACTACTTCGTCGCTATTGCACTTTAATCTAGACCCTCTGGCCCTTCTCGTATTTATTTATATATTATATATACTACCGCGAGTAAGGCTATAATAAAATTGATATTTAAGCATTGCTTGGTTATTTAATCCTTTTTAGTATAATATCGGACAGCGAGACGCGACATGTACTTCTCGAAGTACCTCCTCAAATTTAAGATGTCCCTGCAGGTATAGAAATCAATGGAACTCATATCATGCGTGATTTCGGTCTCTTACCCAAATTACTTGAGAAAGGACGTATAGTCCAGCCTGTAGTCTTTAGAAGGTATAAAGACGGTGATGTCCTACCCTCTATGACGTTTGGTGAGAGTATAATGAGAGAGTATGGAGCTCCATGGATGTATGTTTACAATCAATTACCACCCGGCTTTATATTAAGTGCAGATATGAAATACCCACAGCATTATATACAGAGTAGACTAAATTCGGATTCTTCTTGACGAGGCAACACGGCCAGGAGTAGATATTCGTCTGGGTGCTACAGTTGAGGAGGTCTCGCTTGAAGGGTCGGAACTCCTCCTCACTTGCGGCAGATGGTATGCTTGACAGTCATCGGATAGTTTCCATAACCGGTGCAGCAGGCGAGCTCGTTATGACAATCAAACGCCGGCCAACCGGGTCCCCTGAATCATACCCAAAGGACTTTGTGGAAGTTTGCGACCATGTGTACGAGCGTCTGAGGCAAGAACAACTCATGTTGAGACGGAGGCTACTCGAGCTCGACAATTTCATATTCGGCCGGCCGGACTGGAAAGCCGTTGTGTTGGGGTGTGTTGGGCCTCCGAAATAGCCCCATTCCACACTTCTATGCTTGCCCCCAAGGGAGCAGGAAGTGGTAGGAACGAAGTCACATGGTGCGGTTCGGGTTCTCTGCGGGCATGAGATCCACTGGCTCCCGAACGTCGTGCGGCCTGACCCCGAAGGGCAGGTAACGCTGCATGTCCCGACGGAGATGGCCCAATGGTTCAAGATCGCAATGAAGGCCAAGTTAGGCGCTTCCGTCGACTCTCTACTTATTATATCTGAGATACACGATGCGTGTGTGTTACTACCTCTGGCAGCCGTGTCTTACTGCCAAGACACGAGCCATGGACAGAGCACCTGTGATAATATCGCGGCCAGCTTTCTCATTCTTTCCTTGAAACAACCTAACAAGGGTTTTCGAGCAACGGAAGATGAAGTGCTAAGTAAGAAACGACCGTGTATCTGGACTAACTAGCCGATATTTTCCTCTCGTCAAGTCCTTCTGAACCCCGACAGCACAGTTCGCTTCGTCGAAGCCGCCACCAAAGGTCAAAAACTCTCCTTCAAACCCCAGTGGTACTGCTTTCCAGCTATCTTGGCGTCCATCTGGGATACCTTGCCGACCTCGAAGATTGGCAACTCAGCCCAGTCGGTGTTCCAGCATTACGGGGACTTAAACGATAGGCCAGCGGTCCCAGGTAGACGGTATTAGGCTGCTACGTGAGCCACGACCAGGCAACATGAGCCTTGTGGCACTCATCGAACTCCACAAAACGGCCGAGAGGGCCATTATGGCAGCCATCCATCCGGAAAAGCCTGGGCTGCCGCCCTAAAATTGCGGAATCATCATCTGCTTCAAAATTCCGAAGGTAAATCGAAGATCATTCAGCGTATTGGTTTAGCGCCGCACCTGACTCAAATCATGATTATGAGAACCATGGATCCACTGGCAGGTAACGAGGTGCAGTGGTCCTGGAGGTTGCAAGTACCAGATGGTATTGTATATGGCGACTGGTTTGCGTGGGAATCAATAAATTGTGTTGGGGTTGTGACCTAATACTATGCACTAATTTCGCAAGGATTGGGGACTGTATTGGTTGTGGTGTCTCTTAGCTTTCTAATGAATGGATGAATGAAATTTATACCGTCATATACTTAACCTATTAGGGCCAAGAACGCCAGTTCTAGGTTTTCTGCTCGCATCTCCTTTAAGCCCTATATTCTTATCTGCTAATTTAACCCGCCCCGCTTGACTCTATGTGACAGGCCTCCTTGAAGGCATAATTTCTCTAAGTATTTAGCATCCTATTGTAAAGGGCTGGAGCCCATTTGACCTCTCGGGCCAATGTCCCTATTATCCCTGTTGTCCCTACTGTCCCCGTTGTCCCTATTGTCCCTATTGTCCCTATTGTCCCTATTGTCCCTACTGTCCCTATTGTCCCTACTGTCCCTACTGTCCCTTTTGGCCCTGTTGGCCCTCGATCCATGTCACGTGACCTTCACGTTGTTTGTTTACCGCTCATTTTCCTCTTCCTTTCTTCCCTTCTTCAACGATTCCTTCTTGTACATAACCTATCTTATAGTTTCTATGGGTTCAGCCCTTGACACCTATCCCTTAGCAGCTGAAGTATGGTCTGCCAACTTCAGGGTATCTGGTGTTAGTATCCCTAGATTTGGCCGCTAAAATGCGATTCATTAGTGGTGCAATTCCAGCCAGCCAGTCACTGCATAAATGCGTCATCGCTTTTAGGGGCAGCCAATGTCACTCCAAAGTGGAGAAAGGAATTAACATTAACCTAATTATTGTTAATAACAGGAGCAAGTCCAGATTAGTTTTACTATTAGTTAATATGCGAAGCTGTAGAGTATATAAGTATCCTATCTGTTGAGGTTTCTGAATGTCGCTGACTACGCATGATAAAACCAACCCCTGCGCGTCAAGACGGAGGAGACATTTATTCTAATTCGTAAGAAAACCGCTCAGAGCATAACATACCTAAAAATTCTTAAATTTTTTGACTAGCAGATTACTTGTCTCGATTTGTTGATGGGACTTTGGGAGGTCATCTGAGAAGCTGGGGTTGTTGCTTGAGTGCTGTTGATACGCACCACTTCCTCTATTTGCTTTTTATTTATATATTCTCAAAACCATGATTGGCTTTTGAACCGCGACAGCCTCACAGTAACACGTGTCAGATGACCCCTCCAACTCCAACCTCGAATTTGGACCTTGAAACGTCTAATCTTGCAGTTCTAATGCCTATTTAATAAATGCTCTTTTTTGTCTAGCCAAAGATTGCCTGATCCATTCTCGGGTAAAGTATCACCTCGTTATTGTGTATGACATATAAAATGATCTTCACACGCGACGACTATACGGTCGCATGGATCTGCGCCTTGCCACTGGAAATGGCGGCAGCGAAGGCCATGCTGGACGAGATTCACCCTCCGCTTCCCCAGCCAGAAACCGACCACAATATCTACACACTTGGGAGGGTTGGCAGCCACAATGTGGTGGTGGCCTGTCTGCCTGGTGGTGTCTATGGAACAATATCCGCTACGGCTGTGGCGTCACATATGGTTTCTACCTTTCGGAGTATCCGGCTCGGATTGATGGTGGGTATTGGGGGCGGAGTCCCGAGCCAAAATGCTGACATTCGCCTTGGTGATGTTGTGATCAGCAAGCCAACTGCCACTTCAAGTGGTGTTATCCAATATGACTACGGCAAGACACTGCGTGACGGACGATTCCAGCACACCGGGTCACTTAATAAACCTCCTCCAGTGTTGTTGAAGGCTGTGTCTCAATTAGAGAGTGATCATATAACGGGGAAAAGAGCGATTAACAAAATCTTGTTTGACATACTGCACGAACGTGAAGAGATAAGAGAACAGTTTTCGCGACCGAAAGACGACTGGTTATTCCAACCGACATATAATCATAAGGACAGCGAACACAACTGTTCGGCATGTGATCTGACCCAGTTAGTAAACCGTTCTAAGCGGATAACTGATGACCCTTACATTCATTGTGGCTTGATTGCTTCTGGAGATCAGGTTATAAAAGATGCCAAGACTCGAGATTCTATTGCTCAGGATCTAGACATACTCTGTTTTGAAATGGAGGCTGCTGGGCTCATGGACGAACTCCCATCACTTGCCATTCGAGGTATCTGTGACTACTGTGATTCCCATAAAAATAAACGGTGGCAAGGATATGCCGCCCTTGCTGCTGCTGCCTACGCAAAGGCTCTCCTGTCAGTAGTTCCCACTTACTGCCGCAAGAAGGAATTACATGAATTAAAGGAGCCAGTTTGGATGGTCCCCTTTCGAAAGAACCCGCGATTCGTGGGTCGGGAAGAAGAAATTGCCAGAACCGAAGAATTAATTATGCCACAGAACGGACCTGACAAAGTTGCTATCTGCGGACTAGGCGGAGTTGGGAAGACGCAGATTGCACTTGAACTGGCCTACCGCATGCGAAATCGAGACCCTAAATACTCGATTTTCTGGATTACATGTACTAGCTACGAGAGTGTGGAACAAGCGTACATGAGTATCGCCTTAAAGCTAGGAATAATTGACATAAAGCCGGCAGAGGTAAAAGAAAAAGTCAAGGCTTATCTCAGCCAGGAGGGTGCTGGGAAGTGGCTTCTTTTTTTTGATAGCGCAGATGATATGGGGATGTGGAGCAAGGATAATACTAATAATTTAGTACTAACAGACTTTCTTCCTCAAAGTAAGCAGGGCCATATTCTCTTCACCACACGCAGCCGCAAGGTCGCTGTGAAATTAGTGTCTTCTCATGTAATCACAATTACTGAGCCGAACACAGAAACTTCTTTTAAAATTTTACAAAACTCACTGGTTGAAAAATCCTTGCTTAATGATCGTGTTACAGCTTTTAGTCTTCTTGAGCAGCTGGCTTTTCTCCCTCTGGCGATTACCCAGGCGGCAGTGTATATTAATGAAAATAGCATTGGCCTCTTTGACTATCTTATACTTTTACAGGATCAGGAGCCAGATGTGATTGAACTGCTGAGTGAAGATTTTGGGGATGAAATGCGATATAAAGACACCCAGAATCCTGTTGCTTTAACCTGGTTTATTTCATTCCAGCAAATTCAACGATCAAATAAACTCGCGGCGGACTATCTGTCATTTATGGCCTGTATTAATCCTCGCAACATTCCACAGTCCTTACTTCCCCATCCGATCTCGACCAAGAAGAGAACCGATGCCATCGGCCTTCTCAAGGCCTTCTCCTTTATTAGTGAGGAGGGCGGGGACCGTTCTCTAAATCTACACCGACTAGTCCATCTTGCAACTCGGAACTGGATGAGAAAGAGCCAAAAGTTTAGCCTGCAAATATTAAAAACTGCAGACCGATTAAGCGAAGCTTTCCCGAACAATGACCATACCAATCGGAAGGTGTGGCGGGACTATCTACCGCATGCGTTTTCACTAATAGCAGAAGCTGAGTTCCAAAAGGAGCAGGAGAAATACATTAACCTTATTGTGAATATTGGGAGGTGTCTGTATAGTGACGGCAGATGGAAGGAAGCAGAAGAGCTAGAGGTGCAGGTGGTGGAGCTCCGCAAGCAAGTACTGGGGGTGGAGCATCCAGACACTCTGACCAGCATGGCTAATCTGGCATCAACATACCGATATCAGGGACGATGGAAGGAAGCAGAAGAGCTGGGGTGCAGGTGATGGAGCTCCGCAAGCAAGTGCTGTGGCCAGAGCATCCAGACACTCTAACCAGCATGGCTAACCTGGCATCAACATACCGATATCAGGGACGATGGAAGGAAGCAGAACAGCTGGAGGTGCAGGTGATGGAGCACAGCAAGCAAGTGCTGGGGCCACAGCATCCAGACACTCTGACCAGTATGGCTAACCTGGCATCAACATATCAGGATCAGGGACGATGGAAGGAAGCAGAAGAGCTGGGGATGCAGGTGCTGGAGCTCCGCAAGCAAGTTCTGGGGCCAGAGCATCCAGACATTCTGACCAGCATGGCTAATCTGGCATCAACATATCACGATCAGGGACGATGGAAGGAAGCAGAAGAGCTGGGAATGCAGGTGATGGAGCTCCACAAGCAAGTGCTGGGGCCAGAGCATCCAGACACTCTGACCAGTATGGCTAATCTGGCATCAACATATCACGATCAGCGACGATGGAAGGAAGCAGAAGAGCTGGGGGTGCAGGTGCTGGAGCTCCGCAAGCAAGTGCTGTGGCCAGAGCATCCAGACACTCTGACCAGCATGAACAACCTAGCAATAACATACTATAATCAGGGACGATGGGAGGAAGCAGAGGAGCTGAAGGTGCAGGTGATGGAGCTCCGTAAGCAAGTGCTGGGGCCAGAGCATCCAGACACTCTAACCAGCATGAACATCCTAGCAATAACATACTGGAGTCAGGGACGATGGGAGGAAGGAGTAGAGCTGGAGGTGCAGGTGATAGAGCACAGCAAGCAAGTGCTGGGGCCAGAACATCCAGACACTCTGGCCAGCATGGCGAATCTGGCATCAGCGTACCGAGATCAGGGACGATGGAAGGAAGCAGAAGAGCTGGAGGTGCAGGTGATGGAGCACAGCAAGCAAGTGCTGGGGCCAGAGCATCCAGACACTCTGGCCAGCATGAACAATCTAGCCTTTACATGGAAACTACAAGGAAAGGTTAAAGACGCCTTACCTCTGATGGAAAAATGTGTAGAGCTCCGCTGCAACTTGTTGGGTCCAGATCACCCACATACCATATCCTCCTCTTACGCTCTCAGCGACTGGGAAACGGCAGTAAGTTCTCTGTTAATAAAGCCAGCACAACAAACTTCAGCCGAAGCCTCTCCTACATTGTCCGTTAATGATTATCCTCCCAAGCAGATGCAATCAGACTCCAAACCTATCACAGGTGGCAAACGACGGGCATTCATGAGGTTTTTCCGGAGATAATGATCTATGTTAAGCATTTTACTGTAGCTGGTTTAAACATGTACTTAACATGATTTATGTATCAAGGCTTGACTAGGCCTCCGGCCAGTACAGAGCGCTATACTCTGTCGACAATTATGGTAATATTGATTATTCAGCACCTTTCTCGGTCAAATGTTGTTGATGATCCAACATCATCGGATCGCGTATATTTCCTATATTAGTTATTTTGCATTCTTCGTTTGTTTACCTCGCCTTTATAAAAGCGAGATGTTTTGGTAGTTGAGTTGAATCAGAGACCTAATTCAATGAAGGATCGATACTTGCAAATACGCGTAATTTTATGGTTAACATACTCCTTCTTGGCACCTTTTTTCGTTAGGTCAACCCTTCGTTTCTGTCGCAGGCTACGCCTGTATATATATAAGATATAGGATAGGATAGGACATATATTAGGTCTGCTCCCCCCCAATGTGACCCGAGCCGTGACCGCCGTCCGCGCCCCCCCATTCGCCTGCACCTTTACCATAACGTGACTTGACTCTCTGCGCGCCCGCTCATCCGTGCTCGCCAGTTCCCTCGCCAGTTCACGGGCGAACGATCATTGGACGGTCCAACTAAGGATTGAGAGTGGACAAGTCGTGTGGGCTGCATTTTAGGTACCTCCAGATGAAGTCTAAGATCTGCATGTTCTGGGCGTTAGTTAACTAAGTTAGTTATATATATACAAATACTAAGACAATTGCGATGTCACCCCACCTGTAACCTGGCAGAGAAGGATAACCCGATGTTCCAACATCTTCGAGGGCCAATGGGGACACAGGGACAATAGGAACAATAGGGACAACAGGGAAAATAGGGACAACGGGGACAATAGGGACAACGGGGACAACGGGGACAACGGGGACAACGGGGACCATAGGCCCGAGAATTAAAATTGGCTCCCAGTCCTTTACATAAGGAGTCTCTCTAGTCAACTAGAAAGCGAATCCTGATATGACTTGGAAAACAAAACCCGCCTACTTTCCCTGATAAGTTCACAAATAAATGTCCTCAAGTAATGGTCTATGAGTCGGTAGTTAGCCGTGAAGTCCAAGACCCAAGGCGTCAAACCAATGACAGGGAGGAGGAGCTGTTCCATCAGCCTCGCAATGCAGATCAACCTTGAGCGACCCAATTAAGGCTGCCTACTGGGGTACATCCCAGTGACGTGTTTTCACCCTGTGCTGTTTGGAAAGAGGAGGTTTAAGCCCTCGAGTGAACAACTCAGACCTGCATTTCCCCTCATCTTGTCTCAAGCTCTAAAATCTGATAAAGGGGTGGTATCTTATATTTGCTGGCATTCTAGGTCTTGATTTGCATTTTCTTCTCGATTTGTACACTGACTATATATACGATCATATGCCAAATCACCTCGAAGGCGAGAGCCCCTCGAGTACACATTTGAGGGTAATCGAGTCACGTGGATCACCCGGCTCACCCTCTTAAAGCGGCAACGGCCGAATGAGGCAGGAGGGAGGTGCTCGCAGTTTTTTGCACGATAGATTTACCTATCTATTATAGTAACTTAGATTCTTTGGTATAATAGATTTTATTCTAATTAGTCTTTAAATATTAGTTAGAAGGGTGGCCCGGCTCCCTTTCTTTCGGGTCCGTTATCAGATAGCCATTACGTCGTCATACCAGCTAGTCGGCGGACATCTACGTAAAGGAGTCATTGTCCACGAGCCGGACATATCTCCTATAGGTAAAAAGGAAGTCACCCAAAACACTCAAGAATCTACATTTCTATATGAAAACAATGCTATATTCAATTAGGACATCGCCTCCATGTATGTCCCCCTATATGACAAATCACTGCAGTGTGGTGGCGCCGGTACACGTCGATGGACTATAGATGGCCCTGCTTCTACTGGTATGGTATCTTAAAATTCTTGGACTTTATTCTTACCATAAAATTGCTCCTAACCTTCTGCATAGAAACGCCCTTTGGAATAGGTATCGTTGCTGGGCGGCATTCTTGTCGTTTGGGCAAGCAGTCGGTGGGTTCAAGGTTTTCAACTTTCGCACAAGCGGGCCTTCAAGGAGGCTGGCATGCTAGCGGCAATGGCTGAGGAGAATTTAACGCGACAAGGGTCGGGCGTCGGCGTCGGGGTCAACGAGGCCACCACGGCATAAGTGTCATTGGCGGAGTCACCACCAGACCAGCTTGCCTGGCTGGGAACATGCATGGTTTTATCAGTGACGCAACAAGATCCACCTTGGAGGCGGAATTCTTGATGGTGAAGGCCGACCAAGAGGAGTTGCGGATCATATCGGCAACGAGATGGTTATTGGAGAAGGCGTACTCGTCGCAGCTCTGCCAGGTCAAGTGCCAGCCCAGCCTCCAGCGTCTCTTAGTGTTAAAGCTGCGGCCCACAAAATTATGTGCAAAGTAAGGGTCGTGGCTGGACCAGTTTACCTATCTTAAATCGTGGGACCAGTTAATAGAGTCGCTCCTGTTATCCTGGTTCCGTAATGTATAGGCAATATACGGGTTGAGGTATCTGGCGCGCTCGGCATTCTGGAAGGCAAAGATAATAGGGAACCACTCGGTGTGCGCATATGTTTCGTTCTGTGGAAAACAAGGTCCACCTCCAGCACGCCAGAGGCACCGACGATGGCCCTAGGACACGCAGGGAGCAGCCAGCCTGCCAGGAAGAAGTGCATGTTAAGGAGCAGTATTTAGGTGGATAAAGAGTAAGACGACGGTGCTGTGAAGTATTTATAGTGCAGCTAATGGCAAATAAAGAAAATCAAAATAAGGGTAAGAATCACTAGTGGAGGCGAATTTCTGGCCCTAGTTGATCCTTTGGCTACTCTTTCGGAGGTGTGGAATCGGGCATTTACTCCGGAGTACGTCCATGAATATCGAGGCTGGTTGGCGGGCTACAATTCTCCACCCACTCAAACCCGGCGGGGTACTATCCTAGATGAGCAACCACGATAATATTATTCTGCCGCAGACTGTATCAGGGGATGCGTCAATGAAACTCCAGGCTCCCTTCGTGCTATTCGGCGAATTGCTCGCCAGTTCCTCAAAGAAGAGTGGGTAGACCCTCGAGTTACTCGGCTGTGTCGTGTAGCAGAGAAATTGGCCTCACAACATGAGATACATAGTATGAAAATCTAGGACTTCATGGCCGCGCCCACCTTAGTTTCCAAAAAGGGGAAATGGAGAAAGGCCATGGGGCTTTTTAATGTCGACGAGAATGGTGGTCAGCCAACCTTTTCAGTTCAGTTAAAGTGGAGGTCGGCAGCGCCAATGGCCCAGGAGCAGCGGACATGCAGAGCAAACATGCCACTGAAGATCGTTGGCTGCAAACGGTCATCGCACCTGAGCAAATGGCTCGAGAATTGGCTGAATGGAAAGAGCAGCGGGATGCAGCGCGTCAGGCGTTGCATGAGGGTGGTGCGCAGGAAAAGGCCCAACGAGAAGCAGTGCGGGTCATGAAACGAGTCCAGAAGCTAGAAGAGGCATCCAGGCAGAAAGAAGAAGGATTGGCAGGTAAGAATGCCTAGTTATTTTTCAGGCCAAACTGTAATGGACTATTGCGCCCAAGGCGTGTATAAGGGAGCAAAAACTGTCGGCGGCCATCGTGAAGATGAGTGGCGTCGGAAGCGACTTCAGGCAACCGGGCATTCCAATACGCAGCAACCCAAGCGACACCAAAGGAAATGTGCAATTGCAAACCGTCGCCAGCTAAGAATCTGAATGCCAGTAATTTTGGCGCGAAATCTCTTCAAGTTGTTCAGCGGAGTCGCTGGGAACCATGGATGCCAACTTCACAGTCAGGGCGATCTGACGAACGACAAAGCCGCCGGGTCATATATTTTAGGGCTGAGACTTTATAGATAGACTCTGCGTATAATTTTACTGTATAGGAACGTATACTATTTTTTTTTTGGATGGGATAATAGGCTAAATTTTCATTTACTTGTACCACGAAGCTAGTTTGTTGCATTACTGTGTACTTTCCAAACTCAATCTCAACTAAGTACAATGGCTATCTTTATTGCTGCACAACACCCTAAAAATTTACGTTCCATAGTCACTCCTACTATGTATGGCTCAAAGCCCTCTGTCTCCTCCAATGTTTCCTCCCAACTCATATGCTAACCACATAGTTGTGGTTATATCAGAGGCCATGGCCGTGATGGTTGTTCCGTGGAATCAGTACCCATAGAATAACCAAGGAGCCTAGCAACGCGAGGATAAAGGGCTGTAGACTCTGCACACCGCGCGCTCCAGATATAGCACCAGCAACAAAAGGCAGTCTACGCCAAGATAGGATGGAGAAAACATCAGTTCCAGGCAGCAGTGAAGTACTGTGAGAGAAAGAGGTAAAACTTACATTGCTCCACCACCGCCAGCTAATGCTGATGCGAGCCCAATGCTTGGAGTGTGCAGATGTTTTGGGAGCAGCTTGGCAGCCACCACAATTGCCGCTGGGAAGAGAGGTCCAGTAAAGAAGCCGAGAAGGAAAACTGCAACTGCGGACATGACAAACTTTGGTACCAACCAGAAGACAAGTTCCAGGGCAATCGAGATGGCGAGATAAATTGTGATAGTAACCCGCTCTCCTTCATTCACAGTCAGCGCTCGTTTACCAAGGGGACCCGGAAATGGGGATAACATGCCCAACCAGTCATTCACAAAACCGAGAACAGGTCGCCCGATAGTGACCCCGGCCCAAAAGCCAGTAGGGATCAGGCCAGACTCGTATGGCGCCCCGCCATGGACCTGGATCATGAAATCGACAATCCAGCCACCCACCGACACTACCCGGTTCAATCATCAGACGTCAGTTGCTCCCAGAATAACGTTGTAATAGCCCACAGTCGACACCCATGTAAACAAAGAGCCAGATTGCCATCAGCCAAGTAATATGACTTTTCATGGCCTCCTTAGTTCTATTTCCACCGTTGCTATTAGAACTCCTGCTGTTGTTGATACGGAAGCTCGCCGCGTTTTCATGCCAAAACATAGCCACACTCGCCATTAGCTCCAGGACGGAGCCGCCGAGAATGGTGTAGTAGAAGTAGTTCCAGCGCAGGCCAGATTTCATCATCTGAGTCGCGATGATCGGGCTAAGCGTTGCCCTATATACATCATCAATGCTGCTGTCGGGCCATCACATACGCTCCACGTACCCAAGCCCATAGAACGCCTGGAGAAGTCCCATCAAGATGTTTGCATTGACCATGTCCGCAATCCAGGAATTCCACGCAGCATCGATGAGGCCATTTCCCATTCCAACAATCGCGTAGACGACCAACATCACCGGGTAGGGTGGGTGGACTGCCATAATAACAAATGGAATAGCATGACAAAGTGGCCCGACGATCGCAATGCCTCGCGGCCCATAGGTCATATGGATCTTATTCACAATGATAGTTGCAACTGTGTAGCCGGCAAACGGGGTTACGAAAATCAAAAAGGCAACTGTAGTAGACAGCTTATAGTCCTCGCGGAGCTACTTGTCGTCAGTATTTTGATAGCAGGGGGATTGCATTTGGAGTATAAGTATGGAACCAGAGCCTGCCTGATACAATACCCAGTTTCTTCACACGTCAAAGGAAGTTGTATAGGAAAGTCTCACTCCGTAGACTCCATCACTCGCTCCTACAACTGCGAAACTGATAAATGTAGCCAGTAGACGCCATTTGTTGACGGAAGTGTCATTCCATTTTTGCTTCGCTCGGATAATTGCACCATCGGTTCTCGGACCAAATGATTGTTCTATCGAACTCTGTGACTGATGTTGTTCTTGTGAAGCAAGCTCAACCGTAGACATTGTGGTATTACGATGTTGCAGAAGAGAAAGACAAAATGAAGCAGTGAATGAAAATTAGCGAGGTAAATAAAAAATAGCTCTTCCCCATCCGATGGGTCAAAAGACTAGCCCTGGCCAATTGGTCAACTAACGCACCAAGTAAGTGCCGTGGGTAAGACAAAGGCATGGGAAACAACATCTGCGGGTGACGCGGCTGAGTCTTTCCAGTCTGTAGCGGTTTAAAGGCCAATTCATTGCCAGCTTAATGTGGTACTTTTGTTATAGTCTAGTCTGTCGGTGATCTCGAAAGCTGCAAAGAATATCTTTTCCTCCAACTGTTTATTGCGTAGTTCTTAACGTTGTTCCACCATGTAGGCCCGAGGCGAAGGCCTTTGTTTACCCCTTTTTAGTCAAATGATCCTGGCCACATACCACCATATTATCTGACAGGATCCCGCATTTCCTCTAACGCCAAGGACCCTGGTCAGCAGGAACATCTGTGTTTTCAATATATTGTGCATATGGCCCTTTACGTCAAATCACCATGTCCCCATGCACACCCTCATCCTTGTTCTTACTCTACTTCCCCGGAGCTTGCAACCTATCATTTATAACCTGTCCCGTTTTGGCTTCTGCCCTCCAATGCACCACCTATATATTCCCATCGCAGTAATGATGGCAATCCACGTTGTTTCGGGGCCGTTGTCTACTCGGACGCTGCACCGTTCTTCCTCAGCTGAAAATTGCTCCGTTATTATGCCAAACTTTCGTGTTCTCCTGTCATGTGTTCCACAATCTAGATGTAGTCTAGACAGAGCGGCTCACGACAGGCTAAGATATCCACTCCAGTGGAGCCAGTAATAACCAAGGAATCAGCACTATGTATCCACTACTTATGCAACTTGGCAAAAGATATGGAATCCACTAGATGCGGGGCTGCTCATGCGGCAGCCGAAGGGTTCCCATGCTAGCAAAATGGCCTTGCCTAACATTACACCCAGGAACCATGGGGTGTATTGACCTTACCATGTCAACACAACAGCTATATAAATTATGAGTTGACCTGCTCGCTAAGCGTATTGACTAGAGCCAACTCCAGAGACATATGGTCTGATTCTTCTAAGTGAATATTCAAGAATAAATACATAAGAAATAGGGATCAGTTGGGATGACGTAATATGCTGACATTAAGGCCGCCCATAAGAATGGGAATGCAGCTAGACATCACTTGCGCTGGAACAAGGCCACCATGAAATAATTGCTATTCTTGCTGAAAACCTTCCTTGTGAAACGCAGATGTTAATTAAGTCCTTTGGAACAGACGCAGTGCTTCTGGACTCCGTGGATCAATTGGAGACTGCTTGGAGATATCATCTCGAAGATAACGGCTTTATACGTAAAAGCTTTGCGACTTTCTTGATATTTTACACTTTCTTGAATGTGTTCATCATTTCAGTCAGAGCAAAGTCGACGAAGCTCTCTGGGCAGCTGTTTTTGACAATTCGAAGGAAATGGTGGAACATTGGCTGGATCGCGCGGAGCCCACACTAAAGGGGGGGAGGTTCATCCTATATACCACTTTATTTGGCAGCGACAAGAAGTGGTCCTTATATTACTTCTGTCCTTAGTAAGAGGGATACACAAAGGTATCCATTTAGTCCGATCCCAACTATACTGTTGGAGGTAGCCCCGTTTGATAACAGAATCTCTGTCGCTGCCATCCTTATCTCCCGAGGGACAAACGAGATTTCAGTTTCTCTGGAATCGGCAGTAGTGGTTGGTTATAAAGGGATTGTCACGAAACTACTCTCTTATACTGTAAGGATAGACAACAAGGCTATACACGGCCCTTTATTCCAAACAGCTTGCGTGCAGGGCGAACTGAGGATCACCTGCTGTCTTCTCGATCATGGCTGTGAAATTAATTGAAAAAGTCCCATGGTCTTAGGAGGAAACAGTCCTCTAATAGGGGTTGCTAACGGAGATCATCCCATCGTAGTTTAGTTCTGAATATCTAGAGGAGCATCCTTTGACGCAACGGGCATATTTGGTAACGCACTTCAGACAGCGGCATTCTGGAATTACATAGATGTGGTCAAAGTCTTGCAAATAGTTTTTTAGCTGATGCACGAATCAAGCCTTTCCCCACTGGCCATGGCCCTCCGGAGTGGAAATAGAGAACTGGCATTGGTGCTATTACGGAACGATGCTTCAAGAGGCGCTCTTGACAAATAAGGTCAGCTATTGCTTTAACTTATCTAGCGATGGCTTTAATAATATCGCATAATCAAGTGTCATCTCTTTTACCTTCTACATGCAGATGAGCAACAAGTATGCACGTTCGGCAAACGACAAGCCCGGTAACAGACTAGAGCCCAGAGCAACTCTTGGACGAAACTTTAGCATATTCCGTGATCTGAGAAAGATACTAAAGTCGACAGCGAAACATGGCGAGATGGTATGTAGTCGCGATCATTAAATCCCTAATGTGCTTTTTGTGGCCGAAAGGTATTTTTCTTTTCTTCGGCATACTGACATCCATTTCTCTGGTAGCTGGTTTGGAACAACCAGGAACGAACAAAAGTCCTTACGTCAACCACTTAAATTTGACCTGAGGCATCAAGCTTCTTTTCTTCAGTATTAAAATTGCTTGCATACGCAGTTGGCCAAAGGCCGCGATGCGTGTTCGTCCGCAGATTTCCTAACGCTGAGTTGGCGATTTATCATCATGCTGCCTAAAATAACTAGTTAGTTAGTCGAAATCCACTCCATCTACCAGTATGAAAATGACTAGCGGAGATATCCTTATGCAACTGTACTGCGCCGCAATTTCCCTCAACCACTCAACCCCTTTCTTCTCGTGCATCGGGCGCTCTTCTACGAAGGTAGTATTCAAAAATATGGTACTATAACTAAAATGGGAGCAACTCATTTTCTCAAGAGACTTTAGATTAAGGATTATAAATTCATATGGATTACCACACTGAGGGAAGAGTTGGCAGCAGCGACTGCAGTTCTTGGCGAGGAGCACGAGAAACCCGTCAACTTTGCAGCGCCAATTTCAAATCCTAACTCGTACAAATGGGACCAGATTGGGGAACACGTTGTCGTGATATCGTCGATCGCAGCAGGAATTTACGGCCTAGCCCCGGTCCCTACGAGGGCGTTGTCCATGCTGTTAACTGTCCTAAAATTATATTCGGTTTCCTTGTGAGAATTGGAGTGGGGGTTGCTCGGCCAGATCAGGACCAAGACATTAGGTTGGGAAGCGCTGTGGTCAGCCAACCAACTGGCAAAAGTGAAGCTTGGTCCAGTATGACACCCTTAATGCCATTATTCCCGGTAGTGTCAATGAGAAGTATGGGTATCTCAACCAGCCTCCGAAATCCGCAAGTTCAAGCTACGCACGAGCTTTCTAAACCTTCCGTTTCCGAGTTTGTTCGGCAAACCCTAGATAGGAGGTCTTGGATAAAGATGAAGCCGAAATTCTATACCGATTGCTCCCAATTTAACGAGCTGTTCAAGGCGGCATATGAGCATGTTCCATTCATTGACTGTGGAAATTGTGATTCCCACGAGGAAGTCCAACATGAAGAGCGTAAGTCTATCGGCCCAGGAATTTACCATGGAATGATTACCTCAGGCAAGCTACTGGATTAATGAACAGCTTTCCAGGTTTGGTTATTCGAGGAATTTGTGATTATGCAGATTCCCACAAGAATGATCGATGCATCAATATACTGCCTTGACTACCGCGACATATACAAAGGAGTTACTTCAGGCCGGAGATCGCAAAAGTGACCCAGGCCTCGGCTGTGCATCACAAATCCTCCTGACTGGGATGAAGCTTTCATAATCTGGAATTTCACCTCGAAGCTCACTAGGAAATCTATCCCCCAGATTTCCTGGGCCGTTGTACTACATTCACCAGTGCACGCCGGCGGCAGAGATCTCCGCTGAGTATTAGGATGCTCGGCCCCGCTCCGACTACTCCGTACATCACTATCACACTACTGGAGTTGGCTGTTGGCCGAAGGGAAGACCAATCCGGGATCAACCATTCATTGCACATTATATTTGATTTTACTAGGAAGGCCTTGATTAGGCAGACAACGCAACAGGATGGGAGGGACATGAAGTAGATTCTTCCTCGTCAACAAGCTGAGGCATGTTTCTATCACTAAAACTCTTGCCCGTAATACATCAGAATAAATGTCCTGCCATTGAAATAGGACGAATATAATACTGGGGTAATCTTGTTGGAGCCGATTTATGGCATGAAGGGCATTTGTCGCTGGTCTACTGTTACCGCGAATAGATTAATATCGGAATGATCCATTGAGAGCAAATATTAATTAGACTCTATATTGAGAATAACGACGTGAATGGAGTGATGAAGCAGCAGTGAAACACGACTGCGGAGCAGTAGACGGGGCAGATGGCTAATTTTATACATGGCGAGTGCAGAGTCAACTACATATCCATGACGCTGCTTATCGGTACATATGAGGAAGTTGTTTTTGGACATGGAGAGAGACCAATTGACAGGGATGGTCCGGAAATCCTTCCGGCTCGCACAAATCCTTTACTCGTGCACGAAGGAGCAGTTGACTGTGTAATGGTGAGCAGTGTGTACACTTGGCCTCAGTCCATGCATTAGCAAGATTATAGAATATTGGTGAACGCTGCACTACCAGTAAAGGCCAACAACACCTCCCTCCTACCCGTTAGGGGTGTCCCACTATAAGTTGCTTTTCACTCTTCTGCAGAACGGTTTCGTTACCTGTCAGACTATGGATGGCTCAGTATATCATAGAGAGTGATGCACACGGCTTGGCAGGTTGGATCTATAGATCTTGGGTTAGGGGAATTTGGTGAATAACTCATATAAGCAGATATAAACGGTTACAGCTTCCGCGGTTGAAAATTCGATATCTGTTACATATTACGGTTTTTCTTAAAAATCGAGGGTCTGACGAGATTCTCGTCCATTCGAAATACCGGAAATTACTGGATAAAGATTCACAATAGATCTTTCAAGGCTTTGCATTTCAAACCTCTATTACTCGCCGTACTACTGAGTGATTTAATGTTTCTATCATTCGAAAAAATTTACTATCTTTTAGTCCGCCATAGCCATCTCGACTGAAGCTTCAGCATGTGCAATAGTGGTGTCAACAATAGGGACTGGGCTATCTCCGGGCTGTACAATAAGGCCAAATTCAGTACATCCAAGGATAATCACTTCTGCACCGCGGCCAACAAGGCAGGCTATTGCATCCCTAAAAAGGGATCTTGTCTCTGGGAGGAAAATTCCCCGCACTAACTGACCGTGAAGTGCCCCGGAAATCTCGTTCTGCTGGCCCTCATCTGGAACCACGACTGTCAGGCCGTACTCTGAAGTCAGTCGCCCAATAAAATAGTCTCCATTCATCGTGTACCGACTGCCAATCAGTCCCACAATCCTATATCCGCCTTCAGTAACCTTTCGCGCCGTTGTATCCACTATGTGAACCATGGGCAGGCTAATATGGCTTTGTATCTGAGGTGCTACCATGTGGAAGGTATTGCACGCTAAGAGGAATAGTTCAGCTCCCGCTAATTGAAGCCTCTCTGCTAAACCAATGAAGATTTCTCCGATCTTATCCCATCGGCTTTCTTGAACCAACTCTTCTAACTCATGGAAGTCGGTTTGGATAAGAACGAGTTTAGCGCAGTGCGTGCCACTGCCACCCAAACGCTTGGCAGTCAGTTTATTGATGGCTTGATAGTAAGCGATGGTGCTCGGCCACCCAATGCCGCCAATGATGCCGATTGTTTTCATGGAGAAGTTCTGCTAAATCAACTTGAAAAGCGATTGTTCGAGCGTGAAGGAAGACTGTAGAAGTCAAAGGATAAGACAGCCTGTTCTGAACCATTATAAGATATGGTCAGAATAAGCTAGTCCTGATTAGGACGTCGGTGAAATATATATACCCCAATACCCCGCATCAGGCTTGGCAATGATTATCAATCCGAACATTATCGATTTGATTACAGTGATTTTGGGTAGAACATCCTTCTGAAATCCAGACTTCCTCATCAGAATACCATAATATCTGACAAATATCCAACCTGATCGCTGCCCGGAATGCGAACTAAACACTCTTACTCTTCCTATAATGCCTTACTTGTTATAGCAAGGACAATTACTGCTATGCCGCTAGATAGTTATTGGTTTGTGTTTAGTTATATAATTTACTTCGCACAGCGCTTTTTAGCCGCGAATCTCCCACTGCTACCTTACTATTTGTCCAAGAAAAAGCCATTGGGGATACTTTGGAACTCAAACTACTAAAAAAGACTGCTTTACTCTCAGTTGTATCATATGCTGTTATTTTTAAACTATAGATTGTCTCACAGTGCATTACATTGTGGTGCGGAGAAGCGAGACATGACAGCTACCCAAATCAAAGTTGTGGTGACACAAGAGCCTAGCTCCTACGTCATCGTTTATAAATCGCAAATGAGTAATTTACGGGTTATCCCTTGGTTGGCACTCAACTGCGTAGCAAGTAAGTTTGTTGCTTTTGTTAGTGGATCAATCACCCTGGGAGAAGTGGAAAACTGTTGAAGAGAATAAGTTCAATAATAGACAGAGGGTTACAGTATCTTGATAGAGGCGTTGCTCTCTAACCCCAAGAAAATGGAGATGTTCTTTTATCATGGATCGATCTGACCGCCGCGGATGAAAAGTCTATAGGCAGTCTCGGCCAGACCATGTTGGTTTGAAGTATCCATCACTGGTGCCAATTTTCCGAACAAAAGCAAAAAGAACTTTACTAAATGTGCATTCTCGGATCCTCGTACACTGTTTCTTGCGGAATACAGCAATTAACGAGTGGTCGGTGGGATGGACGTGGCGTGTGCCCAAGCTACAAACTGCTGTGTTCTCTTCTCTCCACCACTCCGTGTGCTTGTACACAGGCCTTAGACTATAATCTCCATTTTCTCATTACTGCCTTGTTTTACACTGAAAGACTTGGGCATTGGCCGCAACGCATTCTGATAGCGTCAAAATCGCTGACTGATCCGGGATCGGCGGTATGAGTCAGTCCCCGTGTGACTGGCGAATTGGTAGTGAGGGGGGGCTTGGAGTGGAAACGCGACTGTACAATAATTACCTAAATCTGATACCGGAAATTATAGAAGGAACGGTTTTAATTAATACGAATGTATTGTATCACCTATATGTGGATTCGTTCAGCTTAAACTTAAAGCATGATCTTCAACTACAGCAATAAACAAAAACGTATAACAGCCTCACGAGCTTTTCCAGGACAGCTGCCCAGAGTGCCAAGGACCTTTAATTTCATGAATTGCTTAGGAAATAAATCTCCCGGTGGGGGAGCTTCTCTGAGTTGGATTATATCAACCTCCCAGCGTTTTACATGCGTTGAGCACCCTTATTCATTGTGCCGAATCTGCAGATCATTAGGACTGCATGACAAGTGCGAATATTGTTTCACACCGGTTATCTATCCGATTTGATACATTTGATTGGTGAAAGTACCGCGCGACAGTCTTCCAGTCATAGCCCTACTGAATTATTTCTGGCATCCAGCGGCCTTCAAAGGTCATATCTAAAGCACAAAAATATGTTGCGCTATATGCACCCCCGTTTATTGAATAGCCTATCGACCTAGATGGTGGAGTAAGTCTCTTCCCTTGGCAAAGGAAAATTTCCCTATTTGACTAGGCCGGCCTAATCCCAAGCCTTCCGTGCTGTTATATTTATGTTTATTGCACAGTTGCCCTGGTTATTATTATCATCATTATTACTATTAACCACATTATCCAATCGGAGCCGCCTTCATTCTGTTATGCTTATAGTCGAAGCGTTTGCTCGCCTTCTTTAACATGCACAATGCCACTCAAGGGTGTTAAAAACGCTGTTGGCGTGATATCACAAGTTTAAAAGTCTCTTAGTTATCAGCTAGACAAGAAGAATAAAAAATAAAAAACAAAGAAATATTTAAAAAAGAGGGCACACAGAGGCATAGAAGACATTATTAGTGTTAGGTGTGGGTGCGTCACCTAACATTACAGTGCGCTACCATATAAGGCGCTCAGGAATATCTGATCCCATAGTGGTCTTTTGGTCCAGTGGAATAGTTAAGATCCTGAGCTTGGCTATAACAATTAGCCACCAGGATAGTGCCGATAATGATAGCCAGAACGTATATCCTTTATTATCTACTTCAGACACTAGGCCCGAGTCCGAAAATCCCGGTAATTATATCTAAGAAGAGAATAATCTAGATAAAACACAGGTACAAAGACGGAGATACGAAGGGAAAGGTTTAATTTATAAAAGTAGGGTTGGGAACTTTAAGCCGGTATAAGCAAGACCTTATTTTTTTTTATTATTCCGGTGGGGAAAGCATATCTATAATATAAAGCTTTTGTAGGAAGACAGGATGAGATGCTCTAGCACTTATAAGCAAGGGCCGCTTCGAATATAAAGATACTTCGGACCTTTTTTAATTATATAAGACTTATATTGTTTAGGGCTTCTTCCTTCTCCCATAACGGGACTGACTTCTAAATAAAGCTATCCATTGTAAACATTAAAGCCCAGAGGAAGAACACACGTGATTTCATTGATTAGTCTTAAGTTGAAGATTGAAGGTGGACGAGGTCTTTTACGGAAACACTAGTTATAACTAATCCGCTTGACTTAGCGGTGCGGAGTATCTGACGACTGATTCAACCCTTGAATCCTTTAGATAGTAGAACACCTCAATGAGAATATAAGGAACCGCTTAGTAGGCTCAGTTGGTTGAGATACTGCGATTCCTGGTGTTTCCACTGAATGACATCTACTTCCTAGTTAGGCTAGTTGGCCTGTAGCTGATAGAATAGCTCCCTGCGCATCACTTCCCCTGAAATTCCACAAGGTCGAACGCTCGAAGTATGGACAAATGAACTAGGGCGAGCGCCGAGAACCACTTATGCAGTTCTGACCGTATAAGTATGCAACATCCATGTCCAGTGAGATAGATAGATGTAGGGTCAGCGATCTTATTTTTGCACATTAATTAACAGGTTAAAAAGAGGATAAAGGTATAAATACACACCAGCGTCCGATTTATATTGTAACTATGCCAGATTCCCATTATACTGGGAAACGACGTTAAACATATTGAATTTCAAAGCCTATCGTCGTTTGAATTTAAAAGTCTCCTGTTTGAGTGGCACCCTTATCAATTGCTATAGATATAGGTCTACAAAAACATCGGCCAAGAGCTTAAACCGATCCTATTGCCTTAGTTCTTCCTTTCGCTCTCTTGTTTATAAAAATTAGGCTTCCAACATTACTGGGAGCTTCATCATTTTGACCTAGGTAAGTGGTCTGGTGTATTATAGTAAACACAAGTTGGCCACCAATTTAGACTTGCCCAGTCCCCGCCCTTGTATGGATGCTTGGTTCTCTCTCTTGGTTCGATAATTTCGATGAGAAATTTTACAAGTGAGTTGCACACATGTTAGTTCAACCTTTCGATATTTTTTATAGTGCTTTCTTTGAATGTGGGGCCGTCCATTGTATGGGTGACATGAAATAGTTTTAAGGCGTGTTTTTATATCTTAGGGGAAATATCTCAGTACCAGTTGAATCGAAGGAGTCAGATAGTTGTAGTTAAGGCCTTTGGTTCTATGACTCGAAGTTAGATCCATCCTTCTGCTTGTGCGATTTTAAATAATAAAAATCCAGGCGTATTATTTAGACACGATCATGAATGATTGAAATAAGAAAATAATGTATAGTTACAAAGTGAGCTTGTGTAAGAAGAAAACAAGGTTCAAGCAAGAGTAAAAGGAATATTAGTAGAAGCCATGTTGCAAAAGTACTCCAAAGCACCCTTCTTCTTCTAAAATAAACCCTGCTAGATCTGACAAAGATTCAATATGGTAGGTTCTCTCTTAAATAGGGCTAGACTTGGGTGATATGGTTATCGATAGTCAAAACCCCGGTTACGCTACTCAATAATATAGACTAGGAAATGTGCATACCAGTAGATAGTTTCTACAACCTGCTTCGTTTTTAATTATAGGTCATTTAATTTAATTAAAGAATTAAAGAAACTTCTCTATACTTGATAGCGATAATTGGTCAGAAATTATATTCAACCCAAAATGCATACACATCTTGCCGGTCGGGATTCTTGCTATCCTGGGATTGATATTAGAGCCTATCCAGATAATACACTTGTAGACTGGCAAATAGGAGCGCACAGTCTATTTCGTGAAGGGCGTGACCTGCATCAGTAAAGTTCCAGTTTTTCGCTGACATATATGCACCTTGTATATTCTTGCCATAGGATTTCTATGGCCTATCTCCAGGCTGGTTTTCCACACACTAATACCCGTTTCCATCCATACTCGGTATGGAATAGGTATTAGTATGGACTGCAATACTTGGCATTACATGTCTCTTACTGTAATTTTGGTTTTTGAACCTCCATGTTTCCAAATTAAGTTTAAATGTGATAAAATTTAGTAGTTCGTAGATAACTATAAGGTTTAAATGTTGATTAAATTTTATAAAAGATCTTCAAAACTGGCTGAGTTTAATAGGGTTGAATAATAGTACGATAAAATCAATGGGGTATTTAAAAAGTATGAACAGGTATTCCATCCATTCCATACTAATCCATACTAAAATATGGATTGACAGGCTTAGCAATACTCGTATGGAAAACCAGCCTGTCTATCTCTAGTAGCCTTTATATATAGTCTTGCGAGATGGGAAGAAATAATGGAGATACTGTTCAAGCAATTCCTGCATGCACACCCAGGTTGCAATAAATCTTGTTGTGTCTCCAAATAAACTAAAAAGTTTCCTAGAAGGGGAAAAGCTGCGAGCCTTTCCCCTGCTTATTAGGCTCTCCCTGATAATCCATAAAAAGCCAGGCGGGCAATTGAGTTTATCTGGAGAACATTATATTTGATATTGACTTTACCTAGTGTCTCAGCCCGCCCGGCAGATACAAATGAACGACTGCAATTTTTTGAGTCAGTGGGTAACCTTCCCTAGCAAAGGGCCCTGGTCTTGTACGACCAATTTAGTCTCTTAAAATCCTAAGGCCCTTTTTTCTTTTTAAGGGAGGGGAGGGATATATTAAGTTAGACAAAGGCTTCTGAACCCTGAACTGTGTAACCCAAAGTCAAACTAAGCCTCCAGACTCCTCAAAGTATAAGGATGTTGACCTGAGTCTTGTCCCTTAGTGAGAATAGTAGTAGAAGGCCAGGATGCAAAGAGACAAGTAATAAATCACCAGTTACTCATTTGTCCTTTGTAGCAGTTCTTCCTTTCCCTGTTCAAATGTCTTTCTATTTACAACTTCTAGGACTCTTATCATTATGCTTGTTCGCTTTCATTTGCTCTTCTTAATATCCACCAACATGCCTCCTTCCCCTAACGACTTTAAACTAGCGGGAATCGCCTCTGGATTCACCTTTAGCTTTGGATTTCTGACCGTGTGGAATGCCATTTAAGACAAGCACGAGTTATCTATCGCCATATCGGAGTCCATATTTGGTTATGGTCCTGGTGGAGATGCTCGTAAATCTAGCCATCGGCATTATTGCCCGGCTTCTTTTAGAGGAGGTTATTCCACTAGGGTGAAGAGCCTCTGCATACCCCTGGCAATTGTTACTACGCAGGTTAACCCTATTATCCTTGACAAAATTCCGGTTCTCTTTATTATTCTCTTCTTGTGGGCCTTCGAAATGCATTTCCTGGTGTAGATTAATGTGAACCCCCTCCTGATCATGGTACTAAAGAAAAGCCGAGTGATGGTTGTCAGATGGTGGAATGCTGCAATTATTACACTTATTAACACTGCAGTCTTCTATATTTGGATTCAAGCTCATTTATATCCACTTCCTTTGCCCGTGCTTGCGACTATTAACAAGTACTGGGATCGGACCTCAAAGCTCCTCATCCTTCCTATAGATGCCGCTTTGAATGTCTGGTTTACACACAATGTTAAGAGATGACTAATTCAGATCATGTCCTGTCCAAATATACCCCGCTGTTTCAGTTCAATACTTGTTTAATAATACTGTCAATTTGTTTGGATGTAAGTCTATCCTCCAGGCGGGTCTGCATACTATACTGACATATTTAAATAGGGTCTGGTTATTGGCCTTATTTTCTACCTAACCAGCTCGTCTATATTCAGTTTCACCCGGTAGTATATATGGCAGAACACCTGAAGCACGCGGCACGTACTCCCGTGGTGGGTGGCTAAGAGCGCAATATCATTGCCAACTAGTGGGTATATACTAGAGGATAGAAAGCTGTCCACTAGACAAACTCGCATTCCTTACACGAACGCCGAACTGCGCGCAGATTGCCGCATTTACAAGACATATGATGTATATGTACTTACTGAGTGAAACGGAAATTTAATATGAATTTAGCGTAAGCATCCATCCTTGTAATCATTCCATAATCGTAGTATTTCTATATGGACCAAAAATAAACGGAATAAGAAAGCAGGATTGCATTTAACAATTAGAAGTAATGACACTAAGCCATCTCCTCTACACGTTGGTAAATTCGTATTCTCTACCCTCCCCTCCACCTCTCCCGCAAGAATTACAAATAAACGGAGAACAAGCCTGCTACTTGAAAGGAGCTAAATTACAGTTCCATATACTTGGATGAGGTGAAGATGATCTATCTACACGGAATATGTAGACCCAGTACTATAGGGCGTCAGGGTGGATACTTTAATTATCTAATAAGAAAAGGGATGGGATCCAACAAATCAAACACGTTATGAATTGTTATAAATCATTATAAATCTGTCCACGTTGCTCCTGCTAAGCCTTGTCTGAGGATAAAGTTCTCCGACCGGCAATGAACCAGAGTTAAATCACTTCTGGAACACGCCACCAAAGAACCGGACCCAATAATCTGTGAGATACCCCAACCTCCATTTTATCTTACCTACTAGTAATGGTTGGTAACATCAGTACCGTATCCATTTGACCGGCGAGCCAAAAACATCCATGGGATCCATATCACAGGACGCTGGGATCAAGCGCTCGCGGAATGGTTTGGGCCTTGCCTGACCTTTCAACATGATCTACGGTGCCATTCCTTGGTTCCTAAGTGGTATCCACCAATCCGCTAGGCCATGACATTCCTACGTCTGAGTATATACACCACTCAGATTGGGCAGTTATATAGCTAGGTTCAGGATGGTGAACCCCATCTGAAAATAAACCAGTGGTAACTGAGAATGGCCAGTGCCTCCAATTTTCCTCATTTGTCGTAGTCCGTTCAAATTGAGCAGGGCAGGAGGCATTCTCCTACCCACAGAGACATACATTGTTTTGTCAAAATTTAGAGAGGATCACATGGACATGCTTTGTGTCAAGCTCTGGATCTGACGGACATTCACCGTCATCTCCCTCTACTTTTGCCATCTTCCCAAATACCGTTGGTGGTTGAGAATTATAACCATTCACAAGGAGATTTTTATGGAACCAGACAAATCCGCAGATTGGGAATGAAATATGTCCAAGCCTCAGCAGTTGCATCTGACAATGATCAACCAGGGAGAGATCCAAAATCTGTCGCCCCCTCCATCTGTTCATCCAGAAAACACTAAAATAGCACCACATAAGATATTACTCACATGCATTTTCCTATTTTAATAGGCCCGAAGTAGCGTCGGCCGATCAATAACAAGGGGATTCTGTGGACACTAGACGGTCCAATATTACCACTTACCACACTTAGTTAGCTAGGCGGATGACAGTCGGCGGACACACAGATCGACGTAGGGGCTTAGGATATCATTTTCCTTATTGCCTAGATTGAATGCGGCGATAGAATCCACAGGCAGTCTGCGTATGGTTTTCGTGGAAAAGGGGGCTTAACAAGCAAGTGGAGATGCATACCAAGGACCAGTAGTATTGGAGAAGCCATTACCACAACTTCATGGTAACAAGCATGTACTGTTCTATACTGCACTGCTCACGTACTGGTTTTTGCATGAGGACTGGCCTTCAAAATCTTATATTTGCTGTCGCCCTGTCATTTTCCTTCGTTCGCTCTACATCTAACTAACCATCGAACATTCTGCATCTCGACAACAGAACAATCTCTAACAATTTAGTGATGGCGAGAAAAATAACAAAGGAAATTTGGGATGCTAAAAGGCGCAAGATAGTGACTCTCTATCGGGATGAAGAATGGCCTCTGAAACAAGTCATAAAGCACATAGTTGATGACAATTTTCGCCCAAGGTAAGTTGCAAAGAGGACTCTGATGGCAAATATTAATTTAACAATATGTGATAGCGAAGCCCAGCTACGAAGCAAACTGAAGAAATGGCGCGTCACTAAACCATCTCGTCGAACACGAACGAAGGCTCAAGACAGATACCATGGATATAACGAAGGGGCCAAGAGTATGCAGAATCGGCTCTAATACAGATACCATTGTTCGAGACTAATACAATCTTCAGAGTTCACCGACGATGCACAGAGTAACGAAGCCAGAGAGCTAGCTTGGTCACCAGATTCGTCGTCTATGATGTCCTCAGGGCCGCAAGACAATCCCATGACTGGATATGAATCTTGCTTGGCGCAGACAAAATGTTTAGAGTGCTGCAACTCACTGATGCAGAACGACCGGCCCATACTGTCTGAGATAACGTTACCTGCTCCAGCAACAAGCACTGTGTTCAGCGGCCAGCTTGGGCCCCCTACAGTCTCCAGCACGGACAATGTGACCAGGACAACAGAACAAGCTATGTATGGCAGTCGGCAATTTGCAAATCACCCTACCAGTACAGAATTTACCGGGCCGTTTTCGATCTCCCACTACTCTCCATCTACCGCACAGCTATTTGTTACAGAAAATGTATTCTCCAATGGCATCTCCAATTATGTTGGGACATTCTATTGTCTTCCTGGGCCTGTCGATCAGCAACCGCCGCATGGTTGTCCCTACCCCACCTCAGGCTCCATACAATACCCGAAGATCGAGGAGCATACTTCGATGGTGGACCCATGGGGAGAATGACAAGTTAAAGTAGCCATTAAAGAGATACCAGAAATTACATTAATCTTCTTAGCAAATGATATAGCCAATGCCGAATAAAATTTAGAACCTGCAAGCTGTCTCGTGTTCAGTCCATTGATGGATACGAGGGCTAAACGCCCCCCAATGCTTAAGGTTAAGTCAACCCATTCCCCATCTTTGCTTTTCACGCGGACCCTTGACAGGTGTTCCGGATACCCGCTAGTTTGCAAAAGGCAATATAGACGGCCCAGGGGTATGCCCTCATTGGCCTGCAGCAACAGATTAGTCAGTATGGATCCATGGGAGAACCGAAGCAAAAGGTGGATTGCGGAGCGCAATTATCCGCTCACTATCCTACTATTTTGGGGTAGATAATCTGCTTTTGGGAGTGGGTCAAATGGAGCCAGTGACTGCAGAGTCGATCCTGCGGTGATCGTACCTTAAAGTTTATAATAGAGTTTTCATCAACCATTTCTCTGACTAGCTACTATCAAGGTCCTCACTGTTATTACCGCCAGCGTTCTCTTGAGACCCCTTAAATCGCGCAATATAACTGCTTTCCTATACTATGCTACTCTATAACCAGAATATCTACTAACATAACTCACCACCGAGCGAGGCATACTGGACTTCCGTTGTAGTTAATTCCAATGTGATTTGTAATGGCACAATTTCTAGGATCCTAGCTAAGAGGTAACTTGGTTTCAAGGCAGTGACTTGTAGTCTAGGCTTCGATGGATTTGGAATCCGACTATCTAGTGCCCATTGGCTGCTGACTACGTACGCTTGTGCGGCATGGGAATGGCACATACATGGGGTCTTAGAGATGAAACCATAGCGGACGCCACTAGGCCTCAAGTGAGACAAAAGAGATGAGAAGCTTGTTACCGTATGGTAATTGGAAATTATGAACGATACACACAACCCTTTGCATGAGGTAGGTCTCTAAATTTCAAAAAATCTTTTCATCACAAAGACAGCCCTATAGGTGCCAGAGACATTGTAAAGGGCTGGACCGTTTGACCTCAGGCCTATCGGCTCCGAAGATGTTGGAAGCGATTGCTTGTTCTATTGAATGGTGTGGCCATGTGGCCGCTACTAAACTTTAACAGAAGAAGTAGCTTACATAAATTATGACTAAGCTATATCTGTAACTATGGTGGTATGCTCGAACAGACCCACAGCACGTGACTCTCCTATCGTATTCGTTTACCTGTTCGTTTTCTCTTTCGTTCTTTCTTCAACGGTTCCTTTTGATATATGGCCTATCCTGTAGGTTGTACGGGTTCTGCTCCTGACAGACATGCCAATTTCAGATTTTTTTTCTTTTCAATAAACAAACTACAAGGGTAGAGCCGGGACGCTAAAGGGGCAGCCAGTGTGCTACCGCTAATTGTATCTTTATTCGTTATAAAAATGCTGCCCTCTCTCCTTCCTGTTTCTCATTTACCTATGCCTATACCCAGAGGTCTCAGCCTGGTCAGGGAATTTCAGTCGATACAAAGGAGCCTGGATGAAATTTACTCTGCAGCGAAGGCTGAATCTGGGGATTTGGTTGTCCTTTGGGGTGGTAACGGTATGTACTCCAACGCAATTATATTTCCTGCTGCATTGACCTAATTCTTGAGCTGTGGTCCCAAGCCAAGCGTCAAGTATTATCAGTCCGTGGAAGCCTGGGATGACATATAATCCGCCATAAAGGACCCTAGCGGACTATACCTTCCTCTCTTCATATGTAAGCCAACAGACTGAATAAAAATTCAAGATGCACACGATGCCCCTTTCTAACATGTCTATCAAAATAGATGAATTCGGCAATGGAATCGCTCGTTCCTACCAGCTACGATACTTTTGTTGACCCTTTCTGGAAGGCAAACTAGTTATGACGTACCCCAATGATGATTATGCAATTGCCTTCCTTTTGATCCAAGTATTCAGAGGTATGAATGGGACTGGGTTGAATCGCTAGCACAACAGGACGTTAAATGGGTCCGGGGCATTCAGACGCTTGGGGATGTCCTGTCATCCTCAAATACCACCCACTCCTTAACCTTCACAACTGGTTGTGCTGGCAACAATATAGCTTCCAAATCTCCAGAGGATAGTCGGGTGAGTTGGCCGCAGTCCGGTGCCATCTTTAAGAAACACCCCGAGGGCGCGAAACCCTTTATGAATTGGCTTCTCAGTGATGAATCCCAGTAAGAATTTACTCGACAGTATTCTGTGAGAAAGAGTTTATCTAATGTGGGGGACACTGTTTGGGATGCCCCACCACAAGTGTGATGCAGTTTTACTACCTTCATGTCGAATCGCGGGTCAGTTGAATGGTGGAAGCTCCAGTTTGAAACCACACTGGGCACAGCACAGGCATTGACCCTGTCAAACCCCAGTAGGAGGCGTTTATTGGAGTGTTTCTTGCCCCCTTTAGTGAAACTTGGGCCATTGGCCGGAGGACGGCAAAAATACTTTCGTACTTGCCTATTTATCTGACCAGGCTGTTATGTATTCGATTATCAGTGTTTATATTTAAAGATACTAGAACTTCGAGCTACTAGATATACTACATATAATACGATGCCTTGCATAAAGATAGCCTGGATTTATTGAATCGCGATTCTGATGGCGGAATTCAACGAAGCAATTTAGGAACGTATTAGCCGCAGCATAGTTTGCCTGGCCGAGTAAGCCGACCCACGTAGAAGAACGAAAACATCTAAATCGTTGTTGTTCAGGGGATGATGTAAGTTCCAAATTCCCTGAACCTTTGGATTTACCGCAGTATTCCATTCCCAAATGTACATGTCAAGAATAGCGATATCCTATAAGACAATAGCCATCTGAATTACTCCAGCGATAGGACAGGTCGTACACTCGATTGCATTCTGCATATCATTCCACCTGATAACATTTCCACGGAACACTTGGACTGAGCATCTAAGCTTTTCTAGCCCCTTGAAAAACAGCGCGTCTTCTTCCGATGTGCCCGCGGACCGGGATAGGAATACCAGATTGCCTACTTCATGAGATGCCATCTAGGACGCAGTGGTCTTTCCAAGGATCCCTAATCCCCTACGAGCAGGTAAGAGGCATCCCTGCGGAAGGATACAGCAGACCTAGAAGACGCCAAAAGAGAAGGATCTTCCTCGCGGAAATGACCGACCACCCTGCCTATATGCAACCCTTGCTACATATATCGGAAGGCATCCAGCATTTTGTTCGCGGGGAAGGCGGCCATCGGCCTGATCTCTTGGATTGCACCGCGATTATACAACTCCAGAACGTCCACTAATAATTCTCGAATAATCGAGCTATTGACTCAGCCAGATTCGAGGATCGTAACCGATGAAGGATCGAATGTCTTTAAACGGATCTAACGGTAGCCTTACTCTCCGCAAGAGGTCGCGTTTCCCAATTCAACCATACAGCCACCGGAGGCAACACATTTCCAGGAGGCATACAGTAGCTACCCTACCAGAAAATTCAGGACAACGTCAATGCCACCACCAGCAGTTACCTTCAGAAGGCCATCAAAAAATGACCTGTCCCGTCGTTATTGAGTAGCCAGCGTTGCTTCAGACAATTAAATGGGCCCCGCACATACTCTCTGAGGTCCCACCGAACGCTGCACAGATCAAGGCGCAAGCCATTGGGTCGAATTTCAAAGACATTCTCCTCGCCACGGGCCTCATCCAGGTTAGTATTCATGAGGAAGGACGTCTTGGACGGGAAGCAAGCGGCATCGTAACAGCAGTTTGAGCGAATGTGGAGGACCTGACGATCGACGACCGCGATGGCATTATCACCGTACATGAGCACACTTGGGACTGAATTTCAAACGTTATAAGATTGCTGTATCAAGCTTTCTGACTCTTTGGGATTTCGGGAGGCTGCTACCATGCGGACAGTATACCTAACCGTCCTCCAATTATTACTTCACAAGACGCATCTAAGGAAAGAGCAATCTGTGCTAACTCAAAATGCCACCGATGGCGTCGACGTTGCCGCCATTCACCTAGCAAGATGGATCGGGGCTGCTCCCGCCGAGGCGGAGTTTGTCCATATTTGGCCAGCTGGAAGGGATGTGATGACGACGTTATGATCATGGACGTGACCGAGCGTATATACATTTGTTTCGGTCACATCAGGCGGAGGCCTCATGTTCTTTATCAGGCATCTCCTTGGGCCGCAGCCAGTTCAACGGGGAGGGCACATACCCATCCAGCTGTGCAGTCTTCCGTGGAAAGGAGGCGTCTCTCCATTTCTGAACAGCATGAGGCTGGTCGCTGGGTAAGAACTCGAACCCGGTTGCGCTGGACTCGCATTGGTCGAAATAAAACTCAGCATCCTCAGCCTTCGGCGATCGACCTAAACAGGCGGTGGCGTGTCTGTTGAGCAACAGACATACAAATGACTGAATTGGCTTTTTGGTAATAATCTTGTATTAGTGTGAAGCAATTATAGATATAGAGAAACAAGAAATTAGGCAAATCGAACAGTGCGCTGTAAGTTGAATGTGTCGTGTGGAGGGAAGTTCGCACCTTCCTGTTTTGAATTCTTTCCGTATTCGGCGAGTACAGCCTGAGGCCGCAGTAGTAAATATGTAGTGTCGGAGATTACAATGACATGATTCTTAGGCATTCTTCCTACTCACGACAATAGTCCACGATATGACTACCACGCGAATTTTTGGGTTGCCCGACCGATTCCAAATACCTACCTGTTAGGTAGGGTACAGGGTTTCGTCACTTACATACCTGTCGCGTCTTTGTTTGTCTACCTTTGTTTACCCCTCAATATCCCACCCCTCAGCATCCTTTGGTTAGGAAGGGCCTAGGCTGATACTAGGTGTTTCCTATCTGGGGTGAACAGTTCCGGTAATTATTTGGCAAGACAGGAAGCTAGAATTTACAATTGGGTGTTGGGTTAGTCTTGGATCTCGTGTTCGTTTAATTCTCGAATTTTCATCCGGTATTTCCCGCAAGGCGCAGCTACGTCATCGAAGGGCTTTCCCAATGCCTTTCTACGGAGTATTTCGCAGTTGCTTTTCCTCTTATTACACAGATCTCCAATGAATGCGTTCATCGAAGTCAGGTTTGAAACTTTGCGTGCCTAACAAATGGCACACGAACATAGTAGAACTGCAGTGCAAAGGGAATATCAATATTTTGATTAAATTAGGGATTCTACGTATCTCTCCGTTAGTCTACTTCGGGTGCTTCATCTGGCATAAAATTAGTCACTCCCGCTAGTTAGTTACTTAAAATATTGGCTACCCCTTTCTCTATTTATTAGTTACAATCTGTCTGGTCCAGCAAGTGCCCTAGAATTCGTTGCTACTGATTCAATAAAATCTAAACATCTCTGTCCATGACCTCCCCGCTAGATGCCGTTCGGTTTCTTATTTTCAAGATTCCTCTTGTCGTCAAGACTGCCTTCCTCCATGTTCTGGGGTTGAGCCCGACATCGCCAAAATGGGATCTCCGCACGGCACTGACTGTCTCAATCATTCGCGATGTATTATGCAACTCGCCTCCGTCCACCATCACCGAACAGCAACAGAGCACGCTCCAAGATCCGGGTGTTAAAGGTGGCATGTGGGTCAGTAGAGTTGCCATGCCCGCTCCGCCCGACAATGCACTTCGAGAGGCACTGTTCCAGGCCATTCGGGCTCTTGGTACTGGCGCTGATGAGTATTTTAAACCGTCTCTCGAGCCCGTCACGGCGGAATGGACTGGATACCGCGCAAATGTAGCGGCCAATGCACCGGAGCCGCCTATCTCGGAGGCGGAAAAGTACAAGTGCCTGATGGAGGAGACTTCCAATGACGCCACTCTCTTATATTTTCACGGCGGATCGTACTATCTCATGGACCCGTGTTCCCACAGGGAGGTTGTGGCCAATTATGCCAAGCTGACAGGAGCTCGAGTTCTCTCGGTCCGCTACCGGCTTGCTCCCCAGAACCCTTTCCCATCTGCATTGCTAGATGCCCTCGTTGCCTATCTGTCGCTGCTGTATCCCCCGGAGGGCACACTCCACGACTCGGTGCCGGCGTCACGTATTGTTCTTGGGGGGGATTCTGCTGGGGGAAACCTAACGACGGTTCTCCTGCAGACAATCCTCCAGCTCCACCGTGTTACACCCTCTGGTGATGTCCCCACAGTCATGTTCCATGGAAAACCTGTTGAGGTGCCTCTGCCGGCCGGAATTGTTCTCTGCTCCCCCTCCGTCGACCTCACACGCAGCTTGCAGTCGTCCGAGAAACACGCTCAGTACGACTATCTTCCCTCGCCATCGTTTTCTCCCACAAGCTCTCCTCCTTGCGACATCTGGCCGGTCGACCCTCCGCGAGCGGACCTGTTCTGCGAAGGAAGTGCCCTGTGCCACCCTCTTGTCTCGCCACTTGCAGCGCCCTCGTGGGAAGGATCACCGCCCATCTTAATTATTTGTGGAGAGGAACTGCTAGCGGACGAGTGCAAATCCTTTGCACAAAAGGCTGCGAGACAAGGGGTTCCGGTTGTCTGGGAGCAGTATGAGGCCATGCCTCACTGCTTCTCGCATGTGCTCCAAGGGACTGTGGCTTCGTCTCGAAGTCTTGTGACCTGGTCGGAGTTCTTCACTAAAGTTATCCAGAACTCGGGTGAGATTTCTACAAAGGGAGAATTTCTTACTGCTAAACGTCTGGAAATCCATCCCGTGGATGTTTGCAATCTCGCCGTCTTGACGGAAGACGAGGTCTTGGAGGAAATGGAGAACGCGCGGGACGAAATTGTGCGCAAAGCTCATATTGCAGGATAGGGGGAATATCCGCTTCAAATGGACGGATGAAGAAATCCGTATGTACTTAATTTTATAGATGTATAATAGCAAACTCTCCACTATTGTAAGGCAGGTCTTTAACAGTGCTTTTATGATCCCATAAATTTGTCGGCTTTAATACTAAATATAGAATGGGATGGTAAGGAAGTGTACGTGCCACAATACATATGTTATTATACGGACTTAATTTTGTAGAGCTACTGCAACTTCCCCTTCTGGAGGACGCCGTTTTAATGAGACTACCCAGGGGCTTGCTCAGTGAGTATTTCGTATTACAGGTCACCGCTCATTGAGCGCTCAGAGCCTGCTCAGTCAAGTAGCTCCCTGAGCTACTCACCACTCAATTTTCCACAGGTAGTTTGACAACGGTGTCTTGATTAAGCATCTCCAAATACCCACGTCAGTTCATATGTCCATAGAAAATGACGCAAGCAGAAAACTAATGGAAATTGAATGATTCTTGAGTGGCAAATTGTCTACAGCAAATGTACACATTTGCAGACCATAATAAACAAACTGCACATTGCGATTTCGACAAAAACATAAGTAGGTGTATTCTTCTCCCGTTTTGAAGAGTATGTATTCCATAAGAGTTTAGTCTTATTAATTATTACCGGAAACATTCCATTTTCTATTTTTGAATGGCCTGATTTCCGTGCTCTTTGTCGAATGCTGAATCTGGAATCAGAGGACTATATTATCACAACATATACCTCAACCCTTAAGATCAATCAGTCATGGCAAGTTTACAAGGATATTATATGGAAACGCTCAAATTAGTATTATCAATCATTCATTTTTCACTGGATATCTGGACCTCACCAAATCGGCTTCTTTTTCACGGAATTTGAAGACTTTACGGGGCCTTCTTGATTTTCGAACTGCGGGAAACTATAGTGGAGGTAGTTTCCCACTCTTCTTCCTGTCCTGAAAGGCTATGTGATCCAGTAAAAGGTTAGCTAAATTGTTTGTGATAACCACACTGCAAATGATAAGCTTTGTGACATACTAGGAAATTATCTCCGGGGAAAAGAAGGAATTGAATATGACCTTGTGCATCGTCGCATCTTTGTACTGGCCATGCTATTAACTTGGCTGTGCAAGCCTTTATGTTTCAAAATGTGCTGGAAACCGAACAGCTGAGTTTATGTGATGAAATAGAGACTATGAAAAATAAAAAATGGAGAGAAACTCAGGTACAAAAATAAGCCACTTTTCCCAAAATAGGGCCATCTACTATGTTTGGTCATCGAGAAGCGGTAGTAATGGAGATCTATACTCTTGCTCGCCTTGATCCTCTTCCTTTCCTCTCCATACTTGGCATTCTCATTGCCAGTGCCTGTGGTATATCTTCATTATATAAGAGGATGACAGTTTCAGAAGCATTAAAGAATAGTTAACTATGAATTTATTCTCTTCCATAAGCAAAATACTATGGAAGGCACCATACCAATTAAATTATCTATTATGAAACTCTAAAGCAATCTGCCTAGCGTATGTTGTAAATGACGACCGGTATTATTCCATGTGGAACCTGATTCGCCACTTTGGCAGCAACAGGCAGTATTCGCCCGTTGAGGCCGTTTTTGACAATCTATTTAAATAATAGAAGGAATAGGGCCTACAAGACTTTTCTTGGAACGTTCTCAGCATATCTCCCTCAGCGACTGTACACTTGCAATTTACAGAAATTCCCTGTATTTCTAATCAAGATCAAGGAACCAGCCCCCGGCGTCATGAGCTTGGAAAGAATAAAAAATTCAACTTTTCGTACTGTTTTGCAGCCAACTCTAGAATATGCACTACAGTTCTTGGAGGGTCTTGACACTGCACCTGTCTACCCCACGGTCACCCTTTCCCATCTCCATCAACAGCTGGATAAACCACTGCCGAATGACGAAACAGACGGCAAACAGGTCTTGGAAGAGATAATTACTAGCACCAGAGGAGGCATGATGGGCAATGCTGGAGGTCGATTTTTTGCATGGGCCATTGGCGGCACCCTCCCCGCCGCCCTGGCAGCAGATTGGCTTACATCCACGTGGAATCAGAACGCTGCTCTATCTGCCTGCAGCCCAGCTGCAGCAGTGACAGAGGAGATCTGTGGACGGTGGCTCAAAGATATCCTGGGTTTACCCTCTACGGCTAGTTTTGCTCTCGTTTCAGGGTGTCAGATGGCGCACGTGACGTGTCTTGCTGCAGCGCGCAACAGAATCCTGGCTCGGTATAGTTGGGACCATGAACTTTATGGTCTTACTGGTGCCCCTCGGATCAAAGTGTTGAGCAGCAGCGAAAGACATGGATCAATTGATCGCGCGGTACGATTGCTTGGAATGGGGAGCCGTTCTGTGGTGGAGTTACCGGTCGATGATAACGGCTGCCTTGTAGCACAGGCCTTGAACAGAGCCCTGGCGGAATATTCACACGGACCGGTTATTGTGGTGTTGCAAGCTGGTGATCTCAATATCGGAGCGTATGACCCGTTCTCGGAGCTCATCCATCTGGTGCACCGCCGGGGGGCCTGGGTTCATATTGATGGCGCATTTGGGCTTTGGGCGGCAGCCAGCCCTGCCTATCGTCATCTGCTTGAAGGAGTCGATCTGGCAGATTCCTGGGCTACCGACGGCCACAAGTGGCTCAATGTACCTTACGACTGTGGGTATGCTTTTGTCAGACACCCAGACGCTCATAAGAATTCGATGTCGTATCGCGCAAACTACCTGACACACCAAGAACTTGTTCGTGACCAAATCGATTGGAATCCGGAATGGTCCCGTCGTGGTCGAAGCTTTGCAACGTACGCCGCACTCCGCCAGCTTGGAAAGTCAGGGGTAGCACTTCTAATCGAGCGGTGTTGTCGCCACGCCCAAAGTCTGGTCGTTCAAGTTGCAGCCCTACCTGGGGCGGAGCTCGTATGGAAGCCCACTGTGAACCAAGGATTGGTGCGCTTCCTGGACAGCAAAGATAACGCTGCCTTGGCCGACCACAATCTGTGGACTGATTCAGTAATCTCGGCCGTGGCACAAACAGGCGAGGCCTTCTTCAGCGGCACTACGTGGAGGGGCAAACGCTGCATGAGGGTCTCGGTGCTTAATTGGCAGACATCTACTGAGGATGTTGCTCGAGCTGTTGAAGCAATCAAACGAGTCCTTGAGCAGGGACGGAGTTAAATCTTGATATCAGGAAGTCATGGAAAGGCTTAATAAACTTACATAGTATATATTCACCGTTATTGCTGTTTTATTGTATCCCTTTTATATCTTTTCCTCGGCACACCTTTATTTTCGGTCCACGTACGCCGCTATAAAGGTTTTAAGTACTGCTGAAATCAAGGAACCTCACTGTAAATGTGCGATAACATGTGGTGGATCCAATTACTAGTCTGACTATATGGAATTCAATTAACTGAGCTTGCTGAGATAAACCAGAAGTTGCACTCGTGTCAGTATAGGCCATTCATATGGCTTATGGCTTATTATACATGGATTACTCCACTTCATCCACCCTGCTTTCAAATTTGTGATCTCTAAGCTGGAGCTCAGCCTCTTTGAACACAGCTTGGAGTCCCTAATGGAACTGGTGATGTTTTATTTTCAAGTCGTAGTTGGCTTTGACTGTCAGCTTTCTCGGAAGCTTCAGCTCATTTGATCAGCTCATGCTCCTTCTTCAGCATGCTTATGCTATTGCTGTTGTTTATATCCTGGATTTTGGTCTCTAGCTCCTTTTTATCACCAGCCCATGTCAGGGAGAGCTGACTTAACTGTTTGGTAAAGAAAGTATTTCTTTGTTCCTCGGGAGTCCAGCTTTTAATTGTCGGATTTGGCATCCAACTGGTTTTGGCAAAATTGTTTTGATTCAGTAAGTCATCGATCGTAGTTATTCTCTTGCTGAACGCAATATAATCCTTGTTAACCGTTTCTAATTCTTTGAGTGACGTGTGAAAATTTTTCTTTCTTGATTTTGAATTGGATGCCTGGCATATTCTGGCATTGAGTTGTACATGTTTTCAGCTACAGAGTTCACCTTTAACAGCAGTAGAGTTTTAATATCTGCCATTTCTCCTAATGGTAGGGGATTTCGCCACCATTTGAGCTATATGCGTGTCTCAGTCTATCAAAATGCCGAGCAGTGAAAACAAGTTAACATATATTGTACTCGCTCATTTGTGTGCCATATATAGCTCTACACTCTCAAGGCAGTCCGTTGTTTTTACCCAGGTTTCCATGTATTAAAGTTTGAAGTTTCTGGTGATTACATTCCCTTATATAGGTTATTAATAGCTAATTTTTAAGAAAGCATCCCCTGAGAATGCGTTGAGGTAAGTATTTTGAGCCTTTCCCTTAAGCTGAAGTGGGAATTAAATGGGGTAATAAATAGATTCGTACAATCGAATGTCCGCGGAAAATGCTCGACAGAAGTTGGTGGAGTAGAAAATCGAAAGCTAGATAGAGTGCCTAGGGTAAAAGCATATAGGTAGCCCCTGCAAAGGCGGAGCCGCTGTGGTCCCTGAGCAAAGGTATCTTCAGTACACGGTTGTGTGGACCGCGGAATTACTAGATGCCCAAGAGAATCAATTGTTTGTAACAGTGAAATAAATGGCAGAAGGAAATAAACATCCCCCCAAACACTATTCCCTGGGTGTCCGAATTTATCTGTGATAGTCCTCTGTACCGAGGGGAGCTGATACGAGCTTTCCACTGATCATATAAGAGGCCGACTTTGAGATAACTACAACTACAATGTTCAGAGCAAAAAGAAAACTAAGTATAAAAGGGAACGGCGATAAAACATATAAGCCAAGATGACGCAGGGATTCCAAGCATAACCTAATGTCCTGGACAAGACCACTAGAAGTGCAATTGCTCACTTGAGTCTTCATGGAAGCTATAGACTAGAAAAGTTATCCTTGAACCCGAGACTGGGCAATGTTCTGTCGAAGATGCGGCGGCGAATACTGGTGGAGGATGATGAGAAGTGATGGCATAAGTTCTTGCTGGATGACGGCTTCAGCTGTATCGGATGCTGAATTCCTTCGCAAAGGCTTCGGATTATCCAAAAGGGGAAATCTTAGTGAGAGAGTGGGATGGGAACTAACCAGAAACTCGGATATTTTTTCGGCAGCCGAGATTCTGGTTAGACTGAGCCTAAACTGACTAAACCTAATCTGGGTAACAGTCGTAAATGATTGGCTACCACAGTGGGACCTGTAAAATACGCTAACCTGAATTTCGGCATCGTTATATTTCTACTATTCTTAAGAGTCTATAGAGGAGCAAAAAGCTGTGGTGTGAATGATGTGGCAATCACGATTAACAGACAGCATCACATAATGGATTTTATGCATTGAGTCAAACATGGTCTTGCAAAAATTTTATAGGCGGTCGTTGAACTATAAAGCAAGGTCAATTCCACTATCCTCCCTGTTGTGGGACTGCAGGTAATAAATACTTTCGCACAATGTCGGACGAAGAAAAGCAAAAGCAAGATGTGAGTATCTTCTACATATTCATCAGCAGTAGTGGCTCGCTGAAGGCACGATAGGGACAAGACGTCAGCCGAGAGGTCTATCCAGAGATGGACCTAGATAGAGACATCGTCGGATGGGAGAGCCAAGATGACCCTTTAAATCCGAGGCGAGTAATCCTCTCTACAGCTTGTAGAGCCCTGACTAACAGTAAACAAAATAGGAACTATCCTTCATCTCGAAAATGGTTCCAATTGGCGACTGTTAGTGTCATCACCTTCATCAGGTACGGGGCGAGTCTTCCCTTCCCTAAAAGGGACAGCTGTTGACCCCAGTTCGCAGCCCATTCGCATCATCCGTATTTGCACCTGGTGCACCTCTTGCCAGTCAGGAATTCGGAAATACATCTTCGATTCGTAGCTCGTTCGCGGTGACGGCTTATCTATTCGGCTATTTTGTGAGTCTCAGACACTTTACAACTGTTCAGCCATTACTAATAATTACAACGCCAGAGCGGTCCATTGCTACTGTCTCCCTTGAGTGAGATGTTCGGTCGTCGACTCACATTGAACGTTGCAACCTCGATCTTTGTGTTATTTCAGATTGGTTGCGCCCTCGCTCCGAATCTCTCGGCTTTGATCGTCTTCCGATTTCTAACCGGATTTGGAGGTTCAGGCTGTCTCACCATTGGAGGAGGTGTCGTTGCTGATCTCTTTGAAGCGGAACAACGAGGCCTTGCGTTGTCCTTCTTTCAATTCGGCCCACTTTTTGCGCCCGTTATAGGGCCAATCTGTGGAGGGTTTATTGCCCAACGAGCGGGATGGCGATGGAGCTTTTGGGTGTTGGTGATCGCGGGGGGAACATTGACACTGCTCGTTATGATAACGAACCGAGAAACGAATCCCGCTATTCTCATCCACCGCAAGACCAAAGCCCTTCGCAAGAAACTCGAGCGTCCCGAGCTTCGCAGTTGTTATGACAAAGAGGGAGGGGCCCGCAAACCACTGCACATTCTCCTCACAACTTTCACCAGGGTCTTCAAGTTATTGGCTAGCTCGCCGATTGTATTTCTATTGTCACTGTATATTTCGGTAGTGTACGGCTGCCTCTATCTTCTCTTCACCACCATCACAACGGTGTTTGAAGATCAATACGGTTGGAGCGTAGAGATGAGTGGTCTCGCGTATATTGGCCTGGGCCTTGGCTTTTTTGTCGGCCTGATTGTCTTTGCCTTTTGCAGCGATCGCATGATGATCAGGCTGAAGATGCAAAACAACAATGTTCTGGAACCGGAAATGCGTCTCCCACTCTGCCTCCCCTTTGCACTGTTTGTCCCAATCTCATTCTTCTGGTATGGTTGGTCCGTCCAGGTTCGGACGCACTGGATCGTTCCCATAATCGGCCTCTTCCCTTTCGCCTTCGGCTTGAATGGTCTCTTTGGCACAGTCCAGGCGTATATCATCGACTCATACCCGCGGTATGCGGCATCCGGCGTTGCCGCAATGACAGTTACTCGCTCACTCTTCGGTGCGCTTTTGCCGCTGGCTGGGCCGCCGATGTACAAAAGTCTCGGGTACGGCTGGGGGAACTCCCTCTTAGGATTCGTGACGCTAGGGATGGCCTTATTGCCGATTTTCTTCAGCCGCGCCGGTGCATCTCTTCGGAAAAGGTTCACCGTTGATTTAGAATAGTATGTTTAACAATATAGCTTTAGGTAGAAATGGTAAACAGTTAGTCTTTCTGTTTGCGATAATATTGCTATCGTGAACGGGTGGTTTTATGGTTCTTAAGGCAATGGAACATGAGTACACAGAGCCAGCTTGACTAAAGAAAGACTTCAGAAGTAAACAGATCTCCAATTATGTCACTGAAGTCTATAGGCCCGGTGCCATCAATAAGAGGCCCAAAGAAGTCGCCGCTAATCTGATAGTCTTGCTGAAATGTAGGATGCAGGGACTCGTTCTCTGAAATGCTACTGTTCAAGAAAGGCATGTCCAGCATTTCTGGTCCAGATACTGCCGGTAGTGGCGTTGTACAGGGGCCAATAGACTGGCGAAAAGGTAACTGAGACAAATGTAGACCGAGAGATTCAAGTGTTCTTTCCGAGTGTATGTCTGTTGGCTGGTGTTGGGTGCCCTGTTCTCTTGCTTGCGGTGCAAATCCCAATACTGAGGCGTTATCTGTTTGGGTTGATGGTTTTCCAGAAGCAACACTGAGTGCTCCCTTCTCAGCTGGTGTTGTATACAAATTCTCTACGTTGTCATGAATCCGCGCGGATGAGCTCGGTAAAACTGGTTGAGAAATATCATTCCTAGCACTCGGGATGATTGTCGTTGTCAAAATCTAGACAGCTTAGTTGGATACCCTCAGACCATGTGGAATAAAGTGTAGACACATACTTTCAAAGCGAAGCCCAGTCTCCTCCCCAGCATCGAATACGGCTCCAGTAGCCGCATAATATGTCGCGCAGTGCCTAATTGAGCGACTGCTAGATCTTCAAATTTAGCTCCCTTTCTCCCAAGAATAAGATAGAGCATAGTCAAGGAAGAAGCCAAAATTAAATTTGAAATATCCCACTGCACGCTGCAAAGTAGACCCTCTCGGTGCATGTCCTGGGCAAGACGTAAGATAAGATGGCTTGCGTCTACACAAGCAGATGCATACGCGGGGAAGCCACCCTCTGACCCTCCATCTGAAGAGGCAGTCAGGTAATGCAAAAATGGTCGATAAAGATAAATCTGGGCGTGCGCGTATGACATGCACAATTCATATTTTGCTCTATGCGAGGATAAGTTAGGAGTGGGCCTAAAAGCGGTTCCATTTATCTTTAAAATTTACCCACCTTTCTATGTGAGGAGCTTGTTTCTCTTGGCCGAGCTTGTAACTTGGAGGCAGCGAATCTAGCCAGGAACGAAGTGCACCTTCAAGCTCCCGAACAGTATCGATGCTGACTAGATGGCGTAATGGACCCTGGCCTTTGGTTTTCCTGACGCCCTTGGAGGGGTATAGCCGCTTCACTACATGTCCGAGGATATCATGCAGCTGGAACAGCGCTACACTTGCAACAGTAGGACTCCAGTACTCAGCATCTTGTCGAGCTCCGCTGACAGGTACCGTGGGACGCAGATCGGTGTCATCCTCATCAACTGGGTACTCCAGATCTACATCCTCACAACTAACGGGCATAGGTAAGCCAACCATCATAGAAACAACAGCCAACAAATGGCGAGTCGTCCAGAACAATCGTCTTTTAAGTTGACGAGTAATGGTACTGTCCTCATCAACAGGCTGATGCAGTTTCATACGCAACGTTAAGGAGAGTGTGTGAGATAGAGCCGAATAACATGAACCCATCCGGGCCGTATATAGGAGGAAGATGTTCTGGTATAAGATAGCCTGGAGGGCTACCAGGTCATTGCAATCCTGAACATCAACTAGACTCTGACATGCTGAGAAATACGCGGTCCTAATATCGTCAGCTTGCTAGATATCGCAATCTACCCGTTCTTGGAAAAATACCCTTCCAAGAAAAGCCTCTCTCTCGTCTCCATGTCTCTAACCTCACAAAGACACCCAACGGCCATAACCGCAAACAGAAGCGGGAGATATCTCGATTCCTGGTCAGCGTAATCACTAATATCCAAGGAAAACAACAAAGCGAAAGCAGAATCGAATGTTGGCCGATGCAATATATTGTGCAGGAAATGCGTATTGACAGCCATATCAACCAGATGACGCGCTCTCTCCCGCGATGGCAGCGATATGGGATGCCGTGGTGTGTTTTCCATTGGAAATAATTTCGGTGCTGGTACGTCTCTTGCGCGCACTCTACTCTCCACATCAGCCCCGGGCCAATTTCCCAGTTCATCTTTTAAGCGCCTGACAAAGTCCATATGAGCCGCTGAGTGCAGAAAGCGGGCTTCGCCTTGGTTCTCGGGATGACTATGTTCTCCACTGATGTTCATGGGTCTAGGAGCTTCATTCACAGGTCTGGTACTGGTCTCTGGTCTGTCAATAGCACCCATAATCCAAGGTATCGACGGGGAGGTTGCCGCCATTTCCCTCCGCCGGCAGGACTCCTCAACCGCCTTCAATCGTTTTTCCAGATACTCCATACGATCGTCCCGTTCCACGTTCCTCTTTTTCCGCCGTGGTTGTGAATATACGCAGTCTTGTCCGATCAGCATCATAAGTCACCGTAACTCAAGGAGCAGTACCATTAAAAGAGGTTCCACAATGTCCACAAGGATTTTCCCCATCACACTTGATTTTCATCCTCCGACACACATCGCAGGCCCTGTCGACTCGTGGCCCCGATGAAGGCAAACGCGTGTTCGCGTTTGCAAGGGGAGAGCTCCCGGGCGTGCTCCTTCCATCGGTCTCCGTCTCGACATCAGAATTCGGCAGTTTAAATTGTTGGAACATTGAGGGAATAAGGGATTGCCAAAGTGTATGAGAGAGCTGAGGGTTGATTCGGCCTTTAATTTACATGACGAGCTGTCGACGAATTTCGAAATAAACAGGTGTTGATATCGGACATACTGAGCAAAGCGGAGATAAACGTGAAAGATAAAATTAGACAAGCGGCACGTGAGGTCACATGACTATTTTCCTATTCTGGAAGTACAAGCACGAATAATCCATGCTGGCTGCATTTTGGATATGCATTTTGTAACCAGAATCTAAGTCTATATATCTGCACATACTGGGACCAATACATTACAGTTAGCACCTTCCTCCAAGATTGATTCGGCGGCACTTGTATGGACCGTGGAATTGTCTAGGACAATTCTACGTCCCAAAAGTAGCGAGGTTGATCTGGGCTATTAAAGATTTTGTTCCAGTAGAGGGCATTACCGTACAAGACCAAGGCTCGTAGTATATAACGAACATCAAATTTGGGGGCCCTCAATAAATTATAGGATATTTCTATAGCGCATATATGAGATGTGAGACCGATACTCAAATTGAGATTGGGCACATATTCGGATCCGATACTCAGGATACTAGTATTCTTTCGTCCCTGTTTCTAGAGCACATGCGAATTTGATCATGCCAGTTCGACGAGGTGCTTGGTAGGGGCTCGTCTTGGGAAGACACAGGCCTGTGGCCACACACGCGCGTATGGGATAACACCGATAAATAGGTCAAATTATGTTAGGAACACTTTTATTTTATATTCAATTCACACAGTTCGAGTCCAGAAAGACCAATACATCATAAAGAAGCAGACAGAGGAGCACAATCTGTATAGTTCATCTTCGTATGCCGTCCTCTCGGAGCAAGCGACGATTGTTAATCGAGAGATACGCCATTGCACGGGTAGCTGACGCATGCAGAAGAATGGGGAAGCCGACAAGGAAGCAGTAGAGTCACCCGATACGAGGGAAATATGCAGCGCGTAGCGTTGCGATATGTCCGACACTGACCAAGTATGCGGCCACCTTAACAGGGAGAGAAAAGGGAAATAAAATAAACGAGAGGCGGCATGGACCGATTAAGAGACCGGACAACGGAAGGCATCATTCGTCCGAATCTCGATACCAGGAGAGTTATAGTGCCCGTTGGGTCCGAATATGTGTTGACAGAGAACAGGAAGACTGCCATCCCGGTCTGTTTGGGGTCGGGAAATACATCGAGGGTTTGTCTTGACAAGGAGCTTGGAAAGAGAGAATCACGGAGGGAAATGCGATCCGATCTCAGCCTTGGCGCCGATCCCCGGGAAAGACGGAGAAATAAGACCAAGAAAGCCCGACGCAAGGCCGGGGGCAATGACACGTGAGCATCGACCACACAAGGTGGCAGGGAATAGAATACGATAATCTCGTCAGCAAAAGTGCTTTCCCCTTTCCAATGGCAACGGTAATGATGCCATAAATGGCCCTTCTTCGCTTTTCTCCACTCCCGGAGAAGCATGCCTGGACTCCGCCATTTTTATCTGGAAACAATGGAAGGAACCATTAATCTTTCTGAAACTATGGACTCTGCCATTCTATACAAGCTAGGAATTGCTGGAGCGTATAATATCCACCAATGAAGTAGTACGAACTCCGAAAATTGCCTAGGCCCATAAGCGATGGCCTAAAAACTTTGGTAAAAGCTTCAGTAAAAGCTTCGGTATGGCCGAGCCGTTTTGATGCCCGCCGATCCATCCATAGTCCGCATTAAAGCAATGGACTACGGGGCATCATGGTAGAACTTACTGGGTCCACAGCCATCAAAGGGGGTTATCCTGATCCACTTCGTATCTGCATAGGCTCCCTACTCCTTTGGATGTCACAGCTGACAGGGATGATTCGCAATTTACTCCATTGTCTAACGACCGGGAAAGGGGTATTTGTGAATGTTGCAGGATGGCTGGAGACCAGTACCAAAGGACATGTGTAATGAAAGGAAGATGGGTTATGGAGTAGTGCAGAACTTGAAGGACTGAACAGTCTGAAGTTGGAGTGAATGAAGGTAATGATGGTCATTCGGCCCCCACGTGTCTTCACCTCCTGTTTCGCCCACCCTGCAGAGTAGATAGGAGGACTTGCTATAAAGCCGTGATAGAATCCGGCGTTGAAAAGATCCATCCACAGAGTTACATCCCAACTCTTTCTTTACCCTTACAGATCTCATTCTTCGCTCTACATCATCATGCTCTACAAGTCCGTGGCTGTTGCGTCTCTTCTGCTGGCCACCCAGGCGGCAGCTCGCGATGTTCCCGCCAACGTTAAGGAATTCTACAACTCGGTCAAGAACGCAGGAACTTGCTCCGGCAAAGATCTCCTCCAGGGCGGTTTCCACGACACCGACGATGGCCCCACCAAGTACGGCTACTGCCAGAAGGGCCTTAACGGAAAGGGTTTCTATCTCAAAGGTCCTGGCAACCAGCTTGTGAACATGGATATCGACTGTGACGGCAAGCAGACTCATGGTGATGGACGCTGTGGAAGCTCCAAGGATACCCAGGGCGAGACTGCATTTAAGGATGAATTGAAGAAGTACGGCATTTCGGACCTGAATGCCTATGTCCACCCCTACGTTGTTCTTGGAAACGAAGGCAATTACCACCCAACCTTCAACCCCCGCAAGCATGGTATCGAGCCCCTCAGTGTAGTGGCCGTCGTATGCGGCGACAAGCTTGTTTATGGAATCTGGGGTGACACCAACGGCGATGACGGCAAGCCCTTGGTCGGCGAAGCCAGCTTGGCCACCGGTACCGCTTGCTTCGGCAAGTCCGCCGTCAACGGAGACAAGGCACATGACGAAAAGGACGTCCTGTACGTTGCCTTCCCCGGTAAGGACGCGGTGCCCAAGAACGCCAAGTGGGATGCCACCAGCTACGAGGAGTTCGAGGCCAGTATCGCCGAGTTGGGTGACAAGCTCGTCGCGGGTCTGGGCAAGGGTGGTTCTGTCAGCGCTACTCCTTCCACTGAGAAGGGCCATCACTCCACGACTCGCAGCGACGAAAGCACCCACACCTCCCACAAGGGCCACCACAAGGGCCACCACAAGGGTCACGGCAAGGGAAGAAACGGCAATTCCGAGGAGGAGGATGACAACTAGGAGTAAATGGCGGTTGACCAGCAGGGGAGATGTATGTTTCGGGGAGCAAGACCATGGAATCTGTAATCTAGTTTAAATTTTAGCAGTCTACATAAAGGCAGCCCGTGTATGTACAAAGTTGTACATATAATATAAATGATAAGTATATCTGCACGTAAAAAGTAAATTGATTAAAAACCAAAAGCGAGAGAAAAAGGAATCAATTAGTATCACTCGTTGTAACCGAGATTGAGAATCGTGTCCACTCCGTAGTATACAGACAGAATAACTGTTACCAGTGGAGGTTTGTATTGCGGGGATACACAGTTTGACATCACCAACGCGATCCTGGCAACCAATCATTCAATTATGGAAATAGAATGCCTATCTCTATATTCTGATCTAATGATAACCTAATTGCCATTTTTGCCTCTCCTTTTCGCCTTTAACTGCTTCTCTTTCCAAAGTTAAGTGACATGTAGTTAATGTAACTAGGAATTGTTGATGCACTGCACCGAATTAGGATATTTCCATACAACAGAACGTGCAGCTTAACTTTGCGAATCTTACATAAGGTTGGCTTGGAGGATGGCTCAAAATAAACAACTTCATTATCCTGGAGTTGATTTCAAAGCTGGTAGTAAGCTAACAGGGCTAAATATTAATGGCCCATGTCTACGGTGCAGTGTCTCTCCGTCCGAACTTTAAGTGAAGTTTATCTCAACGTTTCGTACGGACTGTCCTTGACATATGAGCCTGGGCCAACCTATGTTTATGCCGCGACGAGTCTATTTCCGGCCTGCTTGGCTGCTTTTTTGGCTACCTTTTTAGCTGCCCGCGCAGCTGCTTTTTTAGCAGCTCGCTCTGCAACCCGTCGAGCAGCTTCCCTTTCGATTCCTCTCTCTGTTGCCTGCGTGACCTCTTGGTCTAATGCATCTAGTACTGAGTTTTCAGTGGCTCTGGAAACCTGGTTAGAAACCAAACCAGATAGCGAGGCCATCCCCTCATCCGAGGCAAATGGCGCCGCGAGCCCATTAGCACCTACAACCGCAGCAGCGGCCACCTCGGGCATGGCCAAAGATGTCAAGTATGCGGCCCCCCCGATGGCCACTGCAGATGCGAGAATAGTCCCCCCAATTGTCCATAGGGACCTCCATGGTGACGAGGAAGAGGCTGCCTGTGCAAGGCTGTTAGCGTTCTGCGCTGCGATCTCCTTCTGAGCCTTGCTCTGAGCAGCCGATTCATTGCTCTTGTCCTTGCCCTTGTTTTCACCCCCCTTTTCAGGGGTCCTTGCCGCTGCTGCCTTCTCAGCGTTCTGGGCTTCCTTTTCAGCCTTTTTAGATTCTGTGCGAAGGGTTTGTGAGGATCTTTCTAGTAGACCAACTTCCTCGCTGAGGAGTTTCAGCCGCCATTGAACTGTATTCTGGGCTATTAAGGCTTGCTGCCAGGGTTTCACCCAGCTCAAATCTCGATCATCGTTTTTTTCGAGACTGTTGGCCTTCTTTTTTGCGGCAGCGACTTGGCCTTCCATTTGGCTCTTTTGCATCATCTTATCCTGCAACTGGGTCTCCACATTATCAGTCAGTTTCTTGGCTTTGTTTGCGGCGTTTCGTGCCTTTTCCGCTTCCTTGTCGGCGCTCTTGGCTTCCTTGGCTCTCTCAGACGCCTTCCTCGCGGTTTCAGCATCCTTCACATAATTCAGGATTTGCTTCCGCCGTGCGACTCCAAGGGCTTCACCGCTGACTTTGACGGCTTCCAGAGCCAGAGCCCAGACTTCTTCGGCCAGTTGATAAACTGGGGAATCAGGCACTTGCGCGATTTCAGCTGCCTTTTCTGCCAATTCTCTTGCCTTTTTGGCGGCTGTTTGAGCACGGCCGGCAGCTCCATTGGCTCTTGTGATTTGAGTAGTACTATCCGCTTCATCTTTGGCTACCCGAGCGGCTTTTTCGAACACCTCCGCTTCTGATCTGAATCGCTTTACTTCCTTTTGTCTTTCCTCTTGTTGCTCTTGCTCCAGCTTCATACTCGACTCGTTGGAAAGCCCTTCAAGTTTCTTGGCTATATCATCGGCGATTTGTGCCGATTTCCTTGCTTCAGTGGCACTCTTTTTGGCCCTTGCGACATCCTTTTGGGCCGTTGTGCCCAATTCAAGTATTTTCGTGGCTACCGAGCCCATTGTAGTACCGCTTTTTACCGCAGCGGCCTCGTCTTCCGCCATTTGAGCTTCCTTGTCTGCTCGCTCGGATGCTACTTTCGCTTTTTCGGCGGCCGTTTGAGCCACACTAGCTTGCTTTGCAATCTTTGAGGGGTCCTTGCTCTTCCGTATGATGCCTTGTGCATTTTTTGCTGTATTACTTTCGCTTTTAGCCTCTTCTTCGGCCGCACGGGCATTCTTGGCCGCCTCTTGCACCTTCCTAGCAGCATGGATGGACTCTTCGAGCTCTGACATTCCCTCACATAGTTGGAAAGAGCCGGTATTTCCCTGCTGATCGTCGTGGGCAATGAGCCCAGAAAATTCCCAGTTACTCCCCGATTTTGCAAACCTAGACGGGACGTAACTGGATCAGCACATGTTCAATATATGTATGCCAAAGACATGCAGTGAGACGTACACAACCCGATATTTTCCTGGAGCATCTGAGCCGCCATAGAGCTTCCCTGGAAAATACGGATACTCATAGAGGGTTGTACCAGCGGAGGAGGGAATCTTCAATTTTTCGAGGTTCCTAAATATGTGGGGGTATTGTGCTATTCCGCGCAAGCCACAACAACTAAATTAGCTGCAGGAACAGTATTAATTCTTACAGTGGACTGAACTCACACATGCCAGAGGACGCCAATTTCTGGGTATCCCATCGTTTACCGGCTTCTGACACTGTTTGGGCAAATGAGGTCGTCGCTCCTGTCATCTGGTTGATCAGGTCTTCGCAGGGGTCGGTGCTGACGGTGGGAACACCTGCCACCTGTCCCAGTAGGGCCTGGGCTGCAGTGGCGAGGAAGAGGAAACGCATATTTTGCTGTTTTGCGGTAGTATGGTTAAGAAGATGTTTATTTTCTCTGCTGCTTGCAAGGAGATACTAAGGTAAAGTCGGTCATTTATACCCTGACAGGAACCACTTACACGAGCGAGGGCTTTTGCCAGAGAGACCTTGGTTAGGTTGACAAGCCATGTGAAACTTTAATGCTTAAGTGAACCTCCTTAAATCTAACTGAAACGTTGTAAGCCCAATTGTACTCGAATAAGCTTCATTAAACTATATAACTTTGTTCAACTACTTCTTTTACGCTGATTCTAGAGCGTTCTAGACCGATTGCTTGGGCGGATACTTGCTTCAGCGAGACATTGGCGCGATATGCTGACACTCTGCGAAACCATGGGCAAGTTGACAAGCCGTGGGAAATGTTTAATCTTAAGTAAACCTTCTACGAGCGTGGCTATTAAGTGTACTCTGTAAATATAAATTCTATTAAGACCTTCTGCTGGTTCATATTCTATATAATTTTTTATACCCTATGTAGTACCCAAAATAGAGCGTTTATATATTTATCATGTCTTGTTAGATTATAGCTATATTATACCCTTCCTATATTAAAGTGGTTAAAATTCTGCTATACTTGTCCTACTGCTCAATAGTCGCAGTCGCCCGTAAACCTTCTCAAACCTTCTCCAATCTTATCATTATGTCCGAATCCAAGCCTCAGTGAAACCATCGAATCTGATTCCAGTATTTCTTTCAGTTGATTCCAGAGCATTCTAGACCAGTTCCAGAAACTGATATTTGTTTCACCAGACATTGCACGATGTCGACGCTCTGCGATAGGAACTTCTGACTCTTGGGAGGGGCTTGGCTTTTTATCATTCTATAGGCGATGAAACACGCCAAGTTTACTGGAATGAGACACCTCGCCCTTGTCTTAATTAACCGTTGACAACATAGGCCCTAGTAATAAGAAACATACATTGACATATATTAGTAACTAACATGTACACCAAACAGATATAAGTCTTGTTATAAATGCCCGTACCACCTCACGTTTCTTGTTGACAGACATGCAAAGTTTCCTAAATTTCTTTGTCTACTATTTCAAATCCCCTGTTAATATTGCTTCTATATCGTCCCGATCATAAAACGATTTTACGTGTCTCTATAATGCGGAGCTTGAATCTTACTTTGTTCTTGCTCGGACACTCTCTCATCGGTATATCATACTCAAGAAACTAGGCAGTAGGGACAATACTAACCCCACCCAGGCGGATTCGCCGCAGACGCAGGATCCGCACTTTCAGGCACAAAGCTCCCTGCTTTACAAGCCCGACAGGGCCCCAAGGACCTCAATGACGCCCTTTTGGAATCCGACATCTCCAAAGCTCCAATTCCGCTGCCCCAAGACCCAGACAAGTGGCTCGCGGAGCATCCCGAGGCCGCCAAGGACCCGGCCGTCGCTCTTGCCAACGAAGTCGACAATCCTTTCAACGGACGTCAACCCCCTTCCGGCAGTACCGAGAAGGATCAGCAATCAACCAATAACTCTAATGTAGCACCTTCCAACGACAAAGAATCTCATTCTCCGCCGGACATGCAGCAGCCGACGACCGAGCAAACCCCGGAAGCTAGTAGTACCGGAGATTCTGCCACGACACAGCCACCGGCTTCGGCTAGTACCCCCTCGGGGCTTCTCCCATGGTTGGACGGCGAGGGTTGCAAAGACGTGTCAGAGCGGTGTCTTGGAACGGACGACTGGTGCACGAACCATTATCGCTCTGCCCTCAACGACAATGTATCCCAGTGCTTTGAGAGACGTGGGTTTTTCTTGCAGGCGTTTGAAGATGCCATTGCGAAGGCTCTTGAATCGGAAGCTGAAGAGGCAGTGTTTAACGCGACTTCCGGAGTATCTCTAGATACTGGAATTCGGGAGCTTGCCAAACAAGATGGGACACAGGCGTCGGCCAAGAACGCCGCCGAGAGCGCGGCTCGGCGATTCCTTCAGCTGGTGGATCAGAAACTGGAGGCGAGTGTTAATCAAGGGGTGGATAAAGCTCTTGCACGATTTTCATCGCAGTAGTCAAACTCTACGGGGATAGGTTTGGCACCAAGTTTGCGTGCGAAGGAAGCAACAGTGCATTGGACTGTTTTTTCCCCAGTATAGATTCATGTAGCCTAAAGGATAATCTCTCCGTAACTTAGTCACTACACTACAATATGGGGCTTTTCGACTTAATTTAGTACCGTACTTGGTTTACCCATCAAAAAGTACTCCGGGGAATATATATGAGAACCGAACTATCAATAACACCTCTATATTAGCCATGGAGAAGATGGAATTCGAAGAGGCTGATAAAGGCAGCTCAGGCAGTTTCTCGGGTTTGAACATATGTAAGCGCTAGGTATGAAATTGGCAATGATAACAGATTATCTTTGTGTGTGCGCATGTTCTCAACTCCTTGGTTGTAGCAACGTAAAATATGTTCATCGATGGTCCCAGTTTGATATCGTTGAGTCATATGCCAGTCAACTATAGCCATCGTACCAGACTCGACCATTATGACTTTCATATGTGGAATGGAATGGACTGCAGAGTAGGTGAAGTGCATTATCCAAGAGGCCGGGTTACAGTTAAGGCAGATATGGGACTGCAGAAGCCAAGTGCTGATAATTAAGTCGAACTGATGTTGGATATGTGGGTCATGGAAAGGCTGGAACTCCGCAATCAGGAGTAACAGTATAGGAAAATATAGCAAACTAGTGCTGATTCCTTAGAGAATTCCACAGGTTACTGGTATTTTAGACTTATCCTATAGTGGGGGCCGATACCAAGAAATGACCAATCTGTTGGAGACTTGTCGTCCATTATGTCCTAGAGCTTGGCTGAGGCGTTGTGGCCGTAGAGCAGGGTTAAAAAGGAAGCGAATTTGGACAGAGGATTTGAACAAATAAGATGTAGAAAGAAGTCAGGAATATGGTAGTAGTGGCTGTTTTAATACTTGAATTTCTTGCTTTTTCGCATGCTGTCTTGCAGTGAAGCCCCTCATAAACTTTAGCAGCATTGTGGATAATGAGGTCCAGGTAGACATAGCGACAACAGTGCAAGCTAAAAAGGACAGGGGGAGGTATTCCTGGCAAGAGACCAGTCGCTTCCAGGATTTGCATATATCACAGCAGATGCACCCAAGCTCCGAGGAACGGTGCCAGTACTCTTGAGAAAGAGCGGGGTCTCCCTAGGAGCGTTAGTGCCCGTATGATCCAGTCAGTCCTTTGTAGAACACCCGCAGCATCTCGCAGGAACTGTTGTGAAATTCAGGGGAAGTGATGCGCAGGGAGCTATTCTATCAGCTACAGGCCAACTAGCCTAACTCGGAAGTAGATGTCCTTCGGTGGAAACACCAGAAATCACAGTATCTCAACTAACTGAGTCCCTTGCATTACTATCTGGGTGCTCAACCCTCTAAAGGACTGAGGGGTAGAATGGGTCGTCAGATACTCGCACCGCCAAGTCGGGCAGATTAATATAGTGTTTCCTTAACAGGAACCATAGTGCACGATATATAGAACTATTCATACCACATTTGGTTCAAGTCTGCAGTCAACAATGGGCTCCAGGCTGCTCTGACACCTGGAAGCATGAATAGTTTAGAGAGTGGTTCTGGTGGAAAGTTTCTGGCGATGCGCCACCTGCGCGGAGGGCTAGGGTTACTTTTTACGCTTACAAATAAGGCGGGTGGAGGAGCACAGAGTATCGCTGACCAGTATGCGCGAGACCTAGACCAGAATGTGCATTTCTATCATCGTGCGCTACGGAAAATTTGTGTCAGATAGTACGTTTGCGCAGCGATCGACAATACTACCTACCTCACATGATTTTCTGAAGAGACCTGGTAGAGACTCGTCCACTCAGTGGCACAACTGTTTGAGAATACTGAGAATGATAGACAGCTGATAGAGAATGAGGTCTTATAAATTATTTTTCGATAATAATGGATAGGCTGTAGACCATTGATGTCCTAATAGTGTAGATATACCACCATAGGGGTCCTCGTTCTGGCCACCAGTTGGCGGGCCTCTGACAGTGTAGGTCATACGACTGCGTTCCCAAGACCTACATGGTTGGAGCGCAGTGACATGAAGATATACCTCCTGACGAAACCGTTCGAGATGCATTTCATATATATATCCATTTCCGCGCCACCGCCATCAGAGTAGCAAGATTTCTATAGTTAAAATCTATCACCATAAATTGCCAGTATCAGTGTCAGACCGTCAATATAGACATACCACTAGAACAGGAAGTAAGTGCTAAATTGTTACGGGTCATGGTGCTGTTGGACTGACGCCCAAAACCTGTTAGAATACGCTGGGGCTTCTTGAGTCACAATTGGTCAAGGTACTAATTATTCAGCCAGAAATTAATTAGTTATTCTCTTAAGTAAATCCTTTGGTCTTCTGTGTTCTTCGTTAGGCTGGGGGATAGGCTATTGCCCTGCTGTCACGTTTTATGGCGAGGACATTTTTAGAATATATGGTGTGTATATTGTGTGGTTTCTGATTCAGTTGTCCTTCCGTGATTTTCTACCGAGTTTCTTCCATCTTTAGTACTATCACTATATCCAACAATGTATATCATTTTTTGCGAGCGTTCCCTGACACGCCCAAATCCGCCTATTAGAACGCAGAGAATATCATCAGCAAATTAATGAATACAAACTACGTTGATCGTGTTTTAAGAGAACTACCGCGTATCTACTAGGCGCTAGACCCTCCTCAATCGACTAAACGTGGCGAGATTCACGGAGTACTTCGCAAATGCTCCCGATTGAACGGCTGGCGAATACCGTTGTTGTGTAGAATAGGCGTCTTGGTGTTTTTCCATCGCGCCAGCTACGTTGATTGCGGTATGCCCCAAGATAACAGTAAAGATAACGTATTTAGACTAAAAATGTATTTAGAAAAGGAAAAATACTGCCAATTCGCCTTCCCCTTGCCGGAGTAGACACCCATATCGTAGATCAAGGGGGTATAACCGCTACCAGGAGTACCATGCTAATTGGGTCACAAGGAATAGCGTGGCCTTAATGGGTAGGCAGAGAAAGTTCTCAGAGTGGCTCAATATACTAGCGTACTATTCTTTCTTGTTTGGGTCAAACATATCTACAAAGGGAAATTCTGGGCTCTACCAACCTAGAAACACATATTCATTGCATCTTAAAAGCTCAAGAATGCAGGGATGGAATCTTTTTTAGCTTTCTTCAACTCCTATTGAAGGCCCAATAGTCGATACACCGCGGTCTGGGCTCCGCATACACTGTAGTCTATAGTTGGAGAAGTCTTATCAGGTATCTCAACAAATTGACCGCCCACTGCAAAATTCGTTGTACTCTCTGCTTTCTCTTTTGGATGATCTCCGTAAGCCCGAGACAGCAACGGTGCTGCTAAGCGTGGCATCAAACGCGGGATAGTAACTGAATGATCCAGGATAATTTCTAGAGGTACGTTGAGATGCTGCAGCAATTCAACCAAGATCTCTTGCCCAGAGCAGCTGAGCATTGGCTTCACGAAATTTCCCATATGCTGAGGGGCGGAGCCGTAGCTCCACATAACCTGCAATTCCCTGGATTGGTGACGGAAAAAGTGGTTGACGAGGAATAAATAGGCTGATCTCTCGGAGTGAGATTGAAGTTGTTGAACTAGCTTCAGTGTGCGCTAAATAGATAAATTGGTCGAAGAATTCGGCGCTCTTCAGTGTAATTGTGAAAATTTCCACTCTGGATTCACTCGTCCGCGTGCACTGGTAAAATCAGGAGGAAAGGCTTTGGAATTATTTGTGTATAACGATGCTACAACTGTTTTTCAAGGCACAGACTGAACGCCAGTGTCTTGCTGAGATGATGCCATCAGAGAAGCACCTTCTTTATCAGGAGATGCTCTCTATGGCTGAGAACTTATTGTCCTGTTGTACCAAGGGCTATAATGCCTCGGGAGGAGCCTATCAATGGAAGATGCCCAATGGGTAGTTGCAACACAAATGGGTAAGTCAGAATTCTGAATCGCAGTTTATACCACGCCCATATAAATTTTCTAATATAATATTAGCCTTAGTCGCCCGCGGCGGTCCAATCATATTCAGGATTGCAGAATTAAGGAACGCTGGCGGGCCTTAGATTGTAAAAAGGACCAGCTGAAGTGCTGCTACGGATGCTTCGATATATTTGCTGTGGAAATTGGGAAGAACACTGCAGTGGCCATCTCATACAAGATGATTCAAGGCGATGCGAAATATTTACATACTGCTACACCCTTATACGACAGGGGTATTGTCCTTTATGCCACGATAATAAGAGCCTCCTCACTTCGCAGCACATGAATGCCTGGAAACTTCATCAACAGAGACTCGAAAACAAATCCTCAGACTTTATCAGCAACTGATGCGCTAGAACCCTTGCTTTAACCAGGGTCGTTGAGCAGTGACAAGCTTCATGCTGGAAAACTGACCGACTCAATAACTAGAGCTAGAACAAAAGCAACCCAGACTCAACAAGCTCGCACAGCACCTGGCAGGAGTACCAGCACGTGAAGGGCTTACTTCCGAAACAGAGGACAAGCTTCTCAGGAATTAATGAAGAAAAGGCTAGCCCTACAGGAAGCGATGGAGAAATTATAGTAGAATTTCCCTTGCAGGTCGAAGTTGTCACTTCGAAGACGTTGGTCCCTCCTACAGTCATCTCCACGGCGGTCATCCCGATCAAGATCAAGTAGGTTCAAAGCACACTTTTAGGCTTAGAATGCTTGCTACGATGATATAAACTGGTATTCTTTAGAGTCCCTCCGAAGTTTCTCTAGTCTTAAAGATTGTCAGATGGATTGGTCCCATTCGGGCTGGATTATAGGTTCTCATCTGGCAGAGCTTCTATCTCGCCTGTGCGGTCAGCTAGTGTTTTTTGGACGCACTCCATTCTCTGGTATTTATGGTATCATGCCCTGCGAAGGATCAATCCTCAACTGTGTGGAATTGTGTTTCTAACACGCTGTGTCTTGTAGGAAGTTGGAACAAAGTTCCGTGGCAATTTCTCA